AAATGTATCATTGTAATCAATTTGACGAAGAGTCTCTTGAGGAGCCACTCAATGTGTATATCCGGTCAATATAGTAACAACATAACTAACTTATGTAGCTACCATAGAGTAAAGTATAGGTAGATACTGTATACTGACATTGCGATTGATTCTAGAATGACACCATTATCTAAATTAAACTTCTTTTTTAGCACTGCAAAATTATTCTGAACACTAGTAGGTACAAATAAATACTAGATGAATGATAAAACCTTTCTTTGCCTTTAAGAAAACTTTTTTACTGTCTTTATACATTAATTACCTACTAGCTGTACTCGCGACTTCGTCCGCGAGAAATTTAACTTCATTTTTCTACAATAAAAGTAGCCTAAGTCACTCCTTATTATATAAGCTACCTGCCAAAAAAGTCTAAATCGTCAAAATCGGTTCAGCCATTTCAGAGATTAGCCGGAACAAACAGACAGACAAAGAGACGGTCAAAAATTGTAACAAATGTTATTTTGGTGTTGGTGTTCCGTATTTATATTCATATGCATGTAGTAAAAACGGTTATTTCAATATTACAAACAGACATTCCAATTTTATTTATATGTATAGATAGCACGTATGAAATGGCTGACAATAAGGATACCTGTACCTATAATTGTAATATTGCACTACAATATTACAATTATAGGTACAGGTATAAAGAAGAATGGACAAGATAAAGAATGAATATATTAGAGGAAGTATGAAAGTGGTACCAGTGTCAGAGAAGTTGAAAAGTAATCATCTGTCATGGTATGGGTGTAGGAATAAAGAGAATATTTTAAAGAAAGTGTTACATACAGTAGATGGTTTTTTTTAAAGGATGATAATGGAATGTTGCACCGGCCTGCGCTAATGGTTTACGCTGGCGGGGCACCAGTGGAGGATGATAGGAACATGAAGTCAGATCAGTTAGCCCGACGTGACAAATTCGCCAGGAATGTATCACGATGGTTTCCCGGGGGACCCGCGTGGAGGTCGATCTGACATGGTACATTGCTAGCAATGGGATCATTACTCCACATTACTCACAATCCCCTTCCCCACAGTAGATGGTTATATGGGCAGAGGTAGGCCGAAAAAGAGACGGATGAACAGAGTGAGAGGTGATATGACAAGAAAGGGAGAACATAAGGATATAACAGGGATGAGTGGAAGAGAAAACGACGCGCGATCCCAAATGATTGGGAATGAAAAATCTGATAACGCTGGAGCAATATACTAAAACTAAAATACTACTAAAATCCTTATGCAAATCACGAAACATCATGATGCAAACTCACCGGCCATCTCTGTGCCTCTCTCCACGGTGATATTATTCAATTAGGCTGATAACACTTAAGATGGTTACCGCTAATAAAATTGTAATGTCTCGTTTCCGAGACGCGTGGGCACTAAACAGGGAGCAAACCGGTGTGACCCCAAACCGGCTGAACGAACTTTACAGAAATTCGACGACCTCGATGGTTTGGCAGTTTAGCACGCCGACTTAATTTCCATGTTCGTGGGTTCGATTCCTCGCACGGTACAAATTTTAGTATTCATAAGTATGATTGTTTGCACCAGTTTGTGTGTTTTCTAAGTGTATTGTGTATGTATTTATAAAAAAAAAACTGTATTTCTGACCATAAGTTTAGGGACCACTTATAGGGTCATTTATAACATCAATGATGTATTAGTGCCACTATTTGCTAGTACATAGTATTGTTGCAAACTTCTTCATTAATATTTGATGATTAATTTAAATTACATGACTTACGTACATCCGCACATAATATTTTCTGTTATATTCATAATAATAATTCACACAGCGCCATCCATTTCTGTACTAAGAAGAACTTATTCTATTTCGTTTTAAACACCTGATAGAAATAATATATAATGTATTCTGAGTAGAGTAAAAAGAGTAGGTAATATAAAAAAAAACGGGGACATGTATAAAACATAGACCAAAAGGACGTCGCCACAAAGTAAGTCACAGATATTACTTTATTACATATAATAAAAAATAGATGTGAACAAAATAAAAAATATACATACATTACTATTTCTCATTCTATTTTTTCTTTAATCCTATGTCACAGAATATATAATAAAACCTAGTGCTGTGCAAAACGTCTTTAAAAAAAATTAAATTTAAACAAAAATGTCCTGCAAATAAAATTTGCCTAAGCACAATCATTTTTTTCACAACGCGCAAAATATTTCATAATATTTATAACATCATGCAAAACATACTTACAACATATTATATTATCTGTGCTTACAACAATCAAGTAATACTTTGATAATTCGTAGAAATAAATCACAGTACAGCGGACATCTGCTATTACTAGTGACTGTTCCAACATTTATTGCATGACGAAAATTGGATGACACATCGTGCGTAATACGGCACCTACAACCAACCCCTCACTGGCGAGAAAGGACAGAAAATACTTGGAATAATGTTCTGTACTTGTTACTTGTTAATATTTAGCAACAATAAAATAAAAAATATATATTATAAAGACATATGTTTCGAAGTAGCTTGACATGCAGTTTAAAATAAAGCTGTTTTTCGAGCTACTACGAAGTATTTTTAGCTCATGACCAACTCGGCAACAACAGGTAATATAATGTATTATAAAAAATCAAACAATTCAATTGTATGAAAGAAGCCAAACAAACTGCTTTATTCTATTGACTCATTACCCCGTTGGTAATGAACTAATGAGGCTAAAAATGTAGCAATAATAAAATATAATATTTAAAAAAAATTGTATGAAAGGAGCTAGACAAACAATTCTATTTTAAATTTTTAGCCTCAGTGCCAACTAAGCAACAATAAAAAATAATATTAAAAAGAAATTAGACAAACAGCTTTATTTTAACATTTTTAGCCTCATGTCTGAACTGAATGCGTTTCACATACATAACGATTAAGAATGCTCGAGTATTGCAAAACATTTTTTATATGTGAACTGTTCTTATATACCTAATAGATTATCAGGTATTCTGTATTATTAGGAGTATTAAATTATTTGTATAAATCCTTCACACATAGTAGATACATATACATATAATATTGTATATCTATATGCCTAATAAAGAAATTGTAAAATAGAAAAAATTTAGGAAATGTTAATAAAATACCTTGAAAGAAAATGACAAATTGAATAGCAGTATTTTTAATAACTATATATAATTTAAGTTGTATATAATACACATTTGACGTTGTTTACACACTGCAACTAGTTACACCTAGCTATAAGGAATGCTACTCAAGTACATTCGTTCTCAAGAATTCTCCATTAGCCATCAGTTTCTATAGTTTTATTTACTTTAAGTACTATAGCTAATTAGACAAAAATAGATTTTTTAGGAAGAAAATTCATTTATTGTTTAGTCATTAGCGCTGTCTAAAATATATTGAATGTTCTGTAAAGACGTTAAAAAATATTTTATTCCATTTTCCTCATAAAACCTTTCAGATTTATTATAACTATTTTTTTTTTTATAATTTAACAGTAATGGTGTAATATTACAATATAAAGTGGTGCAACAAATCTGCAATGTGAATGCACACGTTTCACAATAAACAAAACATTGAGCAATATACTCGTAAACGAAAGGAATTTATCGATTTGCCTACGTCACGCGTGATGACAGCAGCGTGACTCAGTCTGAATTTATAAACAAATTAATACGTAACTTTTATCATAACCTTGTTACATTATATTAATTTTAATATGTCTAAATTCGAAGTTAGTAGATTTTCTACAAAGTTGTATGCATAGGTATCTTAGTTTCATTTATTTTTGCCATTAAATAAACAGCTCGCTTTGTAAACTGTATTCCGATCTGAAGGATGAGTATTGCTGTAAAATATATTCTACGCCACTACACATCCTTTGCGGTTGTAGCCCACTCCTGCATAAATGTAATATCTCCTTTGGAAAGTTTACACTCTATCCTGAAGAGAGAGAAACCATCGCTCCTAAGAATATCCTCCGATTCTTGTCCCTGATGTGTCTGGGTAGCCAACTCTAAAAAGAGCGAGTACAATAGATCTATGTAGGTTGCTACAAGTCCAAGCACCTGACAAAGGGGGGAGGGGATTGTTAGTAATGTGGACTCATAATCCCATTACTAGCAATGTCCCATGTCAGGTTGACCTCCACATGGTTCTGGAAACAAACGCGATAAATTCCTGGTAAATTTGTCACGATTGGCTAACAGATCTGAACATGAGTTCATCTTATCATCCTTCACTGGTGCCCCGTCAGCGTAAACCGTTAGCGCAGGCGGGTGCACCATTCCATTATCACCCATAAAAAAAAATAGCCTAAACAACCCAATAAAATAAAATATCAAGGTACAAGCACTTGCTACCTTAGTCCTTAAAAATGACAACGCATGAAAGGTAGATCATCCGTGATCATCATGGGCTTCACACTACACCATGTCCGTAGTGCTGTTCAGGTATTGTACAAGGTACCACTTACCGTCAGGTAGGTCGTCAACTTAAATGAAATTCCAGTTCATCATCATTGCCTTACCTTCATCCCATATGTCGGTGCAGTATAAATAAATAGAATAATCATGTTTCTTTATTATCTACTGCCACTAAAATACCAAGTTTGTAAGCTAGCAGGCGAAAGCTTTCCCATGCAGTTAGCACACTTCTAGTTCTAATATAAAAAGTGAAATAATGCAATTTGATGTATTTTATACATGTAAGATATATGTAGATACGTATCCTGTGTGACTTGTCTAATTTAATTATAATTTTTTTTTGAAACGAGTGTAGCTGGGCCACCCTTGAATAATTACCGGAATTGTTAACAACCCCTAGCATTAACAATTTGTCTATTAATTAAAAGCGACAAAATTCGTGACAAAAAAGAGGGATCCACTCGGCAGTTAAGTGTTGGAGTTTAATAAACTGTTTAATTAAGATCGCGTTAGGCCGCCACTAGTCGGGAGTTCGGGAGTTCGGGAGTCGGCGCGCAGTGCGGCGCGTGCACGCATGACAGCATCATGCTCGCGCTCGCCCTTCTCGCTATCACCGTCACTGGAGCCCGCGCCCGCTCCTTTGACATTACTGAACTAATCGTACCGGAACTGGTACCACCCGGTCAATCTGAAGTGGAAATAGAATGCCGCTACGACGCAAACTTCACTCTTCTAAACTGGTTCAAAGGCGTCAACGAGTTCTTTCGATACAAACCCGGTGCAGCGCCGAGCACACGCTCATTCCCCGTACTGGGAGTAGGAAGAGTGGAACTGATGACCTGCGGCCCGACAGCCTGCAGGCTCAGGCTTGGCGCATTGACAGAAGATGCCACAGGGTTCTACAGATGTGACATCGAAAGAGACGTGCCACCGTACAAGTTCAATACTCGTTCTGCATATATGCAAGTGCACGGGCACGAACACAGAAGACCTCTGCTTGAAGGATTGGGCGAAGAGTTCGAAGAGGGACAGGAGATGCAGGCTTACTGCCGGGGAGCACCGAATGCGGAAATTCGCTGGTACATCAACGGCAGAGAAGAGGAGGGAATGCGTGGATCACCTACGCTGAACAGGAATGCTTCTAGATTAATCTTTCTAGGTATACCTCCAATGGTGACTGTGCAATGTGCAGAGTTTAAATTTGGAAAATTATCCGGCTCTAAAGAAATGAAAGGGAAATGGAAAGATCACAGGAAATCGATGAGGGATGAAAGACCCCAGGAACAAAAAAATTCATCCACTAGCATGGGGAGATGTGTTACATTCGTGTTATGTACAATATATATTTTATTCTTTTGAGTGACAGTACGATATATTCTTTGACTTATTTATGTTCAAGTAGTGTTTCATTTCTTTCTTCACGTGGCATATGTGTAATATAGTAATAATAAACAATCTTGGCATATCTTTTATCAATATGACTACTAAATAAGCTGCAATAAAACCGATTTCGATTAATCTGTTATGATTGTGCCTTTTATAGAAATTTTAATAAAAATGAAAAGGGATGCCAAGATCTTACAACAATATGATAATTAGAGAATAGGGTTCATATTTATATTTTACCCTGTAAATGTTGATCAAAATATATGTAACGTCATCCTATATGTAAAATTTGGTTCCTCGTAATGGTAGACATTTATTATTATATTTTTGTGTAATGTTTTGAAATACATAATATCGATGCAACTAAAATAATTAAATCTAATAAAGGAATGTATTTGTATATTGATAATGAGAATTAACTGAATATATGAGTTATAAGCATTGAAATATCTTTTTATTTAAAAAAATAGAAGAGTTATCACTTCTATTCTTGAGGTAGGGTTTAGTAAGAGTTACTCAGGTAACTAAGTAGTTAAATGTATGTATTTAGTATTTATTAAATCACGATAATTGTTAGAAATTTTGCCGTATACTTTATGGTATGGATACATTCATATACATACGAGTATATACCTACTGCAGCTATCCATAGATATTGAAATTAAACAACATATAGATTTCACAATTATGTTTCATATATACATAATAAATAATATATCCCAATTATACAACAATAACAACAACTTTTGTCAGAGTTCTGCTCCATGCAATCCCCAACTTACCCCTCCGATAGAGTTGTAAGTACCTATCACTCAAATGGTACCTATATCTAAATGTAGCGATTATTTTTTTATGGACGAATATGTACGACTCTTAATTTAGTTAACTCGTCCTGATTTTCACTAAAATAAACACAGAAGTTAAGGTGAGTCTGACTGAATGCCTACTATTAATTGAAAAACAAACATGTACTAAAAAGTAGTTAATAGTTATATAAGCTAAAATATAGTATGGAAAATAATCATCGTCACAATAATTATTAATTTAAAAAATATTTCACAAGTTAGATGAACTTGTGAAATATTGTTTAAAAAGAAATTCCAAACTTTATGTAGTTATTATAAATAAAAAACCGATGTTAATAGTAAAGTACCGTCATGATAGGACACTAAATTATTATTTTTTAATTGTGCAAGTTTTATCCATTCTTATCGTATAGAATCTTTAAGGTACCAAAAAAAGATAAAATCCGTAAGAAACAAACAAACACTTCACGGTATTCGTCCAGGTTGAAATAGTAAGACTTATTTATATATTTAATTAAAAAATTTTTTCAAATGTATTTTACATATTTTTTTGCCGATCGTCAGCATTAACGTAGTGATTACTTGCTCGATGTTGGTTATAATTATATAATACAATGGCGGTCTCTATCGGAATGCACAGTCAGTTGTTTTCTTTATCATGCAATGTACTCTTTAAAATACAATATTATTGTTGTCGTCTCCAAAGCCAAATAAAAGTTTTACTATAGAATACATGTACATACGTGATTTAGTAATATTTTTCTGTCCTAAGTAAAATATAGAATATAATTTCTTTGCGTCATTTTATTTTTTCAATTATCCAACAAATGCCATACTTTTCTATTAATAAAGAACCTACGGAATAAACACATTAGAATACCATATTATTGATCGCACTTCATCTCACTTACATAAGACAAAAATAAAACCTCAATGTAAAGTGCTTTAAATCGTAAATTATCGTAATATATGTTATTTTTGAAATGGCAACATTGTAATTCAAAATGGCGTATATAACCCCTCCATTCACCATATAGATGACAGCGCATTGCGCAAAGCGGAGTTGAGTGTGCATGTTACGCGCTTAAACATGTTAAAAAGTTTTTCTGAAATTTTAGTTTTATGTTGCATCCGGTGCCCAAATCACACTATAAGAACTGATATATTGAACTTTTCTCCATCTTGATTAAGTGACAAACGTAGAAAAATACATAGTGAATTATATTAATTTTAGATTTTTGCTTATTGTAAGTTGCGTGCATTGCACCACGAAAAACAACACAATGCCGAAAGGGAAAAGAAAAGGAAAATTCGGTGAGTGTTTCTGTGTATTGTGTAAATGATTTAGTTCCTTGATTAACTATTGCGCGCACCTGGAATTTGCCAAGAATGAGATCACGCGCCGACCTTGTGGTCACTGACTTTCCGCGACCAGTAATGTTTGTTTGACATATCCACGTATATCGTTATTCATTGCTCGTTAATTGTTTTTAAGTACTCGTGCCAACTCAGAAACTGACTTCCATATGTTTCCTCTGTTCTTTGTAACGTAGGAAGTCCGACCTATTCTTTGGGCGCCATGTGTCGCAATCATATTTCTCGAAAGCATTACGAGATTTTATCATTGTGAAATCCCCACACTAACATTATGATTACTTTGTGTAATGACTTTTAGCCTAATCATTATACTTGTTGTGGCATTTAAACGAATCAAAAATGATTATTGTTGATACAGCATTTACAAAACAATCTGCTTTGTTTGACCTTGAGGTTATGATATTTGTTGTTTTCATAACGCAACACGTTATGAAAACAAAAAATGGTTTTAATATTTGTTTCAAAAACAATTTATTAAAATAATACAGTGTTGAGATAACATATTGCTATGCCAATTATAAATCTTATGAGTCATTTACAAAATAAAGGCTTAATATTAATATTAAATTAATAGTTTATATGAATATTACAACTTCAAAAAGAACAGACTACAGCATATTACCTAAAATATATAAAATGTGTAAAATGTAATTTTTATTAAATAAACAGCAGCAAAACACATTTCTTTTTAATTTTAACATAGATTGTAATCCTGAACCAACCTGACTATTGCACAACGGTCATGTTGGCCATGCTCTTATGTAACACACTCGCTACTGATTCTCATTTCGAACAAATTAAATTCTACAGTTTTGCAATTATTTATAGACCATTTCACAATTGTATTTACAAACTACAACTTAGCTTGTTACTACAGCTCTTGAATGGTCTGAAAATTATGTTTTATTGTTCCAAAAGCAATGGCTTTAAATAATGAAACCCTTGGATTCATGCCAAGGAAGAGATTTTTTTTTATTTTCTTCAATTATAACATCTACTCTTAATAATTTCTTCACTGCTTATATTCAAAACGTTATTTGTAAATTTCTGTATTTTTTTATTATAGAGCACAGAAGAACAGAGCAGCCTTATTCCTCTGATGAGGATGATATGACCATAGACAACATCTCAGAAACATCAGGCACATCTGACTTAAAGAGCAACCATGACGAAGCAGGTATGTGTAACTTGTGATTTTTTAGATCATTAGATTAGTGTTAGTGTTTGTCTATAAATAACCTTGAATATTAATCTATGTTTCTGCACTTGACATATTTAATAGACAATATTACATATCTTATGGAGATAGCAGTAAAAAGTGAACAAGTACTAAGAAAAGGATTATCTGTTTTTTTTTGTACAGATAACTTTTGATTAAATTTACAAATAAATACACACAGTACTAGTAGTTTTATCTTAATTATATGCCTTTTTTTTGAACTGGCTCCTGTCATATTGTTTGTACTAGTTTGAAACTCAGAATTAGGCCTACATTTATATGTAGAAATTATCTTCTACAACAATGATTTAATAAAAATATTTATCAAGTTTTTATGCACTAAATGTGCTGATTAAAAAATGTATGCATTCTGTTGTTGTTGTGTGGTGCATTATCATCATCAGATATCCTAAGAGCACACTAGGGAAAAAATCTCAAATATATTAGTATAGTTAGTAAATAAGTACTAACTATCCTAACTAAATTTTGTTATCTAAAATAAAATTCTCATGTCACAGTTTTCGTTCCCATACTCCTCCGAAACGGCTTGACCGATTCTCATGACATTTTGGGAGCGTATTAAGTAGGTTTGAGAATCGGCCAACATCTATTTTTCATCCCCCTAAATGTTAGGGGTAGTCCACACCTAAATTTTTTATTTTATTTTATGGCAAAACAATGTTTGCCGGGTTAGCTAGTATTTATATATAAATATTTGTAAATGTAGTACAAAGATGTATGATCCAACAAAAGCTACCCTAACCATTATGAAACATATGTAAATAAGACATGAGACATGTAAATATGTCGTGATTAAGGATAGTATTAAAAAATTATGGAGTGCATAAGTAGGCAAATGTCCTATATGATTAACTTTGGACAATAAGTATTGCAATATAGGGTTGAATTTAATACGTGAATTGTTTTAGACTAATAGGTATAGTTCAATGTCAGTTATCAAAACTGGTTTATTGATTGTAACTGGTTTTTCCGAGACAATCACTTATTTCCTGCTTTACATTTTATACCATTTTTGATATCAGAAGAGCTGAAACTATATTTGTTATGTGAAGTAACATATGTTTGGAATATCGCAATCTAATTCTGTAAGGTGTTGATAAATATAAATGTAGGTGCTGTATCTTAATTTAATATTATTAAGCTGCAAGTGTTTATATACTTTTGTGTTGTTATACTTCCACACCTAAACTGCTAAATCTAATACAATTTTTGAACAAAATATTTTTAATATACTTATAAATATAGGTGAACCGTCAAAGCCTGTATATATATATATATTTCTTATCTTTTACTGACTGTTATTTGATAATGAAAGCTGATTAATTATATTTATAATTTATTTAATAATTAGTACTAAAAGCTAGACAATATATCAAATCATAAATACATATAAATTATGTAATTTTTGTAATCCAACTTTTTATTGTATTGTCAAATTGGTTTCTAATAATTGACAAAATGCAAGGGAAGACACAATTAAAGTAAAACAAAACTATACTAAGTTTAATCCTCAGATCAGCTTCTAGTTCCATTGTAATGTTTCTTTTATTTTTCATTTTGTTGTAATAATTCATTCTGTTAAACTTGCAACAGCTACTAAATATTTTTCTTTCCAATCTACCAAAGCCATACTGCGAATATAATGATTATAAATACATATATCTACAGTAATTATTTACACTTGTTTACACGTAACACACGTGTCGAGTCGTTAAAATTGACGCCATTTCAAGCATATTGCAGGTGGAATTGTGCACGTCAACTATTTTATCGATAATTTTGTCGCAACACAAGTACGTAGTTGCAGATTTATCTGTTAGTTGTATCATATATAACTATACTAGCTGTGTCCGCGGCTTCGCCCGCTTGTTATTTGTAGCCTATGTTATTCAGATGTATAAGCTATATTACTGTAAACTTTCATCAAAATCCGTCCAGTACTTTTTGTGTGAAAGAGTAACAAACATCCATACTCGCAAACTTTCGCGTTTATAATATTATATATATTAACATTATCGTTGCATATATTCCTAAAATTCATTGTAAGCATATATATGACAGGAAACATTTTTATATAAACTGGAAAACGTTTAGAAGTCGTAATTCTATAAACTTTTTGATATGAATAACAACTGTACTAATAATTATTAATTTAAACTATATTTTCTTAAGAACTGAATAATCTATTGAGTAAACATAATTATAATAACAATTCCTTATCTTATACTAAGTGAGTGAGACAATGAAAACTAATTAATATATCATTAAATGAAATGATTGGTACTAAAACCTAGATAATATGTACTTGGTCAAATCATAAATATAATAACCCACTCAAATTTAAATACTCTATTTAAACTATTAATTTTAAATAGAGTAATAAATTTTTTATTACAGTTATGTAGTTTGTTTTATATGACTGACACAAAATAGAAAGTTTTATTATTGTAATACTTTGTTTAGATATATGATGTAAGATCGGTAAATTTGTACCTACTAATATTATATTTGCTAAAGTGTATGTTTCTTAGCTTCTTAGTTAGCAGTTTGTTTAGTCGTGAAAAGCATGACTATACGGCTATACAGAAATTAGTAAAATTTTCTATAAAAACTGATTGTATCACAAAGACATCCACAGTCTATCCTTCATCTAAAAACTTTTTATTAATAAGTCCACTGTTTTATTTTTGCTTTTATTATATGATTTATTAAGAAGCAATTAAATGTCAATATTATTCATCAATACTTACCTGCGGAACAACTATAAAACTATTAAGAGTTTCAGTCGAAACTAGGTTGAATAGGTATGATAAGGTTTGTTTACTAATTCTATACATTATTATCACTAAATGTGAAAACATATTTTTAGCGCCATTTAACATTTCGAATACTGCCATCTAGTGAGCAGTTAATTAATTAAAATTACCTAGGAATAGAATATAATTTATTCAAATAAACTTAATTGAAGCACTTTTGAATAGTCATAACAATGTTTTTATTTAGGAATATAATTTGCCTACTGACTATTCAAAAATATCTAGAAGTTGCGCTTCCCACGCGAAATTTTATTCTTGTCATAATAAATATAATATACTTATCTATAAATAAACTGTTCAAAATGACTCGGTACTGATTTAATAAAACACTCACGCTCATTCAATGCACAAACTACAAAAACAAAACGAGGACATTTTTTTTCTGTTTATACATCACATCAAATGACAAATCGAAAACATCAAAATATGTGTTTGAACATCGAATAATAAAAAAAATAAGTTGTTATGTTATCAAAGTAATATATAGTAATTTTGTTGGTGTGTGCCTCTCTATGAACTATTTTGCAAATCTATCGCCATCTCTTTGATTAATTTTTGGTTTTATATTCGAAGTTTCTTTCATCAGAATGTTAGTAAGACATATTAATTATACAAAAAAAGTGTATTTTTATTCTGCCATTTTAAATAAATATGAAAACACGACCTCTTTGGTGTACGTCGGGAGTACTACTAAGTCACGACACTTTTTGTTAATTAAAACACCAAAACAATACAATTATATCAAGCGAGATAGTAAATAAACTACATAATCGCTGAGGTAATACATTTAACGGATGTGATATAATTTCGGTGATAGGCGGCCACATAACTCTGCCGACGCAATATGTAATGTAAATATTTGTAATACATTAGAAGGTCGATTATACTATTCAAACATCTCTCATACAACATACAAAATATTATGAACGCCGTCGCACCAAGTGGGCTCTGAGTTTGAAATTCAAATGATTGTCCACGTAGCCATTTGGGCACAAACTCTAAATGGTATTGAACTATTTAATATTATTGACTTATCAAGGTCATGTTACTTATAAGGCTTGTAACGCTACTTATCAATGCTATATTTAGAAATAAAAGTATTGTAGTAAAGGAATAAAATGATTGATGTAGGATATCAATTATCTATAAAATAACATACTACATATGTATGTATCTCTGTCTACGAACCTGTTTTTGCCATGTTGGCCAAGCGACTTGGTATAGGAATTTATTGAGATTATTTGAAAATATTGAGTATTACTTTTTACTGGTGATATTATTTATGCCTCTAGTCGGCTCTTGCTCCTGATGATGAATAGAAATGCTGTCGTAAATATGATTAGTGTTATTGTTACAACCCTTATTTTTTTAGAATATCATTCACAACAGCACGCAACTTCATCATTCAACATTCATGCAATAACACACTCAACTCCATACCAATGATCTGATTTAATTTCCAGAGAATGAAATCCAAGAGAAGTTGGAAGAGAAGGTGCTGGAGACGATCGATGCGTTGAGTGCGCGGTCAAACGCGGCCCGTGCGGCGGCTCTGGTGAGCCTCCGCGGGGTGCTCCAGCGGCGGTACGTGGCGGGCCTGCTGGCCAACCACCGCGCCACGCTCGCAGACCACGTGGCGCGCGCCGTCCGCCGCGGACGCGACGCAGAGCGACGCGCCGCCGCCGCCATAGCGCCGCTGTTGGCTCTACAGGTCAGACCACCGTCTCATCACACTCTTAACACCGGTAGGTTACCGGTGACCTCATAATGTCTGGATCTTTGCGCCTCGTAGGTGACCCGTTAGCTCACTTTAGAGATGTGTTGAGCGCCGGCGCGTGATTTATTCATACATTTACGTACTAGAATGACCTCGCGGCGCACGCGAATAGAAAATGTGTTTTTTGTCCCACAGCAACGTCACTGGTGATCGAAATGAATTTTCTTTATTTTCCTGGAAAATTTCAATCCCAAATTAAAAAATAAAAACGTTGTAATGTTTACCGATGTCTTAAAAGAATTTTTTTTCATACAAAAAAGTATTTTTGTCATTTTTACAATGGCGTTTAACGTGTTACCTTAATAACTCATCAGAAAGTACAGCATTTTCGGCTTATAGTAAATTATATTACGTTATTGTAGGCAATTTTTACACATTTTATAAAACTACTGTGATATTTTAAATTGTACCTATCACAAAATCATCTATATAGACTCTTGGCAAGAAGTTAGAAATTTGATCTTGTGCAGTTATCTGCAAAGCCTCGAGCGCCGCGCCCCTCTTGGTTCCGCAGGTCACCCTCTATACACTTTACTAATATCTTTCCTATTTTTATACAAATTGATTATATTTAATCAAATATATCTATAATTACATATGAAATCAACACTATGTGTTTTCGGTACTTTAAATTCTATTATTTTAAAGTCTGTTTTTGATAAAAAGCGCATTTGTCTAAAATAGACAAAATCCGCCTTCATGGGAACTAATTATTGTAAATAGATTTTATTATTGTGTTGGTCTTATTTTCATTCAATATAATAAAACATACCTGTAAGAACATTAAAAAAACTAACAATGTGCAAAAATTTCAAGGTAATCATATGGACCAAGCAATTAGTATATTTTCTTATATGAAACATGACTGATGTAGCTAACTGCTCAAGGTCAAACCTCTAGCTTTTTGCTATGAGTTTGTATAGATGACTTTTTGTAACAGAATTAAAAATAGCACACAAATCTTTTTATAAGATTGTATTAAAATTGCTACAAATAGGTAATAAACATACACCATAGTAAATAGTTATGTAGCCAATGTTTAGATTTATTGATTCACAAAACACATTCTAAATGCTACAGTTCAACAAAATAACAATATAGATTTAGGCAATAAAACCTAATTTACTTTAAACTATAAATATATATGGTTACTGTAAAAGCTGCAGGAACTATTTAAGGAGACTTTCAGAAGAACCATAATGGAATATAGGTCTGACATTTTCTATATCAAGAAATGCTTTTGTCTCCTATTAATTTATAATAACAACCTGTAAAATTCACAGCGCCATCTACACAAGAGCTCATGAAAACAAATATTTGTACTGAACGAAAAACATCATCGGGAATAAAGCGGTGTTTTCTTTTTCTTAACTTTTTTTTATTATTTATGATTTTTTGTCTTTGTTTCTATTGATAATAACTAATAAATACTGTTTCTTTCTTTTCTTTTTTTTTTATTGGGTTGTTTGGGCTATTGTCAGATGTTTGTAGCATCTGTAGCACAGCACTGCGACCTACATAGATCTATTGTGCTCGCCCTTTTTCAAAGTTAAACTACCTAGACCCGTCAGGGACAAGAATTGAAGGATATTCTTAGGAGCGATGGTTTTTATCTCCTCGGGAAAGAGTGTAAACTTTACAAAGGAGATATTTCGTTTATGCATGAGTGGGCTACAACCACAAAGGATATGTAGTGGTGTTTTCGCTAAGTTTGGCAAAATCTGAATATTGTGGTTACAATCAGCCGCTTCCCCTGCCACAACGACGGGCGACAACTGAGCGAGAAGGTTGAATGTAAAAACACGCTGCCACTCGTCTTTGTTTCTATTGACAATAAATAATAAATAATGTTTCTTTCTTTTCGTACGAAATTTCTAAACAAAATCTTACGAAGCAGCTAGACTACCGTAGTCCTGATTATAATAATTTTATTATACAGATTGGTGATGAGGGAACAGAGGAGTATATACGCGAAGTACGCCCGGCACTCGCCGCTACCGCCGTAGACAAGTCTGCTTCGCTCGATACTCGCACTGAGGTAACTATTTTTTTTATACCACATAGGTGGCCAACAAGCATACGGTCCATCTGTTGGTAAACTGTTACTGTAGCCTATGGACACCTGAAACACCAGGGGTATCTCGCGCATGTTGCCGTCCCTTAAGAAACCTTATTATAAAATCCCTTCTGGGAAAACCCCATGCTGAAGTCTTTCTTTAGTAGAAAATCTCTAAGTGTACGCGGGAGGAACCTCCTCTGAAACTATTTCTATCTTCAAGCTCTCCTACTTATTTTTTGACCATCTAACATATTATTAATATTAAAAAAGGAAATTTTGTGAGTATGGATAGATGGATATTTGTTACTCTTTACCGCAAAAACTACTAAACGGATTTTAATGAAGCTTTATACGTCAGAATAACACGCGCTAAAAAAAGATATTATGTAAATTGGGCGATATATAATGCAAAATGTCAAGTAAGTGGGATGGAGACAAATTTGCGCGAGTTAATTAAAATTATTATTATAAATGTGTATTGTCATCTGTTATTGTAAAATATTTATCAGAGATAGGCTGTAAAAAAACGTCTATGTCATCTGTCTCACCTTTAGCAGCCAAGCGGCTTGCTTAGTAAGCTATGTTTCGGTTGTAGAGTAGATTAGCCAGTAAAATTACAGGATAGAAAGTGGTGGAACATGAGTGGTATCATGTGTCTCCTATTATAATGTGATTTACATGGTTCTATTCATGTATATTGGTGATGGTTACTGCAATATACAAAGAATCACACTCATGAATCCAACTGTATCTGCGAGGGATCGAATCGACGACTATTGGAAGTGAGGCGATGTGCTAAATCGCTTGACCACCGAAGCTGTAACCCTACACTGACATAACAAATATCATTTCTAGTGTTGCTCATCTCTCGCGGTGCTTTGCTATCTACTGGAGGAGGATCTCACTGAGATATTGGAGGTCATGCGGATGTATGAGACAATATTCTCCGGCAGCTATCTAAAGGTGAGCGAAGCAATGACTCCATAATTTGTTATATTAGTTTTTTAGTCAACAAATATAATAACATTTCAAAAAACACGACTTTCGTAAGCAGCTAAAATGTCCGACATGAATAAATTATATTTGATTTGAAATATTTCCGCTAGCCCTGTCTAATAATAATATTTAATAATATTTGTGTCGTGGTGGAGGAGAAAACGTCATAATTATTATGTCAGCCATTGTTTATGGCATCGTTTCTCAAGCGGCACTCTCGACATAAAAATGGTTGAGCAACGATGGTGTATGTGCCGCTAAGTAATAATGATACTCGTCAGGGCGACGGGAGCGTGAAAGTGTCAGGCGCGGTGGTGGAGGAAGGGCAGTGGCACGCGGCCGCGCTGGACGGCTGGGCGCTGCTGCTGACGCTGGTGCCCGCGCCGCACGCCGACGCGCTGCTGCGGGACCAGCCGCCCTCCTTCACCAGGCTCGCGGAGCTGCTGGAGGCCTGCAGCCTCGAGGTCAGTGCTCCCCGTCTCCACGGTACACCAATTCTTGCATTCTTTTGACACCGCATTATTATTATAAGAAAAATAATTCAGCATATATATTAGAACATGTGTTTACGAGATGCATGTGGTACTAGGTCCGGCTCGCCGCCGGTGGTGCACTGGCAATCGCACACGAGCATATCACTGGTGCCGATGAGGAGGAAGAAGTGGAGGATGAGGATGTCGAGGAGCTGCTGCCCAGGCTGGAACAGTTGGCGCGTGATTCGCATAAATACCGCGCTAAGAGAGACCGCAAACTACAAAGGGCTACGTTCCGTGATGTGCTGAAGTACTTTGAGGTATCATATTAATTCAATTTCAATTTTAGTCAATATATTGTTCTTTGATTATATTTATGTATTGAATTAGATAAAATTGATCCAAGCGGATTGTAAATTGTCTTCCGCTAAGTTTAACTCGAACGGAGATAACCCTGCAATAACAATCTATAAAAACGAAATAATAATATTTCATTTCTACACATTGTTATTTTATCCGGCTCGAAGGACTAACAATACAGATATATTACTCGCGTGTGTCAAAAGTTTGGCAGTTCCGGCGGTCGAGTGTAAACCGCTAGATTTAGCGCGCTGCTTTACTTCCGATGATTGCGGGTTCAATTTCTCGTTCGCTCGTTTATATCATTTCTCTAGTAGCCATAACGCAAGGTCCGTTTAATTGAATTTGTAACGAATATCAGGAGCGCTGGTCGCCGACGGTGGAGGTGTGCGTCGGCGGCGGAGAGAGCGTGCACGCCTCGGGGTGGGGCCCGCGCGCCGCGTACGCCGCGCTCGCGGCCGCGCTCGGCGCCGGCCTGCGCGCGCTCGCGCCGCACTCACACGCCCTCCGCGCCGCGCTCGCACTGCCGCCCGCCCTCACCGCGCCGCCGCCGCACGCCAAGCTCACCAGGCTGCAGCGGGTACGTACCTCGCAGCACACGCTCGCTCGCACTGCCGCCCGCCCTCACCGCGCCGCCGCCGCACGCCAAGCTCACCAGGCTGCAGCGGGTACGTACCTCGCAGCACACGCTCGCTCGCACTGCCGCCCGCCCTCACCGCGCCGCCGCCGCACGCCAAGCTCACCAGGCTGCAGCGGGTACGTACCTCGCAGCACACGCTCGCTCGCACTGCCGCCCGCCCTCACCGCGCCGCCGCCGCACGCCAAGCTCACCAGGCTGCAGCGGGTACGTACCTCGCAGCACACGCTCGCTCGCACTGCCGCCCGCCCTCACCGCGCCGCCGCCGCACGCCAAGCTCACTAGGCTGCAGCGGGTACGTACCCCGCAGTACACGCCTCGGTCGCTCCCTGTCCAATTTATACGGGGTCACATTACGACGGCCCGAGCCGAGATTCAATCCCCGTCTAACGAGAATTGACCTTCAGCCGCTCCATAAGTCCTTCCGCAGGTTTGTATTACCATCTACTCTCGCGTGTTCGTGAAAGCCAGCTGTGGTTAACACCATTAGAGGAGAAAAAAGGTCATGCTCGGCGCTAGACTGATAAAATCTTGCTGCCATCTCTATCGCGTGAACTACAACTCTAACACGAGGAAACTTTCAGACAAAACCTTGACACTTTCAGCGCCTGTTGTAACACCCATTGATACCCTTCATATATTGTTTCCTCTATAACCTGTAATTGTCCTAATATTGTATTTATTATATTGCAGCACCTACAAAACAACGCAAACTGCAAAGCTCGCACCGTGGCACGCGCCAAGAACAGAGACAAACGCTCGGCCGCACTGGCCATCTGATCGCGGCCTGTCCTCTGTCGACCGACACCTGTCACCTGTCTATGTCTGTCACCTGTCCGCACCGCGCACGTCTACAGAAGTCCTCACGGCACCCATGATCTTCACTCTAGCAAATTGTTGTGTTCGGAATTTGTAAATAATTATTTATTTTTTAAAAAATATGTATCAGATCTAAATCTTCAATTGAGAATTATTCACTAGTTACTGTAAATCACCATACCGGCGGGTTCCGACGCTCAAAAAATGTTCGGTCGTTGAATAGTTTTAGGACCCCGAAGCTTAGTTGACGCTAGCGATCTAGACCCGGATAACGTTAGCTTAAAGTAGGCTAGTTGGTGAACCAAAGATATTCTTAAATTGTTTTTGTATAAAATGAAAATGTTGGAACTGCCCAGGGAGGTGAGGATTGGTCGTTGTTAATTTCACTGTTCGTTCGGATGACATTAAAACTATTGTTGTAATGTTTGTCTGTAATTCCTTTGTGATGTTCAATATATTCATAATTGTTGTTCTTATATATAATTTGGTTTTAAGTAAACTTACTCCATATCTTGGTGACGTGGCATGACTATTTAAGCTTACTGTGACTTCTTTGTTACGATTATAGTCCTAATAGTCTATTTTAGCGAAATATTTTAATATAATTATACTTGTGTTGTACTATATATATAGATTTATATCAAGTCCCTTGTTGGGATTTTGATGGTCTCTATTTGTTTGCATTATTAGCCCAATTTACTGTACAGTTTTATAACTTCCATGTTGTAACAATCAAGTTGTGGAGTAAGCGTGTTGTTTTTAATGGTTGGTATATAATTAGTAAATGACTTGTGCTGGGAGGGTTACGATTATATATCATATTTGTAACAACCCATACAGTGGGCTGTGCAATTCGTATATTTTAGTTTGTATAAAATCTCTGTAAATATTATTTTATTCGTTGTCGCGCCGCCTATACTTGTACATTAATTAGGCTATACGGAATGTTGAAATAATATTTATTTTGAGAAAACGACTTGTTTTATTTTAATTAACAACAAATATCCCTTTAAACCAAGATTTTTATGAAACCGTAAAAACTTATTTATACATACCACTTCAATCGTAAGTAATATTAGCTTAATTTAAAGTATTACATAATATGTTATTAATTCAATCATACAATTTTTTAAATACAGTATGTTGGTCAATGGTTTCGAACCGCCTTGCTTCCGATGGTACCGGTGACCGTAAGGCGGTTCAATTCCTACAAACATTGAGTATAATTTTACTATGTTTCATCTGGGTGTTTTCTATGTATTCACAAAAAAAATATCAGTTACCCATAACACAACACTGGTAAATGGCGCCGTGATCTCCACTTTCCACGAGTTCTCTGGAATGTGCAGTAGTTAAGCCTTCACTGACGCTAGCGTATACCGTTATCACAGGCTTACATACAGGGAAAAAAAATAAAACACCGATATAAACACATGACTAGTTTATTCTGACATCAGTACATCGCCTGTCCACGTGGACACAAATCGTTTAACTCGTCTCAATCTTAACATAATTACAACATTCATATATTACTTACAAACTAACATAGTCACTCCAGGCTTCTAGACTACACTCCTGCGTATAATGAAATGACTAGAAACAAGATCTTTTATAAAAAAAAAACGTACATAGGGCAGAAATTAACATATTTCAAATTAATTTCAATACGTTTCAATTGAAATGAATACTATAATAAGAAATAGAAATAATACAAATTTTTAAATTATAAACAACAGTAGATTACGTCAGGAATGCAGTCCAAAAATTCGTTGCTCCGTTTTAAACATTTAATAATGGAACAAATTATTAGACACTTACCTACATATATTGGTATAAAAGTTATAAGCTCGAGTGTCAGACCAAATACTGTAGCTAAATACATATTTGTTTCTTTATATAAGAAATTGCGTAAATAAACAGATATTTATGTCCCGGAGATCAATATACTATATTTTAATTCGTATAACTAATGCTGAAGTTGAGAAACTATCACAAAATTTAAATAAGTACATTTTGTTTGTTATTTAGCTACAGTCAGCCCGTAAGTTATCAAGACACTTAATACATACTTATTAAATATATTACCTATGGTTACATTAAACAGTATGGTCTCCATATACCAACACTTATTAATAAAAAGTTGCCCAAGAATCTGCGCTAAAAGACATTTTCAATTCCAAATATGTGACATTATATACCTACACGTACATGAAACTACGTATGTCTTATTCTGTGCTTGAGCAACCAATGAACCATGAGATTAAAATAATTCTAGTGCAATTCCATCCTGCAAAACTATGAATGAATATCTGTAATAAAAATTGAAAAATAAATATGGACGCGTGAATCGATAACACTACTGGCATAAAGGCATTATTGTGGACTGTGATTCCTATTTACCTTAATATAATTTAATTTCAAAATAAAATATTTTATTTTTATGTAGGCACTGAATAGCCAACACTGACACTAGTATTAAATATTTTTTTTAAATACTTAACTACACGCCATTTTGAATTAGGCAAACGACACGGCACTATTGTCAATGTGAGCGATTTGGAAACAACGTACAACTGTTACCATACAAATATACAAACACGTTTCGTTTCATGAAATTTTCATTGATATTAATCACAACATTGATTTTACATTTATTTGCTATTAAACACAACCATCGCGGTTTTACCAAATTACGTAGCAATTCGAGGTATAAGTGTACATAAGGCAACCATAAAGGCAGTCAGACTGCGTTATTTATAAAAATAGATTATAATGTAGTACGTATCATTCTGTGCGGTCAATAAATGATTAACTAGACGTTAATTAGTGGTTGTGCGCTGCTTAAACTCTTGAGGGGTAAAAATCTACATTTGTTTTGCTCTACATTGATTGTTTAATGTGGTGACCAGCGTCATTTCTATTAATGAAGTCACGGTACTAATTGCACATATATTTGTTGCGTGTCCGCCGCAGTAAGTCTCAATAACTAAATACATCATGGTTAACGGTATTTGTGATTATTTTTGCACATTGCATACAACTATACCAGAATACCCATACAATTCCTTAGTTGTCTAAAAAAATGGGCGACGGACAAAACTAATAAATAACATCAGATCACTGCACCACATTTTATTACAGATGAATAGTCGTGACTATATTTTAATACATATATAGGATTTCGCACCCAAACAGCTAAAACGAAATCCTTATGAGATATTTTAAGGAGTTTCCAAAGAACATACTTCACATTATTAAAATTGATACTACCTACTAACAATCTAAAATTGCAACGTCCTTTGGTATTTAGTTTCGACACCATTTGACATACATACATCTAATAAATAAATAATATTTTAGCCTTATCTATACTAATAAACATCCTAAAATTAGGCCAAAAGATGAGACACCAATTTTTACATTCAATTTACTTACATATATATCTGAGTAAATAAACTACGAGTGACTAAGTATTGTAAATTTTACCGCGCAAGTTTATTTTTTTTTTTTTAATTCTACATTGTACAAAAACTTGGACCAAAGGCGAATGTCTTCTAGCATCTAACTCTTAGGTATAATCAGAAAGCAGTGTTCCATTTCCAAAACCTGCGGGATAAAAATTGCAATACGAATCTACTCAAGAATTATGAACTAACAGAAACAGAGTAACATTAAGCTTCTGTAGTTCGCGAACGAACTTGTTCAAAAACGAACTACACCGACTAGTTCCCAGATTTTTCGCTATTTAGTTCGCTAGATTGTTTAAGAAAGAGCAGCCTTGCTAAAAGAACCGAACAAATGTTTACGGAATAAATACTAAAAGTTAAACTTTCTCCGACTCGAATCGGGAGCGAACTCGCAACAGAACTTCGAACTTGAGCGATCCTATTCGCGAACTATTATAGTATAAGCAAGACATCAATATTTCCATTACAATATCTTATACCAATAATTTTGGCCAATCATTTAACTAATTTTAGAGAAATTCGAAATTTAAATTCCCAAATATGGCGGGAAGAGATTTTGAAATGTCATTCTCAATTTTTAAATGCTAGGTTTAAAGATCGACTTTTCCGGAAATATCCAAGTTAATTTTTAAACGTAATAATAAATTCTATTATGATTTGAGAAATTCGAGGCATACACATATAGTAGAAAATTTTTGAATTCATTGTCCAAATAATAGTAACTCGCAATATATCAATTCATAGAAAGACAAGCTAATCGACGACTTGTACTATTATAAAAACATTTTCAGCGTTCCTCTAATTAGATAAAAAAAACATTGAATTTACTTTACTTGTTTCTCACATTATAGAATGTAAATATTCGTGTAATAACTCGTCAAAATATGGTGACGGAGTAACAATAGAATATGTTACTACCTCTTTTTCTTTTTCTAATGGTATAATAATTCCCTAAACGTCAACACATTTGTGTAAGAACTAAAACAAGCTTAGATCAAGCTGCCAGGTTAGTCTTCTAATATTGTACGGTAAATAGAGGATTTACATGAAGAAGAATTCTGCAATGGCCGATAAATAAATTGTTACAACGAAGAATCCACACACTGTTCCATTCACATTATTTATTGTCGACGATAAATATTCATTGTTATTATTGTATTCAAATTCCAGATCAACCAGAATATACAATATACATGTACAAATAAAGGTATTTTTTAACTTGATCGTATTATTTAAGTATTTTGAATTCAACCGTTCAAAATTAAATTAGATATGGTTTAAGAAATATGTATTATTACCCACATGTGTTATTAGATAATGATAATATTTATATGTTAGATAACATGTAGATCGCATATGGGTTGGCTAAACTAGGACTAGTGTTAAATCACGGAAAACAGAAGAAAGTAAAAAATAATATTTAAGACAATATTAATAGGTCCTTGGTGAAATTTATAGCCTATGCATACAAGAGTACCTAACTAACATCGATCGATCTAAACTCACAAACTTTCGAGTTTATAATATTAGTAAGAAGTAAGATCTACACATTATCTAACATACAAACGTTGCCATTGACTAACAGTTTAGGATACATATTCCTTATGCTGCATCTCCTACCAAAATATACATTCTTTGGTCGACTTATTATACAGTAACATGTATATAGAACTATACTGGTATACCTCTATACAAATATAGTTAGTTTATACAATAAAATTGGGACAGAGTCGTAATTCAGCGAATCCATCCAGATTCATAGGATTAGGGCACATAAATATTTGAAATTTTGATTTCCTAACTAACAATCCAGAGCTACTTGATTACATAACGATGTTGCTGTAAATTTGATTTACGATTTTTTATCTACCAAATACAAACACAACCGTTAATCAAACATAATTAAAAAAATATACACTTTTCAAATAAGCCTTTTTTGCTACTACAAGATCAATAATACGCTACAGGTACAGTCGGCTTCATAAAGATGTTAGGTGACAGAATATTCAATAACATGACGGCAGCAATGAAAATTTTTAAATTATTATTATTCGCTTTTACTAGTGATATGTAGATAATTACTGATATATTTATTATTATAAACAATTCACAAGCATGTCTTCATCTCCAATAAATACATATAAAATAATTATATTTTTGTCTGCCACTCAATCGGTACGCAGATTCATCACAAGACAAATGAGCAAGAAACTTGCGATTTGCTCAAGCAATTGAAACCATACTTGACCTATTTATATGAAACTGACTGTACTAGTAGGGTATAAATGTGCAACGAGAAATATCTCGACTGTTATATTTGGTAATGCTGAACAATAACGTAGGAGATTCTTAGTAACGGAGCATCAAGTCATCCCGAGCCCCTTGGAACTGGTTAATTCTATACGAAAATATAACCGACTTGACTGACTGATATCTCCCACGGGTTTCTTGCTAGCATGTACCTTTAATTCAGGGGCCAGAAACCGTCCAACATCATACAAACTAATAAAATACTAATAGTAAATTTCAGGTGTTAGCCGCGAGAATATATATTCTAAAACATGACTAAATTGAAACAAAGTAAGTTTCATCCATTCCAAAATCTATAGTAACATTTTTACTCGTATAAAACAATTCTTACATATATGCATGATACGTACAGCTTCACTCACAGAGTGTTACTGTAATAGGCTCATCGTGTTTATTGGAAATCACTTGTTCAATTTATAAATACAATTTTAATTAGACATTAAATATAACGTAGGTACAATGTAACGACAAAATTATAATAGCACAACAGTTGAGCAATATACACAATTATTATATTAAATAGAGTTTTAGAAGAATAAATTAATTGATACTTAATAATTTCTATAGCACATCAAGCAAGGAACATAAGAGAGAAGAGCAAAGTTAAGACGACTATAGACAGAGTAGACAAAGTGTGATAACATTATTTATGGATAAAATTAATTACAATTTCTTTACATATATTTAAAACATCAAATCGTGAAAGAAAGAAAGATGAAAATAGATAAGATGAAATAGAAAGAAAGATGAAAATAGTCTGATTTTCTATTATTTTGTTCCATTTTATATTAGTGGTAAGGTTTCACATAAAATATGATGAATTTTCCACAGTATATAGTTAAATATGTGTCATCATATAGGGTATAGAAAATTGAGAAACACCAAGGGTCCACAATAATCGTTTTGAATAGTTTAAATACCCTACTATTTTATTAATTGATTTATTAATAAAATAACAGAATTGTATAATGCATTTATACAATGCTTTCATATATTTTGGTCATTCAATTAGTATACATATAAAATTGATCGCGCACGTTCAGGTCTCCTATCGATATGCATGAAAACGAATTATATATATTTTGTTATTGTTCTGTATAAAAAATTTAGAACAAATCCGGAGAACTCTAAACTAATCTCTGAGTGAAGACGAAAAATGCTTTATTCAAATGTGTTTTCAAGAAAACTAAGAAGCAAATATTATATCAATTTGCACTAGCTTCCTATTTTCTCTTGCATTGATTTATTTTACTGATCTTCTCATACGCATTTCTAATATTGATAATTCGCTGATATAAAACAAATATTATAAATCATATTTTTGTAACTTTGTTAATTTACTAGCTGTAACCCGCGGTTCTGCCCGTGTGGAATACTACCTATTTACTGATAACATAGATTGAAAATTTAATTTATCGGTGATATATATTTTCAAATCGATCCAGTATTTTTGAGTTTATTTATTACAAACAATCAAACGTACAGATAATCGTTATTAATACAGTTAAAAGGGTTTTATTAATAATTTTATGGTACATAAACCTTTCTCGACGTTTCGACTAGTTTACCTCAATTTCTGACTACAGCTAGTGCAACCTAGCGGAAATGTAGAGAAAGGTAAATATCTTTGTTTACTATAAAATTATTCGTGTTAAAATTCGTTTAACTATATTAATAATGTGTACTAAACGCAAGTTTTAAAATAAGTGGTACAAATCAAATATTTAAATATTTGAAGTGAGCGAGGGCCACGCACGTGAGTCAATGTAGCTTGGTCCTCTTGGCTTCTGGCTCTTCGTCTTCCTCGTCCTCATCCTCCCAGTCCCAGTCGTCGTCTTCCTCGTCTTCATGAGACGACTCCTTCTCCTCTGAACCGTCATCGTCCTCTTCAGGCTGTAATACGATATTTCTGATGAGTCGATAGTCCTACTACCACTTACTGATAGACACTAATAAACATCAAGCTTCCCAAATTAGCAATATTAAAATAATTCAAAATCGCAAATAGTTTTGCGCTTATAAATTCTTGAAGTTACTTTAAAAAATAATACAATCGAAAAAGTCGATCCGAGAATAAATATTCCTTTAAATTTTGAAATACACATATTTGGCAATTTGATATGAAGACAAGCTATTTAAACATCAAATCGTACTTGATATTTTATTACATGAAACCATTATTTAATTCAATTAAATCCACCACTTTCTGACTTGACAACTGAGTTTGTGAATTAATTATTTTGTTATACTACAATGGTGTCTACATAGGTTAGGTGAGCATATAGTTCATCGGATGGTAAACGGTTACCGCAGTCTACGGATGTCTGAACACCAGACTCATATATATTATATTGAGTGCTTTATTATACATTATGAGATGATGAGATGACTGCACTAAGATTGTATTACAAATCATAATAAATGGTGAACGTTACCAGGCGCTGCATGACTGCGATGGGCGGCGTGTCGTGGAAGGCGGCCACGCGGCGCTCGATCACGTACGACACGTACTCGTCGTACAGCAGGCGGATCAGGTGGAACGAACCGAACGACGCCGCCGACCTGACACACAACCACTTCAATACTAACACAATAGAACGACCTCAATAAAAAATAAAAACATCAAAAAAATTGTCCCCAAGTATGGCACTCTTAGGTTAAGTTTATACTCTAGTGCTTAATACACATTATTAATATAGTTAAACAGGTAAAGCCTGTTTAACTATATTAGGTTATATATATATATTTACTATATAGGAATAATTTCACGGTAAAGTTAGGTATATACCTCTCTCGATCTCGTTTAGATTAGGAGAGAGACAAATATCAAAAATGCTCTCGTGTTAAAATCAGTTTAATTTTTTACTCTCTCTCCGCTCTACGATGCTTACAATCTAGCTACCCGGAGGTTGTTGCCTCCGATATTGATGCCGGAAGGGGTTCGCCCCGAGACCCCAAAGGCCGCAATCTTAACCCCTCTTAGGGTACGAACAACCAGTGTCAGTCAGAGTCGTGGGCACACATCATACGTCATTTTATACGGGTTTAAAGGTAGTTAACCAGTTGTATACCTGAGTGTAAGTTCACGGATGACGAGCGAAGAGTAAAATGACCAGTCAAGCAGCAACCGACGAGCTCGTAGCTCAAAGTCCGCGCGACGCTCGTGTGGGGCTGTTAAAAAAACATCAGAGTCAATTACGATAGCCTCATATTCTAACGATTTAGCACGTCACTTTAGTTTCAATGTTCGTGGGTTCGATTGCTCTTACGGTACAAATATATGTATTTATGAGTATGATTGTTTGTATTGGTTGGGTGTTTTCTATGTATGTACATTGTGTATGTATTGCTATTGCAATACATACACAATGTAGTAGATATATTTAGTTATTTGTAGTAGATATATTTATCTAGTATGCTTAGTATGTCGTTTATATTGGATTCTATTTATGTATAGTCAGCCTTGGTTTTTCTTTAATAACATTTAACACATTATATTCAAAATCAGTTCGCATTTGATCATCAAGAGTGCCGTGCATACTCATTTTATCATTTATCAATTTTACCTATTAGAATCTTTATAGTATCGGTATAACCCGAACATTGGTCCTTCGAGCCGGATGACACGTGTGTGTGACACTCGTAGATTACACTACGAGTCAGTGAATACAAATAGTAAAAGCAGTCTCCGACTCTAGATTAATTGTAGAGCTACAGTTTTTTAAATAAATTTTTATTAATATTATAAATGCGAAAGTTTGTAAGTATGGATGGACGTTTGTTTCGAGCAAAAACTATTAAACGGTATTTGATGAAACTTTGCAGTAGTATAGCTTATAACCGAATAATATATAGGATATAATTTTAAAAGATATTGTGTAAATTGTTAATTTTAAACTTTCGTGTTTAATATACATTATTTAAATTAAAACGTCGAGAGAGGTAAATACCTTTATTTGCCATAAAATTATTCGTGTTAAGACCCGGTTAATAATTTAAATAATTGTGTAAATTTATTGAATCATAACGATAAATATCAATGATGCAGACGAAGTCGCATGGGTCAGGTGATAAATAAATAAATAAATATATATGAGTGTGTGTGGTGTGTGTGTGTGTGTGCGTGCGGTGTGCGGGCGGTGCGTGCTGACCGAGCGCGGCGCGCACGCAGCCGTCGAGCCAGAGCGCCCACTGCTCGAGCGCGGCGCCGCGCGCCAGCGTCGCCTTGAACTCGGCCTCGAGCCGCGCCGCGCTGCCCGCGCTGCTCGCCTCCGCGCGCCCGCACGAGCACGCCCACGCCGCCTGCTCGCGCACCACGCGGAAGTCCACGCGGCTCAGGTCCGACACCATCTGCGCACCCACACCGAGCCTAGTAATCCTTCCAGTTAGCCCCACCCCTCATTGTTAGTAATAGTCTAGTATCCCCACTGCTAGCATCTTACATATATACAACATAACATGAGTAAACAAGTGACTACGACGCGACGCCGTTAAAAACAATGATGTTGAGAACGGCCCGCCGGTATACGTTTCTGCCGTATCTGGTCGTGGTCGATCGATAAAACATAATTCAGGATAGTCAACCACTAAGCTACGACATACTCAAAAAGATCAAGAATTATTTTGAGAACGGCCCGTCAGAGTATTAGTCCGTTGTATCTGGTCATGATTGGCGGCGTTGACAGTGCCGTCACCGCCGTCGTACCCACGAGCTATAGTGACACGACATAACGCACTGTAGTTCTTGTGCGCCGTAGTGTAGCGTGCAGCGTGTGCGATGTAGTGCATACCTGTTGTATCTGGTTGTGGTTGGTGAGCACAGCGCGTGCGGCCTGCGCGAGATGATTGAGCGACGTGTAGCGACGCAGCGCGGCCGCCAGCGCCGCCGCCGCCGCCGCCCCCGCGCGCCCCGCGCGGCCCTCCGCGCCGCCCGCGCCCGCGCTCCCCGCCACCAGCGCGCTCTCCACGCTCTTTGCGAAGTTGCGAATCGCCTGTGAATATAGAAACACTTTATTAGAGTAAGGGGATTGTTCGTAATGTGAATTATAAACTAAAAACGTACCATGGTAGTTTGAGCTAAACGCGGTTTCCCCTGGAAAACATCATAAATACCTGGAGAATTTTTCATGATGAGCCAAGTCACCTATGACCTCATGGTCAACTTATTATACTCAAATTGTATCTGGTAGTACGGCGGCAGAGCGACGCGGCGGCGCGCCTCCACAACGAGCCTACCTGCGTGAGCTGCGGCGGGATGGGGCGCAGCACGTCGGGCATGAGCATGTCGACGGTGCACTGGTGCAGGCGCAGGTCGGCGCGCAGCAGCCACGCGGCGAACTCGCGGCGCGACGCGAGCCGGCGCAGCGCGCGGCGGCCGAGCGACGCGGCGGCGCGCCGCCAGAACGAGCGGCGCGCGCGCTCCGCCGCGCCCGCCTCCAGCGCCGCCGCCGCCTCCAGGAACTCCGCGCCGTACGACCTGCGCCGACGACACTGTACCTCACATTCTATACCTCTCGCTTACAGCATCGATTGATATTTTAGTTGATAGTGAAACTTCTACATAGACTGTATTAACATTTTTCGGTGACAAAAATAGTTCTCGTCGCGTGGAAGGCTGGTGACGGCGATGTGAGGACATCGGCAGCCGCACTGAGCGCGTAGAGCCGGGGTCCGCTATAGCTTTGTGATAGAAAGAAATTTCACTTCTACTGTGTCTTCCAGCACACATTGTTGTTGTTTGTTTTATTATTTGTAGTAAATTCTTGTTAGTATTTATCTGACTACCATATGATGGGCTAACTGATTTGACGTCATGTTCATTTTATGATCCTCCACTAGTGCTCCGCCAGCATAAACCGTGAGCGCAGGCGAATGCACCATTCTTTTATCATCTCTAGATATTAAAGTGAAACAAATATCTTGTCAGTTCCACAAACAAAATTTAAACTCCATAGTAGTCTTTAAGTATATAAAAAAAACGTTATCACAAACACAGTGTCACGTTAGTGAATCGAGCGGTAGACTGAAAAACCGGATTCGAAACAAAAGCACAAAATATCGGGGCAAACGTATGTTTCATAAAAGAAAAACCTCCAGCTACATTGCGGTAGTGCGTACCTGTAGTGGTCCCGCAGTGCGGGCGCCGCGTCGGGCATGGAGTGCAGCAGTAAGTCGGGCGGGTCGGGCGCCACCGCCGCGCCCAGGTACTGGCGGTGCGCGATGCCGGCCAGCGCGCCGCCCGCCGCCGCGCCCGCCCCCGCGCCCGCGCCCCCAGCGCCCCCCGCGCCCGCCCCTACTGTCGCCGCAGGGCTCGACTGCGACTCGGGCTCGCGGCTCTCCTTCACGCAAACATTCTTGTATAATTACATATCTATTTATATTTCAATAATCAAGACTCCTTGCAAATACAATAATAATCATAATTAAACAGAGAAGCCATTCACAGATAAGAATATATATACCATCCTCACTCGCCCCCTATTGTCTGGTAAAGCTATAAAGGTCATCCGCGGCCAACAGTATCAGTATAGTCCGAAAAACGCACCTGTTCAGTGAGTTCGGCCTTGTCGTCGTCGTCGGCCGCGTCCGCCGCGTGCTGGAGGTGCTTGGCGCGGATGCCGTAGTAGTGGTACTTGGAGTTCCCGCGCGTGCCGAGGCGGCGCGTGCGCAGCCCCACGAACACGGACCGGATGAGTTTCCCGAACGACGCCGCGTTCACCGGCTCCAGGCGGTGCGCCGAGCAGTGCCGCAGGTAGTGCGAGTACAGCGTCGACCGCGGCAGAGACACACCTGGCGCAAACGACAATACCTCAACTGCCTTCACATGACACGTCATTTCACGCTCAATTAGAAGAGCGCGTGAAATAATGTGTCGTATAAAGGCGTGTGCGATTTAGCCTTATTATCTACCTTTACACAACACATTATTTCACGCGCAATCCACCAACGTACGCAATATGTGTGATTGCATTTTACTATTTATGATAACTCTTTCGCGCGTGACAGTGCGTATGTTTCGAATAATTTTCTTTTAAATGTTAAGTTTTTATTAGTAGATTTTATATTCCAAAGACAGTTAAGATTCATAAAATTATCAATAATTGTATAAGTCTTTGCTTTGCTTTACAATAATGTAAAAAAAAAAATATTATGGACCAATTTAGGCCATTGAGCGACCACTAGTTTAATTAAACGTGAGTACATGTGGTGTGCAGAGTGTGTGTATATGAGTTTGTATGTGTGCGTGTGCGTGCGTGCGCGTGCGTGCGTGCTCACCCTCCGCCGTATCGTAATTGTCGAGCAGCCACTGCACGGTGGCGGGCGGCATGCGCGGCGGCGAGGTGAGTTTGTATGTGTGCGTGTGCGTGTGCGTGTGCGTGCTCACCCTCCGCCGTCTCGTAGTTGTCGAGCAGCCACTGCACGGTGGCGGGCGGCATGCGCGGCGGCGAGGTGAGTTTGTATGTGTGCGTGTGCGTGTGCGTGCTCACCCTCCGCCGTCTCGTAGTTGTCGAGCAGCCACTGCACGGTGGCGGGCGGCATGCGCGGCGGCGCGGTGAGTTTGTATGTGTGCGTGTGCGTGTGCGTGTGCGTGCTCACCCTCCGCCGTCTCGTAGTTGTCGAGCAGCCACTGCACGGTGGCGGGCGGCATGCGCGGCGGCGAGGTGAGTTTGTATGTGTGCGTGTGCGTGTGCGTGCTCACCCTCCGCCGTCTCGTAGTTGTCGAGCAGCCACTGCACGGTGGCGGGCGGCATGCGCGGCGGCGCGGTGAGTTTGTATGTGTGCGTGTGCGTGTGCGTGTGCGTGCTCACCCTCCGCCGTCTCGTAGTTGTCGAGCAGCCACTGCACGGTGGCGGGCGGCATGCGCGGCGGCGAGGTGAGTTTGTATGTGTGTGTGTGCGTGTGCGTGTGCGTGCTCACCCTCCGCCGTCTCGTAGTTGTCGAGCAGCCACTGCACGGTGGCGGGCGGCATGCGCGGCGGCGAGGTGAGTTTGTATGTGTGCGTGTGCGTGTGCGTGCTCACCCTCCGCCGTCTCGTAGTTGTCGAGCAGCCACTGCACGGTGGCGGGCGGCATGCGCGGCGGCGAGGTGAGTTTGTATGTGTGCGTGTGCGTGTGCGTGCTCACCCTCCGCCGTCTCGTAGTTGTCGAGCAGCCACTGCACGGTGGCGGGCGGCATGCGCGGCGGCGAGGTGAGTTTGTATGTGTGCGTGTGCGTGTGCGTGCTCACCCTCCGCCGTCTCGTAGTTGTCGAGCAGCCACTGCACGGTGGCGGGCGGCATGCGCGGCGGCGAGGTGAGTTTGTATGTGTGCGTGTGCGTGTGCGTGCTCACCCTCCGCCGTCTCGTAGTTGTCGAGCAGCCACTGCACGGTGGCGGGCGGCATGCGCGGCGGCGAGGTGAGTTTGTATGTGTGCGTGTGCGTGTGCGTGCTCACCCTCCGCCGTCTCGTAGTTGTCGAGCAGCCACTGCACGGTGGCGGGCGGCATGCGCGGCGGCGAGGTGAGTTTGTATGTGTGCGTGTGCGTGTGCGTGCTCACCCTCCGCCGTCTCGTAGTTGTCGAGCAGCCACTGCACGGTGGCGGGCGGCATGCGCGGCGGCGAGGTGAGTTTGTATGTGTGCGTGTGCGTGTGCGTGCTCACCCTCCGCCGTCTCGTAGTTGTCGAGCAGCCACTGCACGGTGGCGGGCGGCATGCGCGGCGGCGCGACGCCCCCCGCGGCGGCGGCCGCGCCCGGCGACGGGGGCGACGCCGCCGCCTCGCCCTCCGCCTCCACTTCCGCATCCTCTCCTGCCACCTGCGCAAGATCTTACTTTACAATCCATTTCTACTTATTACAATAACAATAAAATATTATTATATTATCCAGCCTCACCCTCAGGAATAAAAATGTTTGTACCGTGCGAGATATCCAATTCGCAACCATTGGAAGTAAGACGGCGTCCCATCAAAGTTATTGAAGATAGTTATCGTATATCCACAACCGACCTATTAGTGTATATTATAGTTCTCTGTAAATAATATGTGCCAGTGTATAGTCAGCAACGTTATTCTGCAGCTCAAATTTCTTCACGTTCCACGCATCTCATACTCCATGTCCATTAACACGTTGTGTTCTAAATCCAATATTTTATAAACATAATTCTTTGTTGTAAATTAAGAAACAACAATACAGTTATAAATATGATATGTGATGTAATACGCGGCATGACTCACAAAAAGACCTTCAGGCTATCAAGGTGAAGGCTCAATACTCACGACGACGCCGTAGGCGGTGTACCCGGCGGCGGGCGGCCAGCCATCAGCCGCGTCGGTTGCACCGCCCACTGTCGCCACTCCATACACCGGGTACGAGCGCAACTGCTCCCTGTACAACGACAAACACTAATTATTACACAAGAGGCACAGCGGCTACTTGCATGCATAGAAAGTGCTGCCTCTAGCGGTCCATGAAGGAATTAAAGTTACAAAATTGAATGGCACTGGTCATCCGTAACCCTAAGGTTGGGGCCCCGGGGCTAACCCCTTTGCCCCGGCATCAATTTCGCGTATCAGGATATAAGCCTCTTAGGGGCGGTTACTTAAAAAAACTAAGCGAAATACAATTAAAGTAGACTTAACCGAACGTAAGAAGTAAAATAAAATCACTAAATTGCATGTACTAACTTAATCCATATAGATGATACAGATACGTCTATATATCACACGCGGAACTAGTATACTACATTAACTAAACGATATTGTTTAAAAATCAACATAATAATAATTAATATTTAACGAAGTATGTGTTATTTTGCATAAATTCATGATTAAAATACAACTACGTACTATAACTATGCCAGTAGTATTCTTGTCGCTGAACAGTCAACACTAGACTTCCAAACTCGACACATTGTACGTGGTGGAGTTCGGTACATTAAGATACGGCTCGAAGGACCAATCTTATGTTGAGGATGTAGAAGAAAAATATTTTTTTATACTTATTCACGTTGCGGAGATGCGCGCGAGCTGAAGCGAGAACAAAAGGCGCGGCAACTGATTAGTACTGAAAGAAAAACGCGAGAGGCGCTGCAGTCGCGCTCGCTCGCACATACGTCGGCCATAACGCACGTTTATTTAACTTTAAGAATACATATTAATATTTTAGAACATTTAGATCTTTTTATATTTACGTGTCGCTTACACCTAGTAATGCCACGTTTAGAGGCGAAACACGTGTCGCAATATCACTGGGAGTAGATTCAATAATAGTCGCATTTTGATCACTAATAGGGATAGTCATAACACTTCCCGTAGCGGTGGTCAAGTTTCCGCACAGAACATTGTGATCTCTCAAGCTAATGGTACGAAATTAAACAAAACAATATAAATCCATGAAATAATTCACGAATGGAAGTAGATTTTACCACTTTTTTTTTGTTACAGCAATTTATTAATGAGCGAGCGAAAATGGATAATTCTTTATTACTTTTCACCTGAAAATGTAAGTCAATAATGGCCGACATAAAGTTTTGGCAGAACGACAAGATGGCCGCCGACTGTCAAACGTTTCTTCACACAAACCACCAAATGTCTCTTCAAAAACGAATGCAATAAAACGACGTTTTAAAGTTAAGTTAGAAATTGTAAATGAAATTATATCAAGCCAACGACAAGAGGCAATGATTGCCTTAATACAAGATTGCACTTATATCACTACTCATGTAACGCCCGTAATTTAGCTCATGACTTGTCTTTCCATTGCCATTCCGGACGACCAACATATCATGTCTCCGGACGCTGTAATTCCACTGCATTACGCGATACAGAGGCTTATCTTAACTTATATATGAAATACTAGCTACACGCCTCAGCTTCGCACGAGTGTTTAACCAAAAAATATAAAAGTACTAATAATTTGACCTAGCTCGTATCGGCCTTACTATTACGTATTTTTCCTACAAAAAGTAGATATTAAGACATAAACTGTATTAATTGACATATGGTACCTCGGTTTTTTTTTAGAAATTGATATCCTTAAAGGAAATGACAAGGAATAGGTTTTTAAAAAAAAATACAAGGCTCTATACAAACTGTATCGATCCCTTGTGTAAAATACAAAAAAGGATTTCTCCACTCTATTCACTCTTCCTACTCCATTTGCAACCTGGCTCAGTGTCAGACAATTTAGCATATACTTTATTTTGGTCATCATTTGTTAGAATTGAAATGGCAATCAAGCTGTTTCACGGTAAGTGGTAAGACTCCGCTATATACATGAACAGCATTAGGACATAGCATGTTACGCCCATCGTACCGCTCATGGGTTGCCATCCGAAATACTAAGATACAATATCTCGATGTTCTATAATTTCACTGTCTTATCTCATTTTTAACCGAATCACATCTAACAAAGGATTTATGCTTTTCGGCTGAAATATATGAGAAGAGGTACCCACGGAGACGATTTTGTACAAAGTCCTTGGCTATTAATATGATTAATGAAGTGTATCTAGTATACTCTTGGAAGGAATAAATTATACAATAAACAACAGTGCTAAAATTAAAACAGACTTGAAAATTAACGGTGATGATGATGATGACGAAAATGCTTATAATAACTTACATTTGCGGCTGATGATTCTGCGTATAAATATCTTGGGGTTCCACATACTGGACGTGGTAGTTGACCCCATTGCCGCCCTCGCCTGTAAATGGAAAATAAAAAATATAGTAAAAACTATTATTAGTATCTAACACAAAATATAGAAAAATAAAATAAAAAAGAAATCCATTGGATAAAACTGATATTAGTATAAATTTAGTTTAATAAATTTAATTTTTAATTTGAATTTGTAAACTGTTAATTAAAACAAAGACTTTCCCACAATATAATATGTGAAACGTGTGTACGTGAAAAAAAATCTATAAAATAAGTTTTTTTTTAAATATGGAGCCTCCAATATGCCTATGAATTCACTAAAAAAGCCATTTAAAAAATAAAGTAGAAAATATTTAATTTGTGAAAAAAAATTCGTAATACTAGACAAAGAATTTCCCAGTATATGACGGGGCCCGCCCAACACCGTCATTGCGGGCAAATGATACGCTTGTCATGGCCACCGGCCGAGTGGCAAGTCTCGAGGAGAACTGGTGCTCGACACTCGGCCGGAGTCAGGGAGACACTCACACGGGTAGTAGGAACGGAACCGAGGCACTTCCATGCCGCTGGAGGTCTCCCAGGCAACTTGCCTCCGGACCATCGCTTCCCAGAAACGAGCGACATACCTCTCTCACTCACACCGCATCTCATGTCCCACTCTAACACACAGCCACCTCTCAGACGATGGTGTTACCTCACCCCACCTGCTTTGACCATTGTAAGAGATGTAAGCGATATAATTGCAAACTTTCCCCTTTGTATACCATTTATTAGACGATGTAATACAGATTTGATACACAGGCTGTTGTCATCTATTTATGGATATTTTATTTTATTTTTATCATTATTTTATATATTTTCATTTTAAATTACCACACAACACAACTAGATCATGATTGTATTAGTATTAATCAAGGTTAATTATTTATTTATACTCTTTATTGAACCAAATACAGAAAAAGAAATTAAAATAGTAAATATGATACAGGAGACGGTATCACTAAGCAATCTCTCCCAGGTAATCCTAATAGGTAGACAATAGGATAACTAATCAAAAGTAATCCTTTCAATGGATAGAGAAAGGAAATGAATAACTTTTTTTTTAATTAAGATATTTGTACTATATTTTATGTTATATACAATGTATATAATTAAATAAAAATACAATATACTTAAATGTTATAAAAACGATTACAACCCCACATGAAGAAATTATTGGCATTGACAACGTCAACAATAACTCCAGAGTATAAACATGACATTGTAGTGTACGTAACACTTAATAAGCCCACAATTTGAATTTATGTGGATCTCTAAAATTAAAATTAATTAAGTTTGTTATTGTTTTTTTATATTTGTTGTTATAGATACTTTCAATATATTAGTTATAAACGAGCCGAAATATGTATAGTACACATCTCGCCAAGCATATACGAGTATATAAATATATTAATAAACATCCCAAACTAGAAAGACTAAAATCAAACCATGCAAAGAGAAGCCCTAATAATTTCAATATACATCTCGCTCAATATGAAAATGAAGCACCCAATAAACGCAGACAACTGGCAACTAGACGGCGGCGCGCGCTTGGCACGCGTCGCATCAAAGGTAACCAGCGGACAGGTGCGTTCATATCATGTGTCACAATAGGGGATCATCCGCCCCTTGATGCACCATTGATAATAATCACTCAGGTATGTAATCCTGAAGGGCATAGACAATTATCCGGTATTATTAAGTTTTTTTTTATAAACACAATACATGCTGCTTGGGGAATGAAACTACCCTTTGAAATAGGGGGTAATTCCTAATATACTATCAGTTTAACAGGTAGCAGATAATCAGATTGATGTGTATTGAGGGTGCAATTTTATATTTACGTTTGATCAGTGGCTCAAAGGCTTCTGAAGAGTGAGGAGCGAATATTGTGCGACAGATACTGAAGGTTAGTGTTGGATTATTGAAACATATACCCAGCCCTCCTGAACAGTTGTAAGTAGTTCCCATGCTGTTATTATAGTTCATCCCCGTTATTCATAAAAAAGAAACATGATAATATTCCATTTCAAATATCAACAGTATATTGTCACTTTCTTTCGAATTATGAAAATATATTCTAAGAAAAGGGACAAAACAATTTAATAGCCACCTAAAATAAGTTTAGATATTTGGTGTTTTATGAATACAGGGGTTGTGGTATAGTGTATGTTCTTAGCGAGTAATCAATCGTTAGAAATATTTGTCACGAGTCCAAGAAATTGCTAGAATACAAAAACGAAAATGCCTATTTGTTGATATCATTAAAAGAAAATTATTTCAGAGATTAATGCAATTTTCCTGACCTCTTGATCCACAGGAATATTTTTATTATCATGAACTATTTAAAAAATAAAATAAATCTCTGTTATAGATATAAAATATTTATGAATTGTGTATGTAGTAAGAGAAACCATGTAGCAAAAAGGTAGTATGTATTATTTTGACTACAAAATATGTGAAGTATATTTTTAAACACTTGTCCGTAATAACAGATTTAGGTATATATTTATAATACTGTTAACAGATCCTGAGTATTAAAATTAAAAATAAAGTAAATTAAAAAACGAACAATTATAAACAAATATTACTAACGACTAAGTTCTCGCGCTTGACAACGAAAAAAATATATACAAGTAAAATAAAATAAATAAATACACTTGCTTTCTTGATCACTCTGTTGCTCGGCCTTGACTAGCTGCGGTTCGACTGGTTGATTCCATGCGCCCTGCACTGTACCGGTCACAGATATACAGAAAAAATGTGCTAAGATTTTTGTTCTTGTGCATTACAAACACACAACTGTAGATTTTTCGAGAACATGAAAAGCTATCAAGTCAAATAAACCATAGTAATTATCAATATTTTTTGTTATTTTTTTAAGTTTTTTCTTAAAAAAAACACATAATATAACATATACATATAACACTACAGGTAATACCTACGCGTTAAAGCCATAAATTTCTCATTTTCTCGAATAATCTAAAAACAATAATGAAACATGCTCTTAAACTACACTATAAACATAAAAATATAATTTCTTTTACCACAAAGACGACATATATAAACTAATAAATCTTCTTGAATAAAAATGGACTTCAATAAAACTGTCTAATGTACATATACACAATATAACCATAATACTATAATAATTGGCTGTCACACATGCAAAGCTTCAAAATAGAGCTATATACTCACTAGATACTGTAATGTAGGTGTGCTGCGCGTCCGCAGTGGGGCTGGAGTGGCCTGAACTGTCGCCGTTCACCTCCACCACAGTATTAGACACCTGGAGCAAACCATAGACATCTCTCATTATGGTATCAATGTTTTTTCTTATGTGACTGGATTGGCAAACAAGTTAATGTTAATAATAAATATAATAATTATATGCCTTGTCAAATATATATAAATTGTATACAATATCTATCTGTCTACGCCGTAAGATATCAGGAGGATGTTATAAAACGTGACAATAAGGATAATGTAAATATAATTACAATCTGTAAATATAACTTTCTTTACATAAAAATCTATTTCGTGTCTTTGTATGACGGCGATACACGAAAGATATACAATCTAGCCCGCGCAACTTCGTAGGCATTACACTTCTTGACATTTAACGTTATATTTCACCCAATTAACATAATATCTTTTTAAATTATATGTCTATGTGTTACTCTGATATATAAGCTATATCACTGTAAAGTTTGAACAAAATCCGTTCAGTAGTTGCTGCGTCAAAGAGTAACAAACATCCATCCATACTCACAAGCTTTCGCATTTATAATATTAATTAATAATAACATATTCATAATGGTCTCACTATAGCAAATATACTAAATTGTTATTAGTAATTTCGATATAATAATAATTAACTATATCATCACTGCAGTTTTCCACATTTATAGTTGATCTCTTAAGCCTCTATAGCATCACCATTATTATCTTTCAAATCAACTTGAACAAAAATAGTGCGGTTATACTCCACGAGAACAATACCACGACAATTAAAAAACTAGAAGGTATCCATTGGTCTATTTTGATTGGTTGATATCACAATACGATTTACAGGATCCGTGTTTATTTTATTACTAACTCACTCACTATGTATATATTTATTTGCAATATATACTTTGTTGCCATCTAATCACGTTCGCTGTTATCATAGAATCAGACTTATTTCTGATTCATCTTTATAATTAACATGTACTTGTGGATTATGCACTCTTATCTATTACTACATACATACTTACAAAAATAGGTGCAATTTTGTATAGATATCCTATTAATATTATAAATACAAAAGTTTGTGAGTATCGACGGAAGTTTGTTACTCTTTCACGCAAAAACTACTAAACGGTTTTTAATTAAACTTTACAGTAACATAGCTTATACATCAGAATAACATATAGGCTATAAATTTCATGCGGGTGTAACCGCTACAGTACAACTAGTAAATAATATCTTTAATAAGTAGATTATCTAAAACGGATAGATCTATTAGAAATCGAGGAAGGGAAATATTATTGGTAATGAGGATTATAGTCCAGTAGAACACCCGATTAGTTTTGAAAATCATCGTAATTTTCTGAATTTACTAACATCATCCAAAGGTGGCTCGCATTTACCGTTAGTGCGGGCCAGTGCATTTTATGGAGTACATTTTTGTACTACTTGTATACTGAGGTCAATAGTATGTACATATATTTTTGTGTATTGAAGTGTACTAGAAGCGTTAATATAAAATCACAGTCGTTGTAGTAGTATAGTATACTTAAATGATAGTTATTATGAAATCCTTACTATAAATGCGAAAGTAACTCTGTCTGTCTCGCTTTCACGCCAAAACTACTGAACCGATTTAAATAAAATTTGGTACGCAGATAGTCTAAACGCCGAGGAAGAACATAGGCTACTTTTTAATGCGAAAAGGGGATGTAAGGGGTTCAAAATGAAAATGCAGGGTTATCTTTATGAATAAATATTTTTAAAGCTAGAAGCATGAAACTTATTTTTTAGACTGTTAAAAAATATAAATTAAAAAAAATTGAGGTAAAGGGTTGAAAAGGGAGACCAAACGTTGTGTGGAAGTATCGTCATTTATATAGCTAGAATTTTGAAACTTATTTTTTAGGCTGTTGATTGAATTCTATAGAATTCTGTAAGGAAATTTTCATTTTTGGAGCTAGAACGATGAAACTTTAATTGGATTAGATTACTAAATATTTTTTCATTATTTGGTCACTAAGGAAGGTTACTATTTTACGCGGACGAAGTCGCGGGTACAGCTAGTGTCATATATATTTCACAGCAAGTTTTACATTACAACAGGGATAATTATTAAAATGAAAGGTTTTACGTATATAGGTATATATAAAACCTTTTATTTTAATAATTATCCCTGTGTGTAATTTATATGTAATTTGGTTTTTGAGCCTATAGCCGATTACCTGTTGGATGGCATGTTGCAAATGTATGGAGTTAGGTATCTCTGGTATAACGATGAGCTCACGGACAGTATTAGGCGATGCGCCGCCGCCTGTGCCCGCACCCTGCCATAAATAAAAAAACATTAAAAAAAACTCCCGAAAATGTGATCAATCAACCATTTCATTTTGTGATAATATGTACATAAATAATCACGGAGAGAGCGCTTTCAGTGGAGCTATCTCCTTAGCACACAGACGGAATAACTACCTGTCGAGTTTCTCTCACAAGACTACAACATGGGGTTTTCAAAAAGGGGGTATTAAGGTTTTTTTAGTTAGTATAGTAAAAAGAGGGGAGAGGAGAAAAGGTATTGTTAGTAATGTGGATTGATGATTCCATTACTAGCCATGACCATGTCAGGTTCAGGTCGATGCGGTTCTCCCTAGGAACCATCGTGGTAAATTTCCATTTTCCAAGATGGGCCAACTGACCTGAGTTCATAGTCATTTTATAATCCTCCACTATCAGATAAGCTTGATAAAATGAGAATGAATATGGGGGGCATCAGCCCCGCCAGCATGTATCATTCCATTATCTTAACAATATTATAAACGCGAAAGTTTGTGAGTGAGAAAAACTACTGAACGGATTTTGATGAAATTTTACAGTAATATAGCTTATAAGTCAGAATAACATATAGGCTATATTTTTTATTAATATTTATATATTTAAATTGAATGCGGGTGAAACCGCGGGCATAGCTAGTTATCCACACGAAAATATATATAATAAAGTGTCGGTGGTGACCTGCGTGGGGCCCGCGAGTCGCGCCGCCATGTTGGGGGAGGCAGGCGGCGACGACTCCACGAGCACCTCGTCGCCGGCGCACTCAAAGTCTGGAACAAGTTATTCACAACCAAATGTAATAATAAAGAGTAACCAGCTGACCCAACAAACGTTATGCCATATGTACGTTATTTGACAGTCTCGGTGGTCTAGTGGCCAATAGTAGCGGGTACGATTCTTAGCACTATGTAAACATTTGCATTCAATAATCTGATTGTATCTGTCTGGGCGTTTTCTATTTGTATTATGTAAAATATATCAGTTGTCTGGTACCCATAACACAAGCTCTCCTTACTTTGGCACTAGATTAGGTTATATAAATTGTTGGGGGTTATTATTATTATTGTTATATAAATTATTTCTAGGTAAGGTCTGGATGTATAAGGGTGGCTACCCTTATTATCTAGAAATATTAAAATACTACACATTTGTCAGACATATCAAATAAATACCAAGAATTTCATTAAAAGCCTTTTCTTTCTTTTCAGTTAAATAAAAAAAATGTTTTTTTTTACAAATTCTACGAAGTAATTACTAATGTCAATTAATTCCTATATTAGCCTAAAAAAGGAAATAAATGGATACTTTAAATATACTTTTTTTACCGAAATTATGTATTTTATACATAATTCCGGTAAAAAAGGTATTCTATACGATAACTGGATAATATATAAAAAAAAATATTAGATAAAGTTATATTCTAAACAAGTACTCCAGTGTACCTGATAAGTAATTATACATTCCCCAGTAAAATAATACCTGAATTATACCGCTTATAACATATACATGTGTATTGCAATACTGTTAATATAAAACATTCCCAAACACCAGACTCCACTGCAATTTAGCATGTTAATATAGCTTGATAAATCATTATTATCAAAATCTATTAATTCCACTAAGCTGGTCTCAAAGACTATAAAACAATATTCGCCTACTATTAATAAAGTGGCTAGGCAATTAGCGAAGGGTTTATTAATTTAGATTATTCCATCACAACCATAGGGGGACCATCATATAGGGGGACCATAAAGGGGGTCCTTTAAACCTGGTCATTTGGGCATTGCTCCCATTGTGTCCTCTTACAAATGTTGCGTCATAATTGGACTCCCTATCTACTAAAATCAAACCCCCTTTTAATTATCTGAAATATTATGAAAAATGAGTATGAAAGTACAAAGTATGGTATGAAATAAATTCCTAATATAAGTTACTAAATACTGAGCACACTACAAAAAAATCTCTTTCTGTAGATGTATAAAAATCATATGATTGTGCTGTTTGTGTAATTTTTAAAGTAGCACCATTTTAATTACATTTCTAATGTTTCAAAAAGTAAGTGAAATAATAAAATATTAGTAATATAGTAAAAATTAGTTAGTAGTAGTTATAGAAACAATAGTACTGAAAATATATATAGTAACAAACTGATTTTAATTCAATAAGCTATAAAAATAAAATTTTCATGCCATACAATATATACATTTTGTTATGACAATAAATGATGTGATAGAGAGATATAGAGAGATATATAATGGAAAATATGAGTATACTATAAAAAATAATGATTTACATAAAAATATTACACATACATTATTTGTCTTAAATAATGTAAAATTTTTATAAAACTCATTTAGATTCTAAATTCTTAATAGCTTCAAAAAAACAAATTAAATAAATGATAAAAATAAGTAATGGTTATAGAATTGGCTTTATAACAATTATATTTGGAGTACTGTTTTAATAAATAGCATGTTATCACTATGGACAATTTAATTATAAATTAAGTTCATTATAAAATGGGTTCAGAATGGTTCATGGTAACAATAACAATAATTATACCACAATCTAGCTGATAACTTATTATAAGAATTCAAACATTATTAAACTAACAACATTTCATTATTTCATTCAAAATGTTATTTATATTTAATATTTTAAACAGCACACACTACAGTGAAATTGAATGAATAAATATATATAATGATATAAAAATAAAATGGTAAAAAGTTTTATGCAGTCTCTATAAAATTTCTAAAACAAAAAAACATGTATTATAAATAATGTTTCAATAGCTGCATAACGCTGTCCCATGTGATAGAGATGTTATTGATCTGCCCGGAGCTTGGGCGGAGAGTATCCGAGGAGGGTATCCAAGCAACACCTCATCCGTCCCTCCACACCTCCACATTCAACATAACAACTATATAAAACACTCACTCTCAAGATAAAACACATTTTCAAATCCCATCTCAGACATGTTGAGGTATTTAATTGTTTTTATTTTGAATAACACTTTGAACACTGCAGTCAGACATTATTCAACCTTTCTACTGATAGGTACTGCTAAATGTATTGATCAAACATTCTGTCTCCATGTGTCACTAGGGGCTCCTGGCTCTAGCTTTTTAGATAGTTTCTATGTGAGCTATGGAGAGTAGTGTGTGTAATTTTGTGTAGAGGTGGGGAGGTTGCAGGTGGCATACTGTCACGGTTCGGTGACACCACCTGCCATTGTATGCATGGGTGACTGTATTACCTTATTATCAGTTACAATTACATATTATTGAAAGTACAACTTTCCTTACTGTGTGCATGTTTCTAATATTAACTATGGTTTAAATAGCCCAATGATTGTCTTTTAACCTCCAAAATAGCAGTTGTAATAATTAGCTGTCTTTGTTATTAATATATGTTACATGATAATTCTTGTTATTGAAACATAATAGATTTTTTTTCTGGTTAATGTGCTGTTGACAACTGTAGCAATAGTAGTGGTTTCCGTGTACTGTATACAAAGTGCATATTATGTTTTCAGATAAACATTAACGGCTGCGGCGCCAGTCGTGCCAGGCGCCACCACACCACTGCCACCCTCCAGTTTCGATAACTATGATAAAATTATAGATATACGCAATCGTCCCGCGACCGGGACAGAGGGGAACTCTACAGACCATTCCTGACGCTTCCCGTCCCCCATGACACGCATACGCCGCGTAAATACTTCCTTTTATCTTTTCTCTATGCAATGATTTACACGAGTTTATTTGAATGTTACGTATTAATACCAAATAAATAAATTAAACCCACCTGCCAGCCATACTTTGAACTGTCAAATACCTCATCGCCTTGGGTTCGTGGAGACCACTTTTAAATTACGATAATATTACAGAATCAACTAAAAGTTACGACTCGATATCCGTTGGAAATATATGAGTTAATTCTTAAGTTAATATGATAAAAAAAATTATGTCAATGTTGTTGTCTTGTAGCTACACCCGTTTCCTAGGCTACGGACTCTCCCCGGGCAAATGTGGATAATGAAATGTCAAGAGGGCGCTTGTGTTGCATCTCTAAAAAAATATTTTTGCACAACATCTTACAGGCCAAATCATTAGTAAATTTACTTACTGCATACTAAAATATCGCATAAGTTCTAGATATCTACTCGTGAACAATCCGTGCGTTACTTGTATTATGAAAATAAACAAATTAAAATTAGGCTAAGTCACGCATGCGCAACTGAAACTAATTTAGCTTTACATCGATATTTTTTAGATACGTAAATACGAATTCAATGATACGAACAAAGTTTAGTCTTTGCGTTACAGTGTCTTAAATAACTAGTAATTGCTGCATTTAGAAACGAAGCTATGATTGTATTTATGTGTTAGATGCAGACAATTAAAATTATAATTTATCCAAAATTCCTACAAGTTTAAGAATTGAAGACAAAGGTTTACGGGTACCTTCAACTTCAAACATGTACATGTAATCACTTGAATCTTCTTCAGGAAGCATATTCTCTTTCTTTACATCCATTTCATACAGCATCATTAGATTTTATTTAAGAAATAATAACTAAATTAAATAAACATAAAAATCTAACGAGAAAAATTGAAACTAGGTATATTCTAAGCTGAATAGTTTGTTCAACAAATTATTGACATTAGCATTTTCTCATAATATAAGCACACCGAGGAGGTTTTATATTTTAATAAAAATATTGTCTTATCTAGACGGCCGAGATATGTCAAGTATTCTATCAAAAATGTTCACGGACCATCACGCCATAAATCGTCTATAACAGACGCATAGGCCTACCTATATATATCGAAAATATCAATGTGATGCATAATGCAACTCGGATAAAGACGTTTATGTATGGATTACTTGTACCTAGGCGTCTTTGAAATTCCAATCCATATATTTTTTTAAATTTTTACACAGCTGTTTACAAATAAACGGGATATTCATCATGATATTATTTAAGGGCTCCCGATATTTCGATGCCGTGTTGGTCACGGATCGACCCTCGATCAAGACGTTTGTAACAGCGTCAAATATAATTTATGTAATATGTACAAATACAATTCTTAACGTATACTGCTATAAATTATTAATTATATAATAATAAAACTATAATGTATGTTCGTAGGCTATATCTGAAAATCTGTGGTTTAACTGCTTATCTAAGCAGACAGTACAGTAAGGTGCTTTTTTTTTCGTATGAGCGATACACATACACTACGTTACTTATACTTTGCTCATACCTACATTGTGTATTGTTATTTGTTAACCAACCAGTGTAGTTTTATGTATTTACTTTGTATTTTTTTCTTTATATCAATGCACCTTGTGTGTGTGTCATTTTACGCAAATGAAAGTTCTATCTATGTCTCTATATCTGGGGTAACTATCCAGGGCTAAACTAAATCTTTTCCAATATCATAAATGAGCTATGCTTTCCACATTTCGTACAGGTAGTACTTAAATTACAGTAACAATATAATTTGTTTCATTTGTTTGTGAATTAAAGAGAATAAAACAGAACAAATTCTAATGTTACAAGAAGCTGAAGTACATAAAATCAGTCATCATCAACAGACGATGACTGATTTATTAATATATAGGGACCTATGTATTTACAAGAAAAGGAATCTATGAAAAATGTATCTATGTATTTATACATAGATAAATTTTTATCAGTTATTTAGTATATATCCATAATCCAAGCTCTAATTGGCTTAATACTAGAGGACACAAAAAAAGTCAGTTTTTTTATTTTACAATTCACGCTGCATAACTAATTTGAACAAATGATTGAAAAGTAATGAACTTCTTATGTAGATAGTAGAATACATAATTATCACAAAATAAAAAACAATATTAAAACTACTTTTAAGTTCATGTAGTGCCTTTCTCTAATAAATCCTATAAAATAATCTATCTGCTATTACTTGAATATCTACGAATTCAATAAATGCCCTTACTAATGTCACTATGTCCTAGCGTGGACTAATTAACTCATTGCTAGTAAGGGTTGTCCTTGGAAATCGTCTAATAAAACTATATCAATAAAGAATAATTTCACTATCAGTTCTTGTTCTTAGGACATCATTCAAGCTTGTCAGCAATGTCAAATTGGAGGTTTTCCCGCAAAGTGGTAAATTATTTGAGAGATAGAAGATAATGAACTTTAATGATAATGAATAATGAGAGATTTGAGGGGAAGTCGATTAAAGTTAGAAAGAAATGGCGATAACAAGACACAAAAGTGGTAAGCTAAATTCTGTTTAGTTCAGAACAGTATTAACACGCTCAAAATTAGAGAAAAAAGTATTAATGTAAAAGGAATTACTACCGACACTGACTTTGGACTTCTGGTTTTGAATTTTTAGCGGTAAGATGGGGCCGCTATTATCTAACTATTAATTACGGAGGAGCAAGACGATCATTTGGCAACACTGTGTATGAAGAACTTGTATCGAAAGCCGTAAAAAATAACATGAATAAAAAATAGTACTCTGTGACGTCGATGACGTTTGTGCCGTGATGAGATCAATATTTTCTATAATATACTTGAATTAGAATAATCTAGATATTTTTAACATTTGTTTTACTACAAAATCTGATCATTTTTCTCTTGTTATAAGTGATTTTCCTACGTATTTTAGGAAATACATCTAATAATACAAAATATCAACATGAAACTCGTAGTGAAAAAATTACAAGGAGGCGAATGTTGCGTAGAGGTTTGCTATATTATTACACCAAAATGAAATACATAATATTAATGTATTGCTCTATAAAAGCATTTTTTTACAGGCACTGCCTAGTACCCTGATATCTGAAATTAAACGCGATATTTATAACAAATTACGTATACCTGTGCAAGAACAAAAATTACTGTTCCTGGGGAGAACTCTTGCTGACGAACAGACTGTGCAGTCTTACCCTTTAATAAAGGACGGTACGAAATTAAATTTGGTTGTTAAAAAACCGGACGGATTCTATGAGACTTGTGTAAAAGTATATAAGAAGTCAGGTATGTCTGACGCGGAAGCTAAGAAAACAGCGGCCCGCCTACTGAAGGTGGTTGAAGAGAAATTCAACAAGCTATCTTGGGACGATATTGAGAGGCTATCTGCAGACTGTTTGGCATATGAATCTGGCCAGAGGCGGCCAGCACCAGTTGAACAGGAGACAGATTCTGATGACTTGTTCACTTTGTGACAGGGTTACTTTTACTACTTCCATTTTTAAATTATGGATGTGGGAAATTATTGACATATTCTATTAAGACTATTTCTGTAGAAGTTGGTTTATTTCAGCCATGTACTTACCAGAAAAGTGATAGAGCAGAAGATTACATGTCAGTTGGTTATTGTGTGTTCTTATTATACAGTAATAATAGTGTAGTCCAGCTTCTAAATAATTATACTTTGCATGTTTTAGTTTACAACTTTTACAAGTTGAATAGAATTTATTACACAACTATTATGATGAATATTATATGTTATGAAATATCAAGTTAATGAATGTGTATTTAATTAATTTATTAACCTTAATACTCATTAAATTCTCTATATATAAAAGCAAATGCTCTTTACATGTCATAAAAAATATGTGTTAAATATATATTTTTAGTAATCTTATCATATACACTAGATATTGATGTATTGATAATTAGAATTGTCTTTAATAAAATATTGCACTATTTGCATTAATATCTAACTTATTAGGAATAACATTAAAAATCGTAAATATATAACTAATTTATAATAACTGTGTATAAAGTTTCCTGATTGTCATTTATCATTGTCCCAACATTCATGTTATTTCCAAACTTCTGACAAATTGAAAATTTTATGTTCAGTGTAATTGAAATGTTTTCTGATTTCTCAAAAAACAAATTCAGGTATTCAATAAGCATGTGACAACAACAATAACTTTCAAATACCAATATGTTGAACTAGCATGCCCGGAATTTTCATTTGCGTGAAATTTATAACCTGTGTTATTGTGATGGACAAGCTATATTATTTAAAAGTTTCATTAAAATCTGTTTTTTCATTTTGTGTGTGACAGAATACGAAACATCCATCCACACAAACTTCCTCGTTTATAATGTTACCAAATTTGCCGTTTCAGTCTTATTGTATATTTCAGCAAGACTATGACTGGTATTAAACTTTGCGGGGTCACTGATTATATAATGAGATAAGATAATTGTTGGCAATTCTATAATTATTCTGTTAGTGTTTTAAGGAAATATTAAAAAATAAAACATACTTGTCGTATTAGATCATGCATCACTGTTTTATTTCCATACCTAAGTCTATAAAGTACATTTGATGGCAAGTTGGTACACTCAGTGTCTCATTTCATTTAAATGCTAATATGTTTCAACATATAATTTATTGCAAGTTTTAAATTCAGGCTTTCTTGCTGTATTACTATTCCACTTAATACAAATATATACACATTGCCCTGCAAACAATGACTTTCCCGTAGAAATCGAAGATGACCAAGAAGAACTAAATTCTAAAATACAATGATATGATAACTCATATAAAAAAACCTACAGACATGTACAGAATTGCATACACCCATTATGTTGTAGAAACGATTGATTTTAAAAATCTAAAACATATATTTGACTACATGGCTGACTAAATGACAATCACATTTTTATGTTGGCAGTACATATATTCTTTCAAATTCTTGCTCTAATGATTATAAACATAGTTTCTGGACTATGCACAGCCGTGTGATGTATTGAATTATTACACAGAAAATCGTATACTGAATAAAATCTGAAACTAACTAATATGAACAATATTAAAGTAAACAATATTATGACAATTTGAGTACAACAATGATAAATTGTGATATTTATAACTTATTTTTTAAAATAATTTAAGGAGAATCAGTTTTCATAAATTATTTTAAAAAATAATATATTTTTTAGAAATACAATCTGTGGCATTATTAGGATGTATACATGCCAAAATATAAGATTAATAAGTAATAATTGTAACTGATTGTATGCACAGGAATGATAGATTTATAGGAATTAAAAGAAATGGATTCATTTGTTATTCTATAACTTTTGTGTCAAGTTTATGACCGACATTTCTATACACCAGAGCATCATGCACAGTCCACCATGACTCCTAACCCTCTCCCACTGGACGGGGAATCGTCCCCCTCCGATAGATCACCCGACCAATTCAAACGGAGATCGATTTTACGACGGCCTGAGCCGATGTTCGAACCCCTAGCGGTGCCCTCAGACTAAAGTCAGTCAAGAGTTGGCTTTCAGCTGCTCCATAAGTTCTTGGCGGATTTACAGTGCCATCTGCACTCGCCCATCGTTCCGTGAAGCTGTAAAGACCAGCTGCGGCCAACAACATAAGAATAGTTCGAAAAAAAGGATCAGCATGAACTATGTTTTAATACAACCACGTAAAACATTGAGAGATCAAAATGTTACATAAGTTACATTACATATTAAGATTACGTTAGATGATGACTCATAGGCACTTCACTTAAACAAATCTACTTTCAAACAATCACAACCGTACAATGAGCCTAGGAAGAGACCTAGCGCAATTGAATCTACTTTTATAATTTATAAGATCCATTGTTTTAATAAATCAGTAACATATATGATTTCATTAATAAAAACAAGAATTTTAAGTCCAAAAAAAGTACATTTGTTTTATCATTTATATTATACGATCAAAATAAATATCAATTTATACCAATGGCCCGTTTCATTATAAAATAGCCATAGACAAACTTTTTCTTGTGTTTGCAGTTGGACAATTGTCAAATACCAATTTAGTAATCAACATTCTAATTTAGCCTATAACCTACAATTTTGATTTTCTTAATTTAGATATTTTTCAAATGCGCTAGAGTCAATCATTTTTAGTTACAAATCGTTAAATAACATGAATATCAGCGTAGATTATTGCAATTGTTATCATTTAACGACGCACATTTAACGTCCTATTTAATCATACATACATACTTAATGCAGTCACAGCCACTCGGTCACCCGTCAGGTTGACCTAACTCAACTCCCGCTCTGATTGGCGTATTTCCAAAGAGGGCGGGGCGTAGCAATCGAATGGAACCCGCATATGGCAATCGTCTGACGAACCGAACAATGTGTGACCGTACTTATATATACAGGTGTAGTTAAATGCAAAATTATACGCACATTTTCAAAGCTAGTTGTAGTTTCGAAAACGCTACTTATTTCATAATATCAAACTGGCTTAGTTATTTAATAGTCAAGTTTCAGTTATGTATGTACTTACATTACTAAAATATAAGTTTAAAAAAGAACATTTGTATATACAGAATGTAACAAATAGGTACTTACTTCCAAGAATATGAGGCTATACAGATTTTGATCACAAAGCAACAAAAAACACAACTTAACATATTTTGGTACTTTTTACTGCACGCCATCATTTTATCCTGGTTACAATAAAATTACAAAAAGCTTTATGAAGATTGTTTACATTGTAGCGACGAATGGTAACAAACTTTGACATGATAATTTTTCCAATTGTCATAATGTCTTTCCTGATACACCTGTATTATAGCAATTTCATTGATGTTCTACATTATAGAGATAGTAATGTAAAATAATAATATATTGTAATCTGTACTTGGTATTTTTTATAGCAATCAAATCTAACAAAACCAAACGATGAATCATAGCGACGGCAATTCTCATATAATTACTGTGTCTCAAGCCTAAAGTAGTATTCGATAGCAGTTGGCTTTTGGTGCCCTACAAAACCTTCCCCGTAATGCCCCTCTGCATTCCCGTTCGTCTTGCGAAGCTGTAAAGGCCAGTTGCGGCATACAGCATTAGAAAAGTTCGAAAATGAATTCATCGCAATGATTTACTGTTTGATTTTGGCAGTCAGCAGTAAGTATATATTTAAAAAATTCACTCGTTAGTATCTCGTCTATATCACTATTTAATTAGATATTTAAAAATGCATACCAATTTTTTAATATACACTATGAATTACTTTTTAAAATATAGTTGAAATAGAATAATGCTGTAGTAGGCGCTTTATATATAATCAGATATCAAACCACTATAGTCCTTTGAAATATAAATTTTAAATAAATTCGTAGCGATAATTGGTAGTAACATTTATTGGAGTACATTTTATGGAATTAGGTGTTACTTTATTATTTTAAGAAGGTCGTAACGGTAGTCAAGATTCACACTGAATATTTTAGATACATGCTAATTGTGGCAGAATTAAATAATATAATAGAAATCCATTCAGTAGTAAGATTTATTGGTCTTTTTACACCAATGTTGCAAAACTTTCTAGGCTTCAATACCCTTTATATTGAAGCCTAGAAAGATCTGCAACAGGTTTATAAGATTTAAACAAGATCTCAATATTTTAAGACCGTTGCAAGTACTTCTAACACCGTTATGCCCGTTAATAATATAATTAGTTTTCTTTAATTATTTTTGTACATTTCAAAGGGCTTATATGCCACTTGTTTTCTGGATAGTTAACCTTTATGATTAACTCATTAATACTGTCTCGAATAGAATCAAAGAGGTTACTGGACAAATCTATCAATTTTAAACTCTTTACTTTTGAATACTGATGAGTAAAAATATTAAATGAGCCACAATTTTGATATAATGAATAAGAACAATATATTTCATTACACTTTCAGGTGTTTTGAAATCTATCAATAACATTCATAAATTGAAAAGTCGTTAATGCAAATACAAAATACTATTATTATAAGTCTTATAACTTCAGAGAAATATTCATAGAATAATTTCAAAAAATATTTGATCACAAACAATTGCAGTTATGAATTAGTCGATGATAGTAGTTACGAGAGACGTTAGTATATATATTTTCAAGTTTATATAATAATAAACAACAATGTACAGGTAAATTGACTTAAAGACGTTTCGGCGTTTGTAGTGTACGCTCAGTAGATATATTAATAATCCTGCATAAATACTTTATGTAGAATTTTTTTATAAAATTTTCTATAAATAAAAGACAATGAACTCGTTAATCAGATCGCCGTTTATTATTTACCAGCTGTTACAGCGACTTCATTCGCGTGGAATTTAACCTTATTTTTGTAAAATAAAAGTATCCTAAGTTACTACTACCTGCCAAAAAAAATCCGTCAAAATCGGTCCAGCCATTACAGAGGTTAGCCGAAACAAACAGACTGACAGACAAAAATTATAAAAAATGTTATTTTGGTGTATGTACCGTATTTATATTCATATGCATGTAGTAAAAAACGGTTATTTCAATATTACAGACACTCCAATTTTATTTATATGTATAGATAAGAAAATGGCGAAATATTTCTAACGTTACTTACAAATCACTGACGTACACGTAACTAGCGGTAACTGGTTTATTCCAGTTTTAGTGACTGTCTTACACTACTACAAATGTAAAAACGTCTTTAAGTGGATTTACCTGTATACTAGCATGAGTATTTAATTTTTTTTTACGATCGAGACAGAATTTACACTATTCTGAGATCTAACATCAAGTGCTAACTCTCAACTTGGTCGATAACAATACGCATTTCAAATACTTAAACATAGGTTTACCGCTTTAGATGTACCATTTCACAGTTCAAGGAATAGAAATCACACTTGCTACCGAAACTGTCGAAGAACAGTCATAATTGGAAAACAGTTTCAATATTATTAAATGAGAATTCCCAGCTTCAGGTCTAACAAATCTTTATCACCCTTACCTTATGGAACAATATATAACGGTGGACATATCACCAGAGTCTTAAACCTGCTCGTAGTAATTAGTCTTATCCATTGATTGGACCAAAATGAGGGTAGTCTTGCTTAGTTTTCAAAACTTTAGCAACAGAAATGTGCCTCTGAATAAAAAATTATACAGAATCGTAGTTCTACTCAAAAATCAGTCAATCAGAGTCGCTCTCCTCGTCGGATGAGGATTCAGACTCTGAACTATCAGGATGATTCTTTGTAATTTCAATGCAGTTGTCTACATCGGTCAGTCTTTTCAGTGATCTCCCTGTTGACAAATAATAATTATCATTGACAATGGCAATAACATTCTTATATTCAGGAAGTTAACATCAATATAATAATTAAATTAAATTAAAGAGTATTATATTAAAGAGCAACACGCAAATTTCTTGCTCGTTCTTCTTGTGATGAGCCTGCATTCTGAATGAGTTGTAGAATAAAAAAATGTGACTATTCAAAAGCTTATATTAAGTTTATTTGAATAAAGATTATTTCCATTTTAATAAATTAAATATATAACAGATTATGATGTCAAACTCTAATCTATATATAAAATTCTCGTGTCACAATGTTAGTTACCATACTCCTCTGAAACGGCTTGACCGATTTTTATGAAATTTGTATATACATATTCAATAAGTCTGAGAATCGGTTACTATCAATTTTTCATACCCCTAAGTGATAAGGGTTGTCCACCCCTAACATTATATTTTTATTTTTTGGACAAATTTTTTTATTTATATTTTAATATTATGTGTCAGTAAAAAATACATACAACCCAAAATTTTCACCCTTCTATCACCAACCCCTATTTTTTTATAGGGTTATTAATTTATATGGCAAAACAACGTTTGCCGGGACAGCTAGTTTGTTATATAATAATTTGACACCCGTCACAACCACAGATATAAACTGTATTATTTTCTCATTCGATTTGTTCTTGACAGAACGGTCGTGGTCATTATGTAGTGAGATGTGAGGCTGATGTCATCCGCCGACAGCTCGCTATTTGTCTCTACTGTCTGCCTTTCTGGTACACTCGTGGAGTGGAGGGCCTATACCATGATAAACAGTATACGTAAAGTATAACTTGTAACTAAATTGTGCTAAACCACCGGTACCCTCATCGTCAAACGACAAATATATATGTTAAAAGTTATATAAAAAAATAATACTTACCCGTCAATGTAGTGAGCAATCTATTTTCGTTCCCTGGCGGCATATTGATAGGGCCAAGTTTCTTGGCTAGTTCCCTCGCTCTATCTGCTCCAGAAACTGGAAGAGAGAAATCACTTAATTAAAAATATCTATTTTTAACATACAAATAAAAAATAAAATAAATAAGCCTGTACAATTAATACAGCGCCATCTAGTCTCACGGTGAGTAGAGCTTGTACCCATAAGCGTACTAGACGACTGATATAAATACTTAGATATATATATATATATATATATATATATTTTGTAAATACATACATAATATTCATAGAAAACCCCCATACCGATACAAACTATCATATTCATGAATTCAAATGTTTTTACCGTGCGAGGAATCGAATCCGCAACCATCGGAAGTAAAGCAGTGTTAAAGGATTGGGATACTACTAAAGGATTTATATGATTTTGTTTCTTTCCGCTACAGTTAGCATTTTTTGTGAGACCACAAATAAATTCGGAAACTTGACTACGGTTACGACATTGATGATCAACTTCCGATCGTTATATGATCTACGCCCATATTGCGACACGTGTTTCGCCTCTGAATGAGGCATCATCACTCATTGAATAGAGTTCGGATATAGCTTACCGGTTGCCGGACAGTTAATACTAGGCTTCCAATCTATATATATTTAATTATACAATATGTGGGCTTAATGCTATTAGCATTCTCTACCAGCCAACCTTACAGAGTGTAGAGATACTCCAAGGCGGTTTAGTTGATTAAATAAAAATATATATTTACCTCTAGAACCTTCTTGGCTCGAATCTTCTGTCATGGCAACCCTCTCAGTTCTGTACACACCGGTCACCAAGTCCCATACAAATAAGCACTGAAACAAAAAAACATATTTAAGAAATGCGAATTATTATTATCGCTTTATCATAAAAAAGTAGTAAATGTCATATTTCATTGGAACTTATAAAGCGGTCGCCATACTCTCGCACTCGCCCGCCACGGCTCCCGTCCCTGTCGCAAGCCCACATCATTATATGTAAGTACTTTACTGTACTGTACTGTACTGTTACCTCAGCGGCGTACTGGTGGCGGTGCAGCAGGCAGCCGGCGCGGTCTCCGCACGCCTCGCACTCGGCCGCCTCCCCGTCCTCGTCGCTCGCCCACAGCCACATCGCGCACAGCTGCACCAATAATAAGCAAATCAATTCAAAATATCTATCTAATATTTATATATAGTGGACAGAGCACAAAGTGCGGTATTTTTATAAATTTATTAGGGGTTACTACTCGGTGCTTAGACTTTTAGCGCTGAAGATCAATAGAATGCTAATGCAATGACTTTCGTAGGTACACCATGTAGTTTTTTAGTGGGCTAGAATCTCACACACCTCTCTGACAGGGAGATGGTCTTTTCAAGATTTTTCTCACACTATAAAAAGAGGCCCACTAGGGACAATATTAGAAGGATATTCTTTATCTCCTCAGGACATTCTACTTTCCAAAGAAGATAGTTCACGCAAGTGATGAGTCAGCGAGCAGAGTACACACCCCGGAGAGGCATCCGCTGGAGTGGCAGACGTCGATGACGTGGCAGCCCCAGTCGAAGCAGTAGATGAACCGCTTCCCCCCGAGGCGGCACAGGCGGCCGCAGACCTCGTTGCAGAGCAGCTCGGTGTCGAGCGAGCGCTGCCGCGCGCGCAGCGAGCCCGCCGCCGGCGCCCCCGCGCGCCGCTCCCACGCCGCCGCGCCCAGCGCCTGCAGCGGGGCGTACCGCGCCCCGTGCGCGCTCAGGTGCAGCGCCACGTGGTACCCCGACAGGCAGTCGTCTGCACACCGCGCACCACCCTCGCTTATACCGCGGGTACTCACCGAGTCATCAGTACATACATACTTATACATGTGTGGTACACCGACAGACACTTATATCTCAGATACTGACGAGTAATGAATACGGTCGCACACGACGAAATCACTAGTAAATTATTGTTATAGGTGTGTGGTACCCCGACAGGTAGTCGTCTGCGCACCACACACCACAACCTGACACTTATATCTCAAATACTGACGATTAATGAATACGACACACGACGAAATCATAGTAAATTATAGTTATAGGTGTGTGGTACCCCGACAGGCAGTCGTCTGCACACCACACACCACCCTGACACTTATATCTCAAATACTGACAAGTAATGAATATGTTGTACATAACGAAATCATTAGTAAATTATAGTCATAGGTGTATGGTACCCCGACAGGCAGTCGTCTGCACACCGCGCACCACCCTCGCTTATACCGCGGGTACTCACCGAGTCATCAGTACATACATACTTATACATGTGTGGTACACCGACAGACACTTATATCTCAGATACTGACGAGTAATGAATACGGTCGCACACGACGAAATCACTAGTAAATTATTGTTATAGGTGTGTGGTACCCCGACAGGTAGTCGTCTGCGCACCACACACCACAACCTGACACTTATATCTCAAATACTGACGATTAATGAATACGACACACGACGAAATCATAGTAAATTATAGTTATAGGTGTGTGGTACCCCGACAGGCAGTCGTCTGCACACCACACACCACCCTGACACTTATATCTCAAATACTGACAAGTAATGAATATGTTGTACATAACGAAATCATTAGTAAATTATAGTCATAGGTGTATGGTACCCCGACAGGCAGTCGTCTGCACACCACACACCACCTGACACTTATATCTCAGATACTGACGAGTAATAAATACGGCCGCACACGATGTAATCATTAGTAAATTATAGTCATAGGTGTGTGGTACCCCGACAAGCAGTCGTCTGCACACGCCACCCTGACACTTACATATTGGATACTGTCGAGTCATTAATACGATTGCACACGGCGAAATCATTATTAAATAATCGTTATAGCTGTAACAGTTATTTATTGCTTCCTACTTAGTGTGATACAACAAGGACCGTTTCATTCCACATCATCCGACCAGGAATTCTTATGAAATATTATCCTATCATCTACAACCACTTTATAAGACGACGACCTCAACTACACCGTACAGTGCAATCAACAGGGCGTCACGTGCATCCGGGCGTCACCCCAAAACCCCATTTATCCTCGATTGATTCCCATTCCAATGCAAACAAGAATCGAAATTACTATTGCCTGTGACGAGATTTGAACTACTAACGGTGCCCTCAAACTAAAGTCGTATCCGTCAGGCAGGAGGTAGCCTTCAGCCGCTCCGTAAGTCCTTACTGTAGTTTCAAACATCTCGACTCTAAACGAAATAGAGGGTCTATTCTTCTAAAAAAAATTAAACAGGAACCTATGAACATAACTTTTTAGAACTGTACCTTTTGTACCACTTAAAGCAGTTAAGCAGGCAGGTTATTTAAGCCAACATCTAAAATGGTCTGTAAATTGATAACTTTAAAAAAAACTCACCTTCGGAATCCGTTATAATCGACGTAATTTCGTCATCGCTCTCGACGAAATATCTCGTGAAGAACTTGCTGCATTTCGAATTACCAGAGTGCACTAAGTATGGATCTTGTGGACTGACAGGGAAATCTGACAGTGTTTTTGAGGCATTATCGTGAACTGATACAGTTTTTAGAGAGCCATCGTCGAGCATTTCCATTACCCTATATTCGGACTCACTATTATGGTCAGACTCTAGTGACGACAGTTCGGCCGAGTTCTTAATTTCGCAACTAGTTGTCGGCGACGGCGGCCTGCTAATTTGGTTATGTGCTCTTAGAACTACGCTTTCCACTGGAGGAGATTTCGGCCGCCGCGGCGGATTTTTACTTGTAGACCCTATGAATACTTTCCTATTACTTCTTAATACTCTAAACGGAACTATATTCTCGTTGTTGTCCTCTGAGAATTCGTATTTCTTATCAGCTAGTCGTCGTTTACGATATATACTCAACTTCTCACACTTTGGTTCAGTCTCTTCGACAAATTCATAAGCTTTCTCCGCTATAATTCGGTGCATTTCGTTGAACCTCGACATGCTCTCAGCCGGCCGTCTTCTTGGAGATCTTAGAGGGGGACTAATTAGTGTTCTGATAGAGGGCGAAGGTCCTTCCCACTCTTCCATTAAATTGTGTGATATTGAAGAAGCCTGTATACAGAGCTCCTGACCCATTACATCAGGCAACTGGACAGGCCGGGACATTTGATACGGCTCTACTTCCAAATCTGAGAAGTCTGCTAATATATTTTGGACTACATTATTTTGGTATTTAGGCGACTGGAAAGGGGCAGAAACATCAGATGCGGGTGTGCTCGGGTTGGTATCTATTATAGAATTTGTTTCGTCTCTATCTAATGAGTATTTGCTATCATCTAGTAGTTCAGTTCTCTCCGGATCGGGTTTCACCAAGTCCACCTCCAGTATGTGGATGAAATCCGTGTAAATGATGATCTGATTTGAATAAGCTAGCTGCACGACCGGTTCATACATGCTCGAGTCAGATGTGCAGAAAAACTTTGTGTGAATTGCAAAATTGTGTTCTAAACACCTTTTCCCACAGTTCAATTCATCTGAAATAAAACAGTTACAATTTGTTACATTATGTATTAAAGAAAATATTTTAAACTATCTGAGTCTGCAACGTCCTATGTATGGAATGGGAGCAACACCAGATTATACCAATAACAATTTTTCACATAACATATATGAGAAAAGCTGTTAATGGGGACTTGTATGTACAGAATTACAGTGGATCAGTTACATTTTTATTACATGTATTAATTTCATAAAGTCCTCAAGAAGTGGTCCCTTTAATTATCATTACAAATTTAAATAGTTGTTAAATTTGAACATGTTAGTAATATGACTTACATTCAAGATTACAAGAATATATATTTATTTTTAAATCTTTTCGTTTAGTATACGTGATTAATATAGTTGAACGTGTTTTAACAGGAATAATATTATGGTAAATAAGTTAAATAATGGTATTCACGTCTCTAGACGTTTTGACTACGCTGCACTAGTCACCAACTGACTCAAGCTCAGTGAGCATTATTTACCATACAATAAGGATAAAACCCGTTTAACTATATTAATGAGAAGATATACATAATGAATTCTATATTATTATACCTTCATCTTTAGAATATGCTGCACACTTCTTACAACCTAAACGAGGTACGCCGATTACACTGAGGTAGGATCGTTCAGAGCAGGAATCTCTGAAATAGCAATAAATAAAAACAGCCATAAGATAGTGTCAAAGTATTTAAAGATAATTTACATGATGCAAGGTTTATGGCATTCGCTTATTGAGTGATTACATTATTAGAAACTTAAATCTAACACAGTATAGGCAGAAATGTCAACAATTATTATTAGTTATAATTTGACATTTTTTTTGTGGCAGGCAAATTTAAACTCTTTTAAATGTATATTTTAGTCTTAGAGTCTATAAGTTAAGATGGTAAATGTCTAATCCAAACGACTCTATAATAATATTTGTCTCATTCATTTTAAATTTGATAATAATGCAATTGAATAATGCAGACATTATCTATATGCATATGCTACTTCCATCACGGTTTGGTCGCCTAACTGGCAACACTAAGCTTCCAATATATATATAAATAAGAATACTTACGCAATACCATAAACAACCAGTACACCTGGATTGTGTTTCCATTGTGCCATTGAAATGGTCACTTTGCTATCTACATCATCCCCAAACAGTGGCACACTGTGTACAGGCTTCACCACACAACCAGGCACCCATGACAGGAAGTGGAGTCTAAAATATTGCAAGTGGAGTCTAAAATCTCTCCATATACTGTACACAATAAAACTAATACATTAGACAATTTTGTAGATATAAAGGAATTCACATTTAAACTCAACGTTAAATCAATTATGACACTAAATTAATGTACAGGCTTTACTGATATACATATATTGATATATATGAATATTTTATGTTATGTCTTACATAACGTTGAATTCAAAAGTGCTTAAATTAAGTTTATTAAATGATTTTCTATTCTATTCTTTTATAAAAAATCCCATTTCTATAATAGGGGATATAAGTCGTGACGGTAAACTTGTAGTTTACCGTCACGACTTATATCCCCGATAGGGTAGTTAAATGTCACATTTCATTGAGTATATTTGAACCCAACTGGTAAGGAGACAAGCCTAGTGCCAACTCAGATTCTAAGTTACCTGCACTGGAAAATCAGCTAGAAATATATACTCACTTATTGCATAAATTTTTTTTTATCATAATATTTTATAATATTTTGATTTCATACAAACAAAATACAATATTTTGTAATGCCTCAATAAAATGTAAAGGGATACAGTATTATCATAATAATAAAAATGGTTAACTCACGTGAACTTAGAACTCTCTCTAAAATAAACTTGTGTATTACAGTTGTATGTGAAACTTAGTAAGAATTGTCCACACTGAGAGAATCCCATGAACACATGCTCCCGTAGGTAAGACATGGGCACAATATCCATGAGGCAAAACCGAAGTCTAGGTGGTATCCGCTCAAACATCTTGCGATTTCTGTCATTTGATTTTCTTGATGTACTGCCAAATATCTAATAAAATAAAAATAATTCTTATTAAAGTAAACTTATTTTTAAAAAGTCTAGTAAGTTAGAATTTTTTAAATGTTATCTGTAAAGGTGACCAATCATCTGTAAGCTATGTTTCAGTTGAAGAGTTTCTTTATGGATTATAATAGAATAATGCTCCTTTCTGCGCTAACGGTTTATGCGGGCGGGGTACCAATGAAGGAGAATAAGTTGAGCATGAGGTCATGTCAGTTAGTCCATTGTGGAAAATTAGCAGGAATTTATCACGACGGTTCCAGGGGGAACCGAGTGGCGATCAACCTGGCATATTGCTAGCAATGCTTATAATTTAGTTTATAATCCACACTATTAACAATTCCCTACGCACCATTGAAGAGTGAGATTAGGCAATAAAATTACAGGGCATGGGGGCATGACATATTGATGCAGAAATGGTAATGCTGGAGTATTTGCATGCCTGACATCATGTGGCATCTATAGTACCAACTACAGATGCCACATCATGTCAAGCATGTAAATAGGCATCAGTCACTATTTACTAGCAGGTGAGTTGTAAACTTGTTTGCCATCCAAATAACATAAAAAATAGCATTTCTGAATAGTGATAATTTCCTTCCATCACTTGTCTATGATGCAAGTTCAATAGAGAAGAATTAGCAGAAAGCTCATAATACATGCTCCATATAACAGAGTAGTAAGTTCGAAGTTGTTTGTACATAAATTAAAAGCAATTTTAATAATCTCTCACAGAAACATCTAACAATATAACTCTTAACATTAAATGATAATGTAATCTTAATATATTATTTTATTTTTAAATAATTGATAAATATGATAGCATAGCAGTTCTTGTATTGATCGCTGCTTGCATTCTTATGTAAAGTGTGTGTACTATAATTACCACATTGTAATTTTAAGAAGCTTGAGTAGTCATTTCCTGTACAAGTGCTGCTTGTAGGGACTGGTCTGCTCTAATCACTAACAACTGATTTATCTTATTGTGTATTTAATATTTTTCTTAAAAATTATATTACAACAGTTATTTAAGAGAGCAACATGCATGTTTTACTTTCGTGAGACAGGTTTCCAAATGAGTGGTAGTTTAAAAAAAAGTATGACTATTCAGAAGTAGATAATTTAAGTTTATTTGAACAGAGGTTTTTCTATTCTATTCTATAGAGAATAATTTAATTAACAATTTATAGCTGATAAGAGTTCTTATCAGACAAAGTGCAATGTTTCAGAAACTAAGAATTATATGTTTTAAAAAATCATAAATAAACTATGTTGTATTGGAAACATAATCCATAAAGAAATGATCACTCACATAAATAAATTTTTGTTGGCAAAGATTGTCCAACAAAATTTGAATATTTAATATGTCTTCTGACAGACTGAGCGATATAAAACACAATTCATTCTGCTGATGATTGTCAATTTTTTAACACTGAGTTTTAAAAGATTGACCATCTAGCTCGTCTAGGAACTTCAATTAAGAAAAAGCTGGCCAGAAACTCAATTGGTAGATTTTACTATTTTAAATCACTTTCAATATTTAATCATAAAAAATATATAGTATATATATTTTAATAAATATATCATAAAATAATAGAAATATATATAGTATATATATTTTTTATATGCCAGCCTCTTAGAAGGTATATTGATACCTGGCTTCAATATAAACTGTATGAATTTACTTTCTATCCATTTGTATGAATATTACACAAAAACTAAAACTTCTGCTTCTTGATTTTCTAACAGGTAATTTTTAAAATTCTATTATGTGAAAATAAATAAAATTATATTTTTTAAATAGAGTTGTGTATGGGAGAAATCATGATTCTCCAATACATGACAAATATATACATAAATTATGAGAGTGCATGAAAGTAGAATAAATAGCCTAGGTTCATGTACTTTTATAATTTCTTACACATACATAGTCTCAGCTTTATGACACTCACTCCTCACTCCTTATGGTACTCAACCTTAACATTAGTGTGCTGTAGTAAATACATTGTTTAGAGCTACTGCTCATTTTTGAGATATATGGAGCTCACAAAATTTGTGGATGATAGTTGTGAGGCTCTGCTTCTGTTTTCTAACAAACAAATTTAATATATTCTACCAAGGCTAAGAATTCGCTAATGTCTCAGAAACACTTAGTTTATAATGAAACTTCGCTCGAAGTAGAAATATAAAATTCTTAAAACTATAACTCTAGAAAATATGTACATAATAATCAAATTTTAAGATAACAAAAAAAATATTGTAATCATTGAATTAATGCAATAATAACTTTGATGTAAACTCACCTCCCTGTTAAATAATTTATGAACAATATTACTACTCTTCATTGTATTGCACTTGGAAGTACTACAAGACATTTTGTCATTTTCACTTCTAAAAGATTTCGAATTTTCAGATTCCTCTGTAGATTCCATGTTGATTTGTTTGAGAAATTTGAGAATTATAGAAATGGTTTGATTGAAATTGAACTGAAGTGAATGAAATGAATGAAATTATTTGTTGACAAATTGACATATGGACAACATTGGCAATATTAATCGCAGAGTACTTTAAATTGTATTTGAGACATCAAATACTTTAAGCATTACATTTAGAGTTCTAATGTTCACTTATCTATGTAGATATAAACATTTTATATACTTTGTGCTACCGTATGCTTTATTTAAAATGTCTTTAAACAATAAGTTTACAATATACCTACAATTATATATATATGTATGGACAAAACATAATTCAAATTATTAAATGTGCAGACAATCACTGTCAGTGTCACTTAAAAAATGGATTATTAGTCTGTGTCTTTAAATACATCAGTTAAAAATTAACTACAAAATAAGATAAAACAATCCCAAGTGATTATATTATGCTCTTTGAAATAAACGGTTAAAACATATACTAAAAGATATAATATTATTGAAATATTTTATATTCTGTCAAATTAAAGTTTGTGTATATTATAACAGTTTTAAAAATGGAACCTATGACTTTGGGAAGCCCTACTCATTCTCCATCAGGGAGCCCTAATGTGGGATATTTGCCCCCATTTCTTTTAGGTGAAATTAATCCACCAGCAACCCCGCGAACCAACAGCTTATCTCCTACAAAAGGACGAAGCCTTGCATTTGGTAAGTATTTTTATATTTACATAAATGTTGTTGGTTCCATAATTAATCGTGTGAGCGTCGTGGACTCTGGTTTAGGTTACTCTTCGACTCACTCCCAAAAGTCCTGAGTTCAAACTAGGTTAACACCACAAATTTATTCCTGACTCCAGAGAAACACCAATAACATATTGTATTTATACCATCTAATAGAGTTATGGCCTTTACTGGCCAGTCTAAATTTCATTATATATAAATGTGTACAATGTCACTCAAAATAAATTACAATTATATTTACATATTTAAATGATAATTCCTAAGTTCTTAATCTTCTAACTCTATTTATCTTAAAATAACAAACCAAAAATGAATTGAAGTTGCAGTGAAGATGCTATTTTGGATTCCAATAGATCCTGTGAAATGTGAGCAAGACTGTATTGTATTCTCCTAACATTAACAATTGTAAAGAAAGCCTCTGACTATACCAACTATGTCAAAAATAGCAATGGTGTATTATTATTTTAAAAATGACTAATGAACAAATAATATATTTGCAGGTTCACCAACCAGTCCAACTCAAACTTCGACCCCAGACCAAAAAGGTTACAGACATAATATAAGCATGCACCAGCAGGCTTTGTACAATCAACAAAACATGTTTACCAACATACCAGCATCACCTAATATTTCTTATTCAAGCAAACCAAATGGTCCACCAATAGAGGATTTATTTGATACAATTAAAAGCAATGAACCTTTACATAAGTCTGCTTATCAAGATTACAGTTTTAATGGTTATCGTAACAACTCTATGCTTCAAAATTCTTATACCAATGCGAATGCATCAGCAAACCAATCATTAATAAATACATGGCAGGATAGTTGCCAGGAACAAGATGAATACTGGGTAACCATATTTGGTTTCCCCCCCAATGCTGCCAACACTATCCTCGCGAGGTTTAGTAACTGTGGAGCTATACTTGGTAAGAGGTTTTATATACAACATAATATTATACAGGGTGGTTTAGGGATTGTAAGTAACATAGATTAATGCCTGCAATATACCATATCAGTTTGACCTCCATGCAATTCCCTGTAAGCATGAATGTACTTACATTTGAGTGTATAGTATCTGTTTATTATAATAATCAATCCTTACTTACTAAGTATATTTATTCTTAAATCCCCTTGAAAACCTTTGTTAATTCCTGGTGAATTTGCCATAATGGGCTAACTGAATTGACCTCAGACTCCTCTTATCATCTTCACAGGTCCCTGCCAGCATAAATTGTTATTGCAGGCAGGACCACAGAGAAAATGTGATGCAAAGTTGTGTGGGCCAGTCATACAAAAATTTTATATAGTAAGGTATTCAACCTTTCAAAGCAGGGTGCCCATGGTATTTCCTGCTCTACCACCATATTCTTAAGCCACTATCAAGCTATCCTTTATACCGTTCATTACCGCTTCTTTATTTTTTTTCAGACAAACAGTACCCTACTCAAGGTAACTGGGCACATGTGAGATATGCAACTAGAGCTGAAAAGGAGCGAGCCATGGCCCTCAGCGGGCGTCAAGTACTCCCAGGTGTCATGGTTGGAGTGGTGGAATGCAAGGAACCACCACGCATAGCAGTTACCAGCCCTGGAATTGCATCTGAAAGGTAACGCACCTACCACTTGGCACTTTAAGACTGTATAAGTAATTTGTTAGAAGAATAGGTGCTGGTTGTGAGCACTGGTCTGTTTGGTTAAAAATGTGTATTCTCCCTAAAGGATTTAAAAATGAATCTGTATTTTTCTAAACACCTACAAGCTCATTTAAAATTAATAAGGACAGAGTTTCTTATCAATTCTTAGCTCGAAAGCACTCGGAACTGATGGTAGATTTGACATATCATAAGTCTGTAATAGTCCTACATGAATAAAGACGTTTTGATTGATTGTAATCTGTAAAAAAAGTGCTTCAATGTAAGTTTATTTGAATAAATGATTTTCTATACTATTCTGTAAACTTGAATAACGAAGTTGAATTTAAAAAATAATTTTAATTATATTTTATTCCATTATTGTATATTCATATATCTTCACGACTGTACAGATGAGTATCAGAGACTGTGTGAAACTTTAAGGTCGATGTTTAACACATCATTTGGCATGGCTATCTTTCGCTCATACCGAGCGAAAAATACCAAATGATTTGAATTCAACATAGGTGAATATATCGCCAACTTAGTTTGGAAACGCGCATGTGATACCTCTAGTGTTCCAGACATAGTAAGCTATATATATAGTAAACATTTACTTCCGTTTAATGCTTGTAGCCCACCATAGTATTATAAAAAAAAACTAAATCTTCGTTGGCATACATTAATGGCTTTTCGTATATTTTATTTCAGACAATCAATAGGGGCCAGATCCCTGTGCCCCACTCCTGTACCATCAGCTCCAGTTCCACAGAGGTCAAATGGCCTGATCTCCAAAGCTCTCGATTATGTATTAGGGTGGTGACAAATACTTAACACCAGGTTCTTAGTATATCGATGAATTTGAATGTTTTAAAGAATAGAACTTGTATATAAAAAACAGGCATGATGAAAATTAAAAAAGATGGAATAAAGAAACTGTCAAGAATTCTCAATTAAGGAATAAATATTGTTTTGTATAGTTATATGATTTTATTTCTAAACTTTACATACAAAATCTTAAGACTACTACAGAAAATTTTATTTTGACAACAATTTTACTTTACATGTTTTTTGTTGATCATTTAAACATATTTGTCTATTGTCAATTCTGTACTAAACACTTTAAAAAAAAAGTAAAACTTAAATGTAAGTAAAGTGGCTAATTTTAATCTAATGAATTAATAAACTATAATACATTACATACAATTACAATTATTATAAGTATTTTATTTCAACTTTAAATTTTATCTCTTGACGGAGTAGATATAAAGAGGATTTTGCATAAGCAACTGGAGATTATTAATATACAACATACAATTATCTCTATTCCTAATAAGAAAATACGATTTTATGTTTATTAAGTTACAAAATATTATATGAAGAATAAAGTATCTTAACTTTTTTTTAGTGAGATACCTAGTTGTCATAATTTTAAACCACAAGCATGGAGAAATAATTTTAAAAGCAGTGTACACATGTATGAGATTTTAAAAATTTGTAAGATGACAATAAATTTAATTAGTAGTAAGATTTTTATTGAAAATGAGGTATACTTATTAAAAATAGACATTTTCGATTCGGCAGCTCACTCTAAAGAAACTAATAGATTAAATTGTATTAATTGTTTACATACAAGTAAACGGCTTGATGGGTAGCTGTATATCGCTGGTGTGGAGTATTTGAGCTATACTCGCATACTTCATATAATTTTAACTTCTTTGACAACTCACATAATAATTTCAAATGTTACACAATAGTTGCTCTATTGTGGCTGCTTAACTCTTTTAGCAGACTAAGGATTCAGACGTTTTTATCTACTATCCTAGTTGCTATTCAGATTTGTACAATGAATGTGGTTATTACAAGTGTACAAAATTGTATCTTCATATATCCTAAATTAATATTGGCATTTGGTTGTTTGCGTGGGGTATTTGACGTTCTTCTGTAGGCCAGTGTGCATAATGTTGAGCAACCTTGCAGTAGAGTAATATACTGCAAGAGTAGTTACGCTACTTTAATAAACATCTCTTTGTATCCAATACAAATATGTCGTAAGTCGAGTAAGGGTTGAATGAAGTTGAATCTTAGGTATATCTCAATAAGTCCCAATGTTAACTAAGATTAAAATATTCAGGGTCAATTCACAATTCATTGTTATATTTATAATAAAATAATTATTAACAGAACTGAATAAGAGGTTATTCTTATAGCAGAGACAAACGCATATCTCTACCATCCGAGGGCCGTGGCCGATTCAACATTCCCTATTATCTAAAAAAGCTTCATATTCTTTAATTTTTAAACAAATTATTATTGACTACATTAAACCTGTGCTAAGGTTTAATTGTATAGCGGTTTTCGCCCACTCCCACCACAAATTTAGACTGCATTTGTTAAATGGTTAATCATTGTTGAATCTTCTGGGTTGTTGCTATAAGACCACAAGTATGAAAGCCCTGAAATATATGAGGTATCACATCTATCCTTTCATTTTCAAATTAACATTTACTTTTGTTGTTCTATGGTAGCGTTAGCAAGATCAGTCATTTTTGGGTACTTGATATTATGTTTATCAAGCTCATTCTGGGACCAGAGTATCATTCTTAGGAGACTGCAGAGCTTGGGGTTGGTATACTCCTGATTTTCCATTTTGAGTATTGCCGCATTTAGTTCACTTGCAATCTGCGAGTAGAAATAAAATTTGATCAAAATACTGTTCTGAATATACAAGAATATTTAAACAAAATTATATGTATCTTTACATTCAGAGAAAATTCAAATAGGTTACATTATACTTTTGGTACAATTTACACTAAACTATAATACTATGATGGAAGTGAATGGAAGGCCAGCTAACGTGTATTGAGAAAAATGTGAGACAACAGGTAATCATCTACTTTGCCTTATATAGAAAACGCTACTTGACGGCCTCCATGGTGTTGTTGATGTTGCTTTAGCACACCGTTTTACTTCTGATGGTCGAAGGTTCCACATCTTTATAATTGGTTGGAGAACAAAATGTTAATTATTTATCATACATTTTTTTAGACTGGACCACCCTTATTATTATTATTACGGCATTAAAATACATACTACCTAAATTTTCAACCTTATACCTCATTATTCATTAATAGCGATATTTATATAAAAAATCTATATAAAGAAAAAAAGTATAAAATTTTACAAGTACCTTTTGACTATGGGAAGGTAGGAGTAAATCCGCGAACGGTGATGCATGAGGATCAGGAAACGCTAGAAGTGCTAGTGATCTCTCCAGTTCTGTTAGGGCATTACTATCATTTGCACCAGCTTCAGCTAGTGTTGCACTCGCAAATGCCAGTGCCTCCTCAGCTCTACCTGCCCTTATCAGTTCCAAAAGTTGAAGTTGCTATAAGAAGTAATTAATAGGGTAATTATATAAGTTCCTTGTATATAGTTTTTTTATATATGATAATGGAATGCTGCACCCGCCTGCGGTAACGGTTTACGCTGACGGGGCACCAGTGAAGAATGATAACATGAGCATGAGCTCAGGACAATTAGTCCATCATGACAAATTCACCAAGAATTTATCGCGATGTTTTCTAAGGGGAACGCGTGGAGGTCAACCTGACGTGGTGGATCAATAAGATCATCAGTCCACATTACTAAAAATCCCCTTTCCCCCATGGTTATAATTTTGAAAGTACATTTTTTTTAATCTCCTTGAGGGCTGATTTATAATTTTGTTACAGCATATTAATTAGGTCAAAAGAACTACTATACAATTGATGGTTTTGATTTATACTTAAAACAATAATTAGAAAGCAACAGAAAATATCGTGTCACTTTTTTAAATAAATTTAGAACTGTGTAGAAAACCATTGATAATATTAATTTATGTTCTTAAACCTTCTGTAATATGTAATTAGGTTGATATACTGAGAAATCTTCATTATTCAGATAAACATTTTATATGTATATTACCAAATTACCCGTAACCAAACAAAAAACATGTTTGTATATTCAAAAAGTTTAGAAAAATCATTGTATCTTTACTTTGATTTAATTCATGTCCATTCAAACAACATACTATGAATATTAAAACAAATAAGACACATACCTGTAGATGAAAGTACAGATATCGATCTGTGTCCAATAACTCCGGGTGGAGGGCATTAACCATTGCAATGGCGTCGGGTATGCGACCGTTCTGCACAGCCTCGCGAATCATGATGCGTTCATCGAGAGAGCTGCACAGTGCGGGCTCTTGTAAGCCTGCCTCTTGCTGGAATTTTAGTGCTGCTTCTTTGAAGCCCTCTGTAGTAAAAATTATTAATAATTATGTAGTTTAGAGGAAGGGGATTGTTTAGATTTTTCCACTATTATCCAATCTGTTTTCCAGACCATATTTTTTTTGAAGTCACTTTTTTTTATTTTACTACTCTTTCGAAATGCAGACTCCTCTTAAACTTGAGAGTTCCTGTTGTAAATAAATCTGTATAAATATTATAAAGCGGAACAATTTGTTTGTTTGGAAGCACTAATCTCAGGAACTACTGGTTTGTACTGAAAAATTCTTTACTAATTTACGCTACGACCAATAGAAGCGAAGCATCAGCGAAAAATGTTGCAAAAAGGGGGAAAATTATTCATATTTGAGGGTTCCGTTGCGAGCGCTAGGCGGCAAAGACACGGGCACAGCTAGTGTTATTATAACGAGACTATATGATAATTTCGCCTGGAACCCTTATGGTGAATTAACTATATTGGGCTAACTGGCCTGTTATGGTTATCCTAATATTTTCTACTGATGCTGTTAGCACACCCAACTGCACCATTTCATACTCATTCATCACAAATTGTAAAGTATTGGGTTTTAACTTGGTTAGAGGTTATTGTGAATTAAAAGACATTTACATGTAAGAATCCTGTTTTAATGTGAATAATCTTCTTCTTCTTCTTTAAATTTGAATGGCTTTCACCAAATGAGGTGTCATTTTGCCAACATGATTGTAGTTAGGGAAACAGTGGTGTTGTTTATGGTAAAAATCATATTGTTACTTACATGGATGAGCTATATTTAAGTACCCTAGATATAATTAACATTTTAATAAAAAGCTATGACAGTGATGTTAGTCTATTTGAATAATAAATTTTTATTCTATTCTATTTCACAGATTTCACCTTACAACACAAACAGGGCTTACTAAATCAAGCTTAACTGGTGTCTGAAATATGTGACACAGTCATACTTTTGTAGATAAATTTGTACCTACAAAGTCTACCTTGTGAAAATTGCTAGTAATTCACTCCTTCAGCTAATTTTACAGTAATAATATGAGTATGTGGTTGTCTGTAAAAGTCACTGTGACTGTTCCACAGTCTCATTATTTTTTAAAAAGCCAGTTTAAGTAAGAAATAGATATAATCTTTATTCAAATAAACTTAATATAAGCACTTTTAAACAGTCACATTTTTATTCTACCACTTAAAGAAGGTTACAATAAAAAAACAATGACATACAATTATTTTTATACAACAAAGGGTATTCTGCCTCATTTGGTAGAAGCCTTCATATTAAAGGATGAAGAGGGTGTTGCTTGTAATGGGATCATTAGCTTTTTCTGATAGTGATTTTGTTATAAGTCTCTACATGTTTCTTTATGGAAGCCATTATGGTCGATACCTGATTAATTTACCAAAATTAATTAGTATTTGCCTGATATTTACCATATAATCCATACCATAGAAACCATTAGAATCTACCATTATACACAAGTGCAGCTTGGATAACTATTTAATAAACATGTATGAAACCAAGTTTTGTAAGATTTTTAATCCTAATAAATACTTTGTTGGAATGAATCTATTAATTTCATTTTTATTTATGGTTGATGAAGGGAAACTGTTCGTGACTGCCTGTATACCATTTACACAAAGTAAGTAGAATAGACTATACACTAAAACTAAATGTTGCCACCCGCTTAATTAGCAAAACACCACTGGGCAAAAGATCTGTTTTCTTGTTCTCTGTATGAATTCAATAAGATCACTTTATTTATTATAAACTATAATTATAATATATATATTTATTACACTATTGTATTATGCTAAAACCAGTGGAAATTGCTCTTAGAGAACAAATAAAATATATACTACAATGACACAAGACCTAATGAATGTAACTATTGTTCTATTTTTAAATCCCATATAGTTATAATAATATATATAACCTAACTGTCTGCACTGGCTTCAGGGGTATTGAACAAGAATTTTAAAAAAAAGTTATAAATATTGTGGCTCAGTTTGTACCAGCAATGCATAGCATAGTACATTGTAAGATGAAAAAGTAATTATTATGACGCAACTAAATTATATACGGGTTTATTTTGTATTGAATAAATATTTCATTGCCAATGTTTATCAGGGATATTGTAGGTTTCTATTAGTAAAAGAATTTTTCACAACAGTAGTTTCAGAGTCTATTCAATGGAAACAATCAAAATTTTCTTCTTTATAATATTAGTACAAAAGGGAACATGCATGGTTTCACACACAAAGGATCATAAACAAAATATTATTTGGACAATGTGATGAATATGGATATTGTAAGACAGTATGAGATATATTTAATAGTTTCTTTTAATACCTGCATCAATTACCACAACAGATCAAATAATATTATTAATCCTACATGGATTATTATTATGTACTAAAAACAAACATTTGCCTTACATTTTACAAAATACACAGTAATGTATTGTGCACGACAAAGAAGTAACATCTTCAGGATTTCTTTTATACAACACTAAAATGCATTATTGAGTTTTAAGTGACAACATTACAATAAGGGATAAGGTAGAAAGTGTGAACTTATGTACCTACCTGTGACTAAATAATTCATGATTAGCATGTTCATGTCTGTCCTTGATATCTGCAAGTCATCGGGTTTCTTTCGATCATGATAGTATTTTCTCTCTTCTTTATTAGCGGTAATGTTGGAAATATCGAAACTCATGTTTGCGAAATTGAAAAGCATAAATATATCGTGGAGAGACACAAAAACGGAGAAATATGTTTGTAGATAATGTCATTTCATACTTGTCATTTCAATTAGATAAATGAGCACAGTCATTTCTCTAAATTTTCTGTTAGTTCACAGAGTACGTCAGAGCAGAGGTTAAATTACGTTATAATACTATAGCGCCCCCTATAAATACAAAATGTAGCGTCATGCTTTCCTCTCTTATAATAACACAGCCGAGGTTGAAAATAGGTCTAACAGATATTGGTTTACTCACAATTTTTAACCAACTTTATTCATTTTCAAATAGGTGGCGGACGTACTTGTATATTGGGTGAATTTCATCTACATTCTTAAAAATTTAATAAATTTAACTTTTTTAATAATGTATTAAAGAACCTAATTAAATCCGCGCACCTAAAGAACAAAACATTATCATAGAAAAATACATAATAAATATTGCTATATCTGAATGTTATTCTATGACTAGCTGACCCGCTACTTCGTCTGCGTCATCTTTACCGTAGTTTTTTCAACATTTCCCATTGCAGCTTTGCTACTGTTGATCGTCGCATAATGTTTTTTACTGGTAAAAGGAGTCGTTCAGTACATTCCTCTTCAGTAGAATTTGGCCCACAATCCTCACACAATATTAGGTCAGATGTCGGATGAAAATTATTAGAAAATATAATTCTGTACTATATTCGTAATTAGGAGTCCATCTGTAAGGATTAAATAAAGGAATAAACCTATACAGGTATTTAATTATTATAAATGAAATATAACGCTGGGTGTTTAGCTAATTTATTTCAGTTCTTAAACGCCAATAACCTACTAATAGTGAGCTGATAATACAATTAAAAAAGAAACTATCCTATTTTCATTGAATAATGCTTGGTAACAAATTATATCCCTTTGTATTCAATAAAAAGTTATACTAACAATTAATATAAAACAAAGTCCCAATAATGCACACAGGAGCGCATGCATGCCGCCTTTGTCGTATTCGTCGACACTATCAGTAGTCAAGTACATTATTGAGAAAAAAAATAACTTAAAAATGTAAATAAAGCTAATTTATATTTTTCTAAAAGCCATTTATGTATCAGTAAATGAGTAATTTTAAGAAAAAAATCAGTAATTTATATCAAAGATCATATAAATATGAGTAAATATTATAGAATAGTGAGACAAGTGTTCCCAAACTGTCTGATACATGAGGCCGTCTTGCCATAAGAAAGGACGTGTACATCAATCAACCTGCGGGTACATCGTTTGTAGACAAGAAATTATAAAGTAGCATGATACATATAAACTACAACTATAATTCGACAGTACTAAAAGTAATATAAAATAAAAATTATGGCTAATTACTTCGCAAATGATCCTTGACAACATTTATAACAGGCACTCTGCGTGAATTTATCATTTGTGTTAATTTTATATTTAGAAAATATACAAAATACAAGTTGACACTTGGCTCTAATATTCGTCTATGTGTAACACATATTTTCTTGTTAACGAACTCGTTTTATTATGAAGTATGGCTAAGCCCTAGTGTCGAGTTTCAGCCATTTTCCTTCCACCCACTGTCAATACTCAGTCTATGAACACAATTATCCAGCGAACCTTATCTAAAGCATTAAAAGCTAAATTCTTTTATGTGTGGCATGAACGAAACCGTGGAATTTAACCATGACAATATTGTGATAACAATTCAATACAATTTTTATGGGCATTCATAATCAGAAACAAAAACGAGTTATGAAAATTAGGAAACTATAGTTTATAATACTGTATTCAATATTCACACCAAACTGTTCTATACAGACTCCACAATATTATTTATAGATAAATTCCACAAGCAATCACATATTGTGATTCAATAGGGCACTTTTATCCCCGCATATATTATTCACATATACCAAAATATGTTTGTCTTGATATATTTTGCAGTCTACACCGCGCTGCCATCTTCATTATTATTAGGACAGATCTGTAATGAAATAATTATTACTTTAATTTTAATAGAAATAGCAAACAAGATAAAATATACCTAAGGATCCATATAAAGCTTATATAACTAAAGCATGGCCTTATTATCTCTGATCAATGCGACTGTTGATTGGTAGAAAATGCCATCAGGAATTAAGTCCGCCAAGTATGCATTTTTCTGTGCAAAATAATAAATAAATATCCATAGACACTCAGTATCACCATTCTGGAGACCTTGGCTATCATACCTCTATAACCTGTAATTTTACTGATTTATCTGATCCTATAACTGAAACTGCTTACAAAGCAAGTTGCTTGGTGCCTGAAATGACAGTGACAGAGGTACCCCGTCCACTCAGACGAGTTTTTACATAGTCTTCCTCGGCTAAAGCATGTTTACTTGATTAATAATAACTATTGTCAATCTTTAACATCAGTGCTAACAAAGTTGGTAAGTTTCCAGACATGTTAGTCATGATGAATAAGTAAACATTAAAAATAGTATATCACGCTGCAATAATCAGAAATTATATCACCCATTTGCAAATATAATTTATTTTCATATTTAATGACATACATATGTTTGTGCTTAAACAAGACTTGTTTGCCTTGATAAGAAAAGAAAACCATAGTTTAATATCTTGCGAATTTGCCGTAAACCTAATTCGATTTTGTGTCATTGGGAAAACCAGTGAATATAAAATGAACTATTTTATTATTTTGTGAAAATTTTCTTAAAGGGATAAAGAAATGTAATATTAATTTAGGTTTGTGATTTCAGGTAGCTTTTGGTCATTCCTAATGTAGAATACATATGGATTTACTGGTCTAGCAGTTTAGCACACCATTTTACTTTCGATGGTCCAAGGCTTAATTTCATTTAATTCCTTGCACTAAACAAACATTTGCATTCATGAGTATGATTTGTGACAGCTTGTTTGACATATAAAATAGTAGTGCTGAAGTGAATCTTCGTAAATAAACTGTTTGACTAGAGGCAAACAGTAAGCAGTAACTCATCTCATATGAAGTACATATTGTACTCTCTATTTCACTAGGAAATTCATTTACTAGTAAATATTATGAAGCAATATTCTTTCAAAAATAAAAATTATCTCAAAACCAAACTGAAAGATTCTCTAAGTTTTCAGCCCAACCATCTCCGATATTCGATGAGGTTATATGAATATTTATTATAGTTTAATTTGTATGTAATCTTTGAGATATTAGATAATGTATTTACATAAGCAAATTATATATATTTTGCCTATCGATGTAAATATAATATTTATATGAATATATTAGTATGTGTATATTTGCATATATTATACAGTATTTTTCTTTATTTATATCTTAATATTTATTACTAAATTGCACAGTCCTATTATCCTCATCAGCGCTACTGTTGACTGGTAGAGAACGACATCAGGCAATAATTCTGCCATGTATACAATTTTGTGTGCAGAAGAATAAATAAAAATGATGTTAATCTTATTATTATTATTATTAATATTATAAACGAGAAAGTTTGTGAGTATGGATTCTTTACTGTTTCATGCAAAATCTACTGAAATGATTTTCAAGAAACTTTACAGTAATATAGCTTATACATCAGAAAGACATCTAGGTTATAAATTGGGTATATAGGGTGAAACTGCAGGGACAGCTAGTGATAAAATAATATGTTAAATTATATACTGACAGCTTGGGACGAGATCCTGATGCATATGATGTTCGGCATCCATACCATGGGGCATGCAAGTTGCGGGAGGGGGCCGGCGCTGCACCTGTAAACACATTGATTATGTAAACACTAACTAAAGATCAATAAATACAAAATAGCTTATGTACGTACTAGCATTCAGCATAATAATATGAATATTTATTTTTCCCATTATTATACACAAACAAAATCCTGCCATTTTAAATTTCTTCATTTATATTCCACATCTTTAAAATGCAATGAGTTTTTATACTACATATACAAGACTACTACGTATGCAAGCTGATGCCATTTGAATAAGTTTCAATCCTTGTCTTTTTTTCCAATTGAATGTGTAGAAATTTGTGTGTTATTTATTCTCCCTTTTTGATTTGGGAATGAGATCAATTTTGATCAGTATACTGGAGTGGATGATAGGAAAATGTTAATACAAAAAAACTTGACCTAAATCAGCTGCTAAAATGTCCTACATAATTGATTTTTGTTTTGATTTGAATAGTAGTCAGTAGACTTGTGCAGTACCTGATCAAGGTTGAAGCGCACGAAGGCATCATACTGCTCGGCGAGCTTCGAGCTAAGCGCAGTCTCGTACTCCGCCCGGAGCGCCGCCTCCTGTTCGCGCAGCATCCGCTCGCAGATCATGCGCACCTGTATCATATTAATTTTTTTTTCATATTAAAACCTTAATAGATCTTTATATAGTATAAAACAAAGACGCCGACGCTGTCTGTTCCTTTATATTTTTAAATTACGCAACAGATTTTAATGCAGTTTTCAGCAATAGATATAGTAATTCAAGAGGAAGGTATTTTGTTTAATAGAAGCAGAGAAATTAAAGATTTGTACTGCATTCTTGCGAAGTCAGAACTTTATTGAGTTTTTATACAAACTAGCTGCACCCGCGACTTCGTCTGGGTGGAATTTTACTTTATTTTTCAAAAATAAAAGTAAGTTACTCCTTATTACATCAGCTACCTGCCAATAATAGTCCCGTCAAAATGGGTCCAGCCATTTCAGAGATTAGCCGGAACTAACAGACAAAAATTGTAAAAAATGTTATTTTGGCGTATGTACCGTATTTATATTCATATGCATGTAGTAAAAACCGGTTATGTCAATATTACAAACATAAACTCCAATTTTATTTATATGTATAGATTATTGGTGCTGTTTATATATGGTTAACTGTTGTAAATCAATTTGATCTTTGCCATTACCAAAGCGATGCGAAATCTCACTTCAAGCTAAGTGGTTCGATACAGCCAGAGACATTGGGATAATATGACGATGAATGAATGGTTACATCAATAATGAGCGGTCTGTAGTTGTGAGTTCTATATGAAATGGAAAATTGCATTTGTTTTTATTTACGTGCTCTAAGGTATAACAGTTAAAATATATTAATTCCAGTAAATGTGAGTAATATTATATAATTTCCATAATTAATGTAACTTACCTGCTTAAATGTGAACAAAGCACGATTGTGGACCTTCTGTGTGTTGTGAGTGGAGCGGTGTGGTGGTGAACAATCGCCCTCGCTGCCGCTCGACGAGGAGCAGGACGCGGCCGCGCCGCTCGCGAGTCGCAGTTGTCTGCGGCGTTGCAGCCGCTTGATCTCGTCACATATCTCTTGTGCCATACGCTCTGATAGATAAAAACTAATTTAATAAGGCCGCAATGCAGTATAGTACATAAGTATATATATACACATTTCACTTGATCATTTTCATTGGCGTCATTGCTAGTAAAGTGACCCCATTACTAGCTATGTACCATGTCAGGGTAACCTCCGCACAGTTACCATGGTTACTGTTGTGATAAATTCCTGGGGAATTTATCATGAAGGGCTAACTGACCTCATGGTAATCCTATTATTGTCCAATGGTGCCCCACCAACATAACTGTTAGCACAGACAGGTGTACCATTCCATTATCATCTATAAGAATCCTTTCCATTGAGAGAAGGGGGATTGATAGTAATGTAGTAGTAATAACCCCATTGCAAGCAATGGACCATGTCAGGTTGAACTCCAAATGGTTCCCTTTGGAAACCACCATGGTAAATTGCTACTTGCTAAGATGGGGTAACTGAGCTAACTTCATGCACATTTTGTCACCCTCCACTAGTACACCTCCAGCGTCAAACTTTTGCACAGGCTCATTGCTTCATATTTCATAAATATACTGTTCATGTACAGGGTATTTTTTAAAACTAATTGAAGAATAAACATTTCAAAGTGCTTAGTAACAATATACCATGCCACATGGCTGATATTAGCATTATATTGATATTTTTATGTATTATTGCATTGATAAGTGTTATTAATTAAATATAGTAAACTTAATTATTGTAGAACTTGGTGGTTGAATTCTTTAAATAAAATACTTTAAATTCATAGAGTACTAATTGAATTTATACCGCTAATTGGTAACTATTTTTTTTTATTGGGTTTTTTGGGCTATTGTCAGATGTTCGTAGCACCTGTAGCACTGCAACCTACTTAGATCTATTGTGTTTGCCCTTTTTCAAAGTTCGCTACCTAGACCCGTCAGGGACAAGAATTGATAACTATATAAAATCAATAAATAAATACATCATATTCAAAGTACGAATATAAATTTATGACAACTCTGTATTGTACTCCACAATTACTGACAAAAAAAAATTTTGTCAATCAGAGGTAAAAGTAAGTTACATTAGTTTTCTTTATTCGTAGATTATCTGTAAGAGAACACCATGCAGGTATGCTGCCCCTCATCACAAATTTGTTTTGTTTTTCTATTTACATAACAACTTATATTTAAATTTAAAAGGAGCTTCCCCATTATCACCACTTTACATGGTTTCTCCCTTTAATGACATGGTCTTGTATTTAGATGCAAAACAGGTCAAATGAGTGGTTAAATACAAATACCTTCTATAAACCACTTTTCAGACAAAATAAAGTTATTTGTATTAAAAAATTGAATCAAAAATACAACATATGGAGTCTGTATTTTATTTTCTTTAGGGATGACATTTGGTTTTCAGATTCTTTCATCACATTTGTAATCCTACTACAATAGATATGCCAAGTGTGTTTGTATCAACCCTATAGATCTTTTATTACTGTTTTCTTTAGAAAAGAAGGTAAGCAAGCTACTATGACCTACTATCATAAGCCACCTATTTGGAATGTACATATACTAGAGCTTAGTTTGATCTAACGAAAAAATGTAACGAAACACGGAACCTAGAAATGTACAAATTTTATGTACTACAAAACTGAATCTCTGTACTATATGTATATAGAAATCAACCAAAACTATGCTTAGTGCACCATTTATTTTTATAAAAATAAAATCTATACAAATAATATCATTATTAATTATTTAGTTTTACACAACAATTAAATAAAGTAAGTAATAGTTAGATTAACCTAAAGGATGAATGTTAATAGTAATTACACTATCATTTTTTTAAATATTTGGATGCCTGTATCTAAAATTACCATGCACTAATAATAATGACCAGATTTCGTCACTGAGATGGAGGCTTCATTATATGTTCACATAACTTCTGTTCATAGATTCAGGACAAAAAAAATTTTTTCCAAATAAATGTGACAAATCACCTTTGTTCCATTATAATAAAGACAGCAAAAACTTACTACTCAAATGCAAAGTGCAATAACAGTCAGCAAGAAAATTGACTATGCATATTTAATATATTGTACAGAAAGTATAACAGACGGCAGTTTTTTTATTTATAAGAAGCCATTTCGTTTTGTAAATGTAAAATTTACTAATCATGCAACTTTATTTCATTGTTTGACTACTGTAGCGCGTGTAAAATGACATTGTTTTTTTTCAGCTGAGTGAATAATCATTTGACACCATCTTCGTATCGCCAATTATGAACACGAATAACCGTGGGTTGAAATTTAAATTAGTGCCTCTCTCCTCCCACTTTTCAGTAATATTCACCCTATTGAAACCACAAGCTTGGGATTTAACGCCATTTGTAATCAAACAAAAAAATAAAACGGTAAGGAAAAATCCACCCAACAATTTGCGCCCATCGACTATCTCGCTCTGACATAATAAAATTATGCATGGTAATAACGAAACAATGGCGATAGATAATACAGCTGATTAGTACATACAAATTTCAATTAATTTTTAACTAAAAATACTCCTAATATACTTACGGAACAGAGCTACTAGTTATTCAAACAGGTATTATACGTTTATAAACAAACCTGGGGTCAGTTTTGCAGGTGCACTGACGGACTCGCCAAATGTTGAAGGTCTACTTTCAGACATTTTAAGACCTGGACTTGTATTTGCACTTGCAGCATATGGAGCACATCTCCGCCTTTTAGCAGGCATTTGCGCCATGGACTCCCAGTCCAAATTTCTTTTGAGAGTTGCACACGCCATTTTCTTTTTACGCCCAACGACTGTCCTCTATCTACTCGATACAATAGTTATTTGGAATTTCGACTTTTTCTCACTGAATCAGTAAAACAGAAATAATATTAGTATTTAATAAAAACCACCGAATTAAACTAAATGTAATTAATTAGAAACTTTTAACTTAAAGGATTTCTACAAATAATACAGATTATTTTACGCCGTTCGTTCAGCTTGTTCCAAAACCAAAAAATCCGGTAGCGACACTTTTCACTCTGTTCAATTTATTTTGACATATTGTTGTTCTAAAACAGTGACACCAACATTACCAACGAAAGTCATAGAGAATAACGTACGGTTCAAGTAAATAAGAGTGGAACACAATTTAGTTTATGACGAACTTTTGTGGTATATTTTACATAAAAAAATCTTTGATAGTGTAAATAATTTCACATTTCAAAAATAAATTATATGGTTGTGAACTTGTAATTTATCTAAGAATGTAGAAGATAAAGTGTGATAGGATAAAAAATCTAATCTAAGGGCTTCTTACTATGTACTAAGTTCATTGGACTTGGACCATACTCAAAATAGACAGATTATCATTCACTTTTATGACTGACAGTTTATTAAAATCAGTAATCCACTCAAAGTATTTTTTGTAAATAGTTGTTATTATTTCATTCTGTGAGTCATCTCAAACTTGAATAAGATAAATTAAATTGCATATTCTACTGTAATCTCTATTCCATCTCATATTTTGTATTAAGAACGTTATTATTAGTGTATTAAAAATATTCAACTATCAAAATGGGCAACGAAATGTCTTCATCTGCAATGGAAAGTATCCTTTATTAGTTTTAAGTTTATGATCAAACAAATTGATCAATAAAGAAGTAAAGTGAGTCAGAAGATCATATTACTTAAATTTGAAAATAATTTCCTTAGCGCGCACGTATTAGAATAATTTCTAGAATATAAGTTGTAGAAATTATAAAAGACAGTAAAAATAGGTGTAATTTCGTTTTTAATCAAGGTTTTTACAGATCGAAAACTGTGTAAAATGTAACATATTATTATTCAAATAAGTTTAGCAGTTTTCTCAAGAGTCAATTTGAAGAATCTACTGTCAGCAATTGTCTAACACTATTTGGTAGAATGATTTTTCTATTTCAACCATTGTTAAGTATAAATATTCAGTTCCTTGAAACTTTGTCCTACATTTATTCATTTATTTATTCATTTATTCATTTATTTATTGCTATTACATGTTGTAACAAAATTGGTCTTAATTTACTAAAAGTATAGAATCAAACATGAACCCTGAAAGGGCACAGCAATCACATTAATAAATCTTATATAAACTACATAATTAAATTTTTACATTATATATATGTATCGTTGATTAGTATAAAAAAAAAAATAAAAAATCATCACTACATTAAAACAAACAGGCACAAACACAACTAACTTTTTTCCTTGAAAAATTCCTGTAGCGCATAATAACTCTTTGCGATTAAATATTTTTTTAGAGCTATTTTAAACTTTTTAGAATCATCCTCACCTTTTAAGTTAATTGGTATTTTATTGTAAATTTTTATTGACGTTGCGTAAGGGCCAGAATGGAATAACTGTAGCTTCGAGAATGGTCTTGCTAATCTACATTGCGGTCGCAATGCCTGAGGGCGGGTATATTGTGGAAATAGGTGCATATTACATTTAACAAAATGACACGCTTCTAATATGTACATTGACGGTAAAGTTAAAATTTTATATTTAATAAAGTATGGTTTGCAAGTTTCCCTGTTATCTATGTTAGCAATTATTCTGAGACATCGTTTTTGCAATTTAAAAAGATCAATCACGTTTGTACTATTACCCCACATCAATATGCCGTACTGGAGCAAAGAGTGGGCATATGCATAATAGGCGCACATGGCTGTCTTGGTATCAGAAGATATCTTTAGTTGGTGTAGTGCATAAGTAAATCTAGACAGCTTGGTAGCCACACTCTGCACATGCGCTTTCCAATTAATATTCGAATCTACATTTACACCTAATAGTGAATATTTCTCTACGCAATCTATTTTAATATTATTGAAAGAGTAGTTAATTTGCAGCGGGTTCTTTTGGAATGGACGGAAAACCATTAATTTAGTTTTATTAAAATTTACTTTTAAGTTGTGTGAGTGTAACCAGCTCAATATTTTTAACATACTACCATCCAGTGTACTTTGTAGGTTTAGGTTATTTTTACAGGAAACAACAACAGAAACGTCATCTGCAAACAATGTGCAGGGGCTGTCTATCACTTCAGGCAAATCATTTATGAATATTAAAAACAATATACATCCGAGGACGCTTCCTTGAGGTATTGAATTTATTAATTTTGAATGTTGAGATCTTACTGTTTTTATTTTTCCAGTTTGATTATTTACATGGTCTATTTGTACATATTGGGATCGATTTGTGAGATAAGAGGTAAACCATTTATAAGCGGGACCTCTTACTCCTATGTTGTATAATTTTTTCAATAACGTTTTGTATTGGACGCAGTCATAAGCCTTACTCATATCGAGCAAAATGCCTACGGCATATTCTTTGTTGTTTATGATATTAATTATTTCGTTAATATACTTGAAGACTGCTAATGAAGTTGACCGATTTTTCCTAAAACCATACTGATGCTCGCTGAAGATATTGTATTTTTCGCAAAATGAATATAGACGGTCACACATTGCAGTTTCAAATATTTTTGAAAACGTTGGTAACAAAGAAATGGGACGATAATTATTTATATCTAATTTTTCGCCTTTTTTATAAATTGGTTTGATTAGGGAGATTTTCAGAGGGTCTGGGACTATACCTTCTGTAAATGACTGGTTAATAAGTAAGGTTAAAATAGGCGTCAATTCTTCAGCACATTTTTTAATTAAGACAGGTGGAAACTCATCGTAGCCATAGCTACGCTTATTTTTTAGTTTTTTTATAATAGTTTGAATTTCTTTTAAGTCCACCGGTTTGAGATACATAGAGTTTTCGATGGTGCTACTCATACATTTATTTAATTGTAATGGCTGACTTTGGTTTACATTATCATTTCCAATAGAAGCAAAAAGCTGATTAAATGAGTTTGCTATTTTTGTGGGATTGTCTGTGATATTATTTTCAATTTTTAATTTTATATTTTTTTTAATATTTCGAATACTTTTATTTGTATTTTCCTTAACTATAGACCACATTGTTTTAATTTTATTTTCAGATTTATTTATTCTTTGAATATTTTGAAACTTTTTTGATAATTTAACTGATTTTTTCAAAATTTTTTCATATTGTTTGTAATTTTGATTTAAAATAGGACTATCAATTTTACAAATAAATTTTTTTAGCAAACGTTTATTTTTACATGATGTTTTTATTCCTTTCGTTAACCAAGATTTATTTTTCTTATTTTTAGTTGCTATTGTAATTTTGGGTATACATTTATTTAATATTTCCTGTAATGTTTCTATAAATATACTATAATTTTGATGTATATTTTTATTTATATCGATTATTTTGTTCCATTTATATATACATGTGCATAAGTATATATCTAATATAATGGTTTATTATGTTTGTATGTTATACCTACTCTTTGTATAACTAAAGGTAAATGATGAAGTATTATTCTAAATGAAATGTGACAAGATTTTTATGGAACTATAAGTATTAGACAATTGATAGAAACCCTAAAAATGTTTTTAACACATATAATATACATAGAAAATATCTTGATCAATTTAGTAGTATAGTAAATAGTGTCTTTTGTGTGCCCCTACATATTTTATATACATAAGACCTCTGTTCTAGGTTATCTGTTAGAGATTGCTTTTAGTGATAAGACCACCCTTTGTAAGTACTTTACTATTTACTGTATTTTATTATTGTTTCATCTGTGTACACAATAAAGAGTTTTATTATTATTATCAATAGAAACAATCATAGTCAATACATATTTTATTGATTATATATTTAAGTAAGGCAGTGAGCAAGACTGCTAGACCACCAAGGTTGTCATGGTATCACTTTTAATATGAATAATGGTAAGTTGTACATTTTATATTTAATTTAAATCCTTAACTCACTCAATCATCAGAACATCTGTTTAATTTGAAATTTGCTGTGAAAGAGTTGGAAAGAAATTCAAAGAAATGTGAAAAGGAAGAAAAACTAGAAAAAGAGAAGGCAAAGAAAGCAATACAGAAGGGTAACATGGAGGGTGCACGAATACATGCAGAAAATGCTATCCGACAGAAGAATCAAGCATTGAACTATCTGAGGATGTCAGCAAGGGTAGATGCGGTCTCTAGCAGAGTTCAAACAGCACTCACAACTAGAAAGGTAAAGTTCTATAAATAAGATATCAGATTAAATATTAATATATATGACTTAATAAAAAAAATTACCAATTTTTGGCATGATTTGTATGGAGAATTTATTTTCATATATTTGAAATGTAATAATAATAACAGACAACCGATAAATGGTTATACTTAATAAAAAATAAATGTGAAAAATTAAAACATGAAAATCTATTGTCAAAACTGACTACTCTTTCAATATATCTCTTGCCTTAGATTTATCTATTATTACATATAAACACATTATTTTTTTGGCTGATTTTAAAATATTTTTTAAAAACAATCTTAAAATGCATATCTAACTCTGACTGACATGCACTTAGACTTGTTTGCATAGCTTGAGTTTCTTTTTTATTTTAGTTATGTAAATTGTATGATGTAACCGCCTAACTGTTTATACTGGTGGAGCACCAGTGGAGCCCATTGTGGCAAATTTACTTGAAATTTATCATAATGGTTTCCAGGGGGAAGCATGTGGAGGTCAACCTGACATGGTACATTACTAGAAATAGGGGTCATCCATCCACATTACTAACAGTAACAATAATGGTAACACTAACAATCTCCTTCACCCTTAAATTACAGGTTACAAACTCAATGGCAGGTGTAGTAAAAGCTATGGATGCAGCAATGAAATCAATGAACTTGGAGAAGATTTCGAATCTTATGGATAAATTTGAGAGCCAATTTGAAGATTTGGATGTCCAGTCGTCGTACATGGAGAATGCTATGTCACAAACAACCACGACCACTGTACCACAGGGTGATGTGGACCAATTACTACAGCAAGTAGCGGACGAGGCTGGGTATGTATTTGATTTAATTAAAATTCATTTTATAGTAGTACCAGCAGCAGATAACAAAATACAGGGGTAGATATACCCAAGGGCTTTTCAAAGTTATCAAAAGATATGCTAAAATATTAAAAAGCCTATCATAAGATTGGTAACCGAGATCAATCAACTCATGCATATGCGCGTCTGTCGAACGGAACGGGAAATTCCCCGTCGCATGTTGTTTGTTGAGTAATATAGTTAGATTTTAGAAGTATTTTTAACCCAGTGCACCATAAAATCAAGATATGTCCCTGTGGAAATATGCTACTTTGTGTAAAAGTGAGGTACATTATATAGTATGTATGCATATGCTGTTGTGTAATTGGAATGTCATGAATTAATTCGTGAAGCGTCTGTAGTCTTTGGTAACTGTTTACCATCAGATGGGCTGAATGCTAGTCTGCTAATTTTCTTTATACTATAATGGTATAAAAAAATTGTTCAGCTGCTAGCCTCATCCGACTGTAAATGGTGACAGATGCTTATATAATGAATCATCATATACATAGTTTAAGGAGTTGTTATTTAAGAGTCATCAAATAAAAAGAAACTTAACAAAAAAAATAAAAATATTATAAAGTTTTAAGCCTACATTGATAAAAGTCCTGCTAAGTTCGTGACTACAAGGCGCTATGACTTGTCCAGTTTTATTTGTTTACGTGTGTTATCTATTTATAGTCTGGAGTTGAATATGGAACTCCCGTCAGGCGTCCCAAGCACCTCGATCGGCGCATCCACCGTCGTGTCGCAAGAACAGGACGAGTTGACGCAAAGACTTGCAAGATTACGACAAGCAGAGTAATATAGGATGTCTATTTTGTACAGTACCCAATACTGGGTTATATAGTAAACCAAAACAGGTGTTCACTATTTGTATATAAACATTATTTTATAGTTTAATTTGAATATGCTTGACTATAGATGTGAAGCTGGTTATAAACGATTTTAACCGAGAGGTTAAAAATTCATTTTTCGTTATTAACGGTTAAATAACCGCATTTAATGCTTAGTACTTTCAGTAGGTAGACCCCAAAAGGAATTAAACACATACAAAAAAAAATGAGAAAGCTCAACTAGAAACTACAAAAACAAGTCCTTCTCAATTCTACGTATTACACGCCTGGACTACGCCTATAAAAGCATTATAAAATCTGAGGTGTTTCAACATCCAGACTAGATTTATTCCTTTACAAAAATTACACAATAATAAGACTAAAAAGTAAACTCAGAGTACTAAGATCTTTACTCTTTGTTTGTCACTGTTGATAATTGGATAATTAACCATTAATAACTGCATATTATTGGTAACTAACCATAGAACATAGGAGATTGAAACATAATGAAAAAGAGTATTTTTTAATACAAACCTTTCTCTATTTTTTTAAACTTTATTTTCAATTCAAATGCAGTTATTGGAGATTACAATGTTAATAATTAAGTATAAGATTACTCATGTAAATCTTATATTTGATAGGTGCCTATTTAATGTATCCACATTCTTAAATGTTTACTTTTAAAAACTTGTCAAATAAAATTTGAATAAATACAAATGTTGAGTCTGGTTTACTGTATAACCCAGTACAAAATTGTATCTATATTTGTATTAAAATTATTAACTAAGTTTATGTTTTTAAATAATATATAGATTTTCTAGCAGCCTATACTGAAATCTAACTGGAAATTATAAATAATTTTATAGAAAGACTTCAAACGGTTCTAGAGTATGATATTTCTGCGATGACTGGAAAGAATGAGAGAAATCCACATGTAATACCTTTCTTGGATACGATACTTTGTTATTTGTGTACATTTACTATTACAGGCAATTGGCCTTATTATGAATTTATGTTCAGATATTACTTTGTTATATTGTGTATATTGTATTAAAACAAATGCTACATCTTATACAACAATACATCTTATTAATATTATAAATGCGAAAGTTTGTGAGTATGGATGGATGTTTGTTACTCTTTCACGCAGAAACTACTGAACGGATTTTGTTGAAACTTTGCAGTGATATATCTTATATATCGGAATAACACATAGGCTATAAATATCACACGCGTGAAACCGCGGGCACAGCTACTTATTCAATAAAGTTACTATAAACACGGATTTAACGCATTAATGTTTATCTTCTCCTGTGTATGTTAGTCTTAGATCTGGTGTCTGAAGTTACATTCTACTTAATTCAGGATTTATGTTTATTAAAAAAAATATAGAATAATGTTACTATAGACACGGATTTCGTTTAAGCGTTATATTTTTTAGTAAGTTCACTTCTATGTTCGCATCAGTACTTGCAAGAGTTTATGGTATATCTAATCACAGAATTTTAAATTATAATGAAATTTTCATTCTTTCATAATTTAAAAGTTACAGCCAAGCAAAATATTTATATAAATATTTATTTTGTTTGGCTGTAACTTTTAAATCTGCTAATGAACCAAACGACAGAACATCAATGACAATTAGATACCAAGTAGATATTCTAAAAGAATGAATGGAATGAAGCGCTTGCCTGTCATATAATCTTTTAAGCCATCAATGTATAGTTGGCTTCAAAAATATATATAGACATAATGGTCAATATTTTGGCGGCAAAATTTCAAATATGTCGTTGCATTCAAGGTTATAAAATAAAATGGTTCTGAATAAAAGTAGAAAAAAGTAATTGCTTGCTCTGTGGTTCTAGACAATACATTTTAACCTAAGTAACCATTTACAGAAAAGATGTTCTTTCTGTTCAATATTTGAATTTGGAATATTTGTTGCGAAAATAGTGACCCGTCTAAGCGCTTAATTTAAGTATGTAAAACTGACTGTACTACTATTGTTATATAAATCTTAAAGTCCAGAATACTGTTCAAGTTATCATAATTTGTGTATATTACATTATATACTTTAATATAAAATATTATTTTAGTTAGTAATTTGTTTTACTTTATACCAACCGTTACACCGAGGTACTAGAATAGACACATTATTAGATTGCCGCTTTTTCAAAGATGTAACAAGGCTATGGGTCAATCAAATGGTGTTACGGCACGAGCCTTTAGGGCCTAATATTGAAATGTGTGGTGTCTTATAAAAAACACATGTTTGTCAAAAAATTTTTAATTATAAAACAATTAAAGAAACAAGCACAAACTAATAGAAAATGTAACAGTAAACTTTCAACTATATCAAATACTGAGAAAATGAATCTAAACTTACTATTAATCTTACAATCATCACTTATCAAAAACATCTTAATATTTAAAAATGCCTTTATAAAGACAATATCGTTATCATTAGACATTTTAGCTCCCTTCAAAATGTCTTTCAGGCTAATTAGCACCCGCGTCTTATCTAAAACTATAGAATATAGAAAATGTAAGTGTGCTGAGAAACCTTAGAAATACTATATAGAAAGCAGTGTTGCCATCTCTTAAAATAATAGACTTACTTAGTGAACAAATCAAACTACTTTCTAGATATATGGCATTGTTATGACTTAGAAAAATTGTTAATCTTTTGAAGGAACAATTCCGGTCTTTGGTGTTGGTGTGTTGTTAAGCGTCTCCGTTGTCGGCGGTTTTGAACGTTATCTGGTAGAACACCCAGTCCTCGAAGAACGATGGCACGAACGCTTTACTCTTTGTGAACCGGACAGCTGGCTTCAGTTTCGCCAACTCCTGTTCATACAACTCTAGAGATTCCGGACATGTTGCACCGTTGCCCTTAAAATTTTAAATGTAATATTTATTTATTTTTACATTTAATAACATATCTTTATCCTATATTCGTATGATCATTACATATAATAAAATCGTGACGAGACGAAAATTGATTGTTCCTGCGTTAAGGATTCATGAAAATAACTTTTTAATTTGTCTTGGAATTAGGATGACATTAAAGATGTTTTTAAATGTGTTTCCACATATAGGAAAACAGAATAAAGTAATTATGGATAAAAACCACCCAAAGAAGATATAATTAAATTACAATTCAAAATACATCGTCTACTAGTGCCATTTAATTTATTAATAAAAATAATAGATGGAGTTATATAAATACAAATATTCACGCCCCCGTAGGGGATTGTCAGTAATGTGGATTAATAATCCTATAACTAGCAATGTACCATGTCAGGTTGACCCCCATGTGGTTGCCCTGAAATCCTAAGTCTAGGTGAATTTTGCACCGACTGACCTGACCTCATTTTCATTTGATCATCCTCCGGTGCTTCACCAGCGCATACCGTTGGTGCTTGCAGGCGGCTATACTATTCCATTATAATGAATTTAAAAATAAATACACGAGTTGTAGAATTCTCAGAATTATACTTCAATTTATACTTCAAGATTATTCACGATTGCTATCTTAGATGGGGTAGTCAGAGTCATTCTTAACTGCCGACATAATGGTAATTAATAGATCCTCATTTTGCATGATACATGTGAATTCAATGTAGCAGTGTGGCAATTTGTTAATGAATACCAAAGTTTGTATTGTGTGTATCAAACTTGTGACCATCGGAAAGTATGGCAGTCTGCTAAACATGGTGTAGTACTCAATTATATACTTTACATCATGTGGTACTCAATTATATACTTACATGGGTCATGAACTTTCCATTCGGCTTGAGAATCTTGAAAGCGGCTTGAAGTATGGTAATCATGAACTCCCAGAGTTCACCGCAAGCGGACTCCGATATAGGTATGTCCGTTAGATCACCGAATATATAGTCAACCTTTTTATTATCTTTTATGAACTTGTTAACAGTCAACATACAGTCTTCAACGATTATCTGTAATTGTGAATACAAAGTAACTTTTCAATATATAATAAATAAACTTAAAAGGTAGAAGGGAGTGAAGTTGGAGTCTATTTTATATAACAATTACCTTACCTATTTCATGGTTGTTATGTAGGAATTTGAATACTTAAGATTTATTACTCTATGGATCTCAATATATAAGATTTATAAAAAAATATCAAGAATGCTATGTTTGTTTCTAGTAATGCCTACAGTGAAAATCACCGCTGCAGGGACACGCTGAGTGGAGTCCCTTTCAGTTTGTAGAAAAATATTAGTTTTTCCACTATGCATTATGCTATGCTATTATTATATTAGTTACTAGCTCTCTCGACAAACATTGATTTTTAAGTACTACGTAAGCAGATTTATTACAGTTATTTATTCCCCCATCCCCTTTGTAAGCAAAAGTAAGCAAAGCTCTTACCCTCATAATTTGTAAGTATAATTTCAGCTAAGCTTGCAAATGAAAGCTATACTTGTGAGTTTTATTATCTGTCAATCTTTAGGAGAAATACCAAACATATGCGAAAGCATATGTTTGGTATTTCTCCTAAAGATTGATGTTATAGAAATATAACTCAGCATTTGAATGCACGCCTTGACACCATGTGATACCAGCATTAGTATGTTAATGGATCCGTAAGCAATGCACTGACAAACATGCTACAACTAAACATTATTTAATTTACAACTAAACATACAGCATTAGGGTTGCCAACCACAAGAGATTTTTGGTCTTTAGTTATTGTCCTCGTTGAAATTGGAGATTTTTATCTACGGCAATTTATGAATACTTTTTTCATTTAAGAAGAATTCAAATTATGCAATTTTTAATGTACTGTTATAATTGTAATGAATGGATAGTCTAGTAAGATAAGACATGTCAATCTGTAAAAGGCACTAGTCGTTGCACACTGTAGCTTGATATTTGTGAGCACGTCATGGTTAATAAGTTATAATACGAAAGAAATATATATTTATCAAACATAATTTCACATATCTTTTGGCCAAACCAACCAATGCATAAATAATATTAGTATTACAGTGTAACAACCCTGCTATACACTTTTTAATGGCGATTAAAACATAATATCGCGTTAGTTCTTTAACATTACGAGTAAACAACTTTATTGGTAATTGTTGGCAACTCCAACGGGACCAAGTTGCAAAGATCATATATAAAATTTTTGAGCAACGTTTTACGAGTAAAAATATTTAGGTTGGCAACCCCAAACAGCACATTCAAATGACAAACCACATTACTTCGTAGTTGGGACCTTTTCTTCGCTCCAGTACGTCTCCACATATCGACTTGAGGTGTTTGTTACACGCATTCATCACAATCTCGTCAATTTCCAGCATCCAAACGAATTTCGGCCCTTCCTTCAACAACTCATACAAGAGAGCACCATCACCGCCACCTTTAAAGAAAACCGTTATCCCAATGTTATTGTGTTATGCCCAGTGAGGGCGTTAGACCACGCGTGGACGTCGGCGAAATTAGAGTTAGCGAGACTACCTTTATTTCCAGTTAAGAAAACGTTAAATTACATAAGTCGAATTATAGTTAAACTAATGTATGAGTGTAACACGAGTTTTATTGCTAACAAAAATTACACAAATAGAAATTGAAATAGACAATCTTTTCGGTTTTTGGCCTCACTGAACTTTTTCAGGATTATGTCATAGAATAGAATAGAATAGAATAGAATAGAAAATCATTTATTCAAATAAACTTACATTGAAGCACTTTTGAATAGTCATTACATTTTTTTTAATCTACCGCTCGTTCGGAAAGCTGTCTCATCACAAGAAGAACGAGCAAGAAACTTGAGTGTTGCTCTTTTAAATAATTTTATTATTACTTTACATTTTTAAGTTTAAGTGTGTGAATACAAACCACCAATTAGCACTAATTCAATTAAATACTCAAAAAGAAATAATATTGAATACATAACCAACTGGTTAAACAATTAATAAGAGGAAATCAGTCATAGTGATTAGAGCAGACCAGTCCCTACAAGCAGCACCCGTTCACGAGTATGACGGATGAGCCATAGCTAACACTAGCCGCTATTTCAGCTTCAATTGATAGAACTGATAACGCAGATAGCCTCTTTTGACTCATCGTGCTTATCAAGTAGATATTAATCAATTTTAACTTTGAGAAGCTTCTTTCAGCGGAAGCTGTACTGACGGGAACTGTGAGTGTGATTTTAATTGTTATATAAACATTTGGATATATTTAAATCCCGTAAAGTACTAATTATTCTGTTTACTCGCGTAACTGTATGTAAATAAATAAAAACGAATAACAAAATTTTAAATAATTAAAAATTTTGCGAGGCGCTCTCAAGCTGAAGGCCATCACCGTTCGCCGACGTCTCCGAGGCCTAACGTTAATGTAATGATTAATTAATTTAATGCATAAATGAGAAGTGGCAACATTTGTTTACAATAATAATAATATAGGACAATATACACAGCGCCATCTAGTCCCAAACTAAACGGAACTAAAAGGATCCATAGTAGCTTGTACTATGGATCCTAAGCAATTGTTACAAATACTTATTCTTTTCTGTTAACATTACAGACAATTATATTCATCAATACAAATATTTGTATCGTGTGAGAATCGAATCTACCACCATCGGAAGTAACGTTAAACCGTTAACCACTGAGTCCGTATTCGTATACGTTCAATGGTCCTTACATGTATTATATATTATTTACTTTAGTTAGTCTATAAGGTATTTATACTATGGGCCATTAATAGCCTGAAAAAACTAAATAACAACAATTTAATAATTACTATCATATTATGATACGATCTCACTCACACTAGGACGCAGTCTCAAACCTCATACAAAAAAGTGAGAATTTGCAATTTATTGATTCAAAATCAATAAATTGTGCTATGAATTTCTAGTGATAAAAAAAAATACTTGAGTTCTATAGGCCTGTCTAGATCGCCAAATAGTTTTAACAAATGTTAAAACGCCAAATTCTTGTCACATTAGTATGGTCACATTAGTACTTCTATTTATGCATTAATTAATGACGTGAATATTGCCCATTAATATGTTTATATGGAGACAGAGGAAAATGCACACAAAAATAGCATCTATTACTAGTTCTTTTTGAAGTTTCGTGTTTAATACAATTAATACTGGGTCTTAACACGAATCATTGCATGGTCAATAAGGGTAGGTTGCACTAGCCGTGGTCACAAGCTGACGGCTATAATGTAGGCGAAACGGAGAGAATTGTTAGTAATGTGGAGTGATGCTAACAATGCTAACAGTGTCACCCCATTGCTAACAATGTCAGGTTGATCTCCACGCGGTACCCCCTGACTTCATGCTCATGCTATCGTCTTCCACTGGTGCCCTGCCAGTGTAAACCGTTAGCGCAGGCAGGTGAACCATACCATTATCAACCATTAAAAAAATCTAGATGAAACGTCAAGAGAGGTTAACAATATATATATATATATATATATATATTAGTCATAGGTAGTATTCAAAAGATAATTCTGGTATTTTCTACAATAAAATTAAAACGGGAGTACGAAATTTGTGTATTTAAACATGGAAGGTAGTCTCTATGGAACTACTATAACTATTAAAACCATTTTCATCATTTAAAGGAAACATTATTCTAAATATAGGACATGTATTATTTATTATTTTCTGTGTAAATCTTTCATAAACTCTGTCTCCCATCTGAGAAAATAGTAACATGCAGTTATTGTAGAAGCATGCAAAATAAAGGTGAATACTGATTTCCCAACAAATTTATATATTTATTAATTATAGCTGATGATAGTAAAAATAATTTACCTAAAATGACGATTTCTTTTCCTTCATACGACTCTTTACCTCTTTGCATTAATGTTTCAGTGTAAATTAGGTCGGCCTCAGAGATATCTGAAACAATAGGTAATAAAAGTTGTAAGTTTATCAGTCTTATCAGACTGTAATACAGCCTGTGTCAGGTAATGATTTGTTTTGTTATTAAACTGGGTAAATATAGATTGAATGAGAGACATACACAATTGAGACAAGAAAGACAATTAAACTATACATGTATGTATATTGGCAGAATTTGAAACGGAAACGAATTTTTTTTATAATTGACTAGCTGAACCGGAAAACGTTGTTTTGATAGAAGGGTGAAAATTTTGCGATTTTTATCGACCATAAGAAAAATATATGTTAATACTTTTAGGATGGGCCACCCCTATGACTTAGGAGTATAAAAATATACAACAAGCGATTCTTAATTCTCTCTCTCTAATTAAAAAATTAAGGGGTATACATATAAAGTTTCATCAAAATCGGTTGAGTAGTTTTGAATTCCATCGCGTACAAACAACGTGAGCTGTAATTTTTATATATACATATAAAAATGAGCTACGTCACACGTACTGTACACCCGTGCTAAGTCGAGATGAGTCGATATTTTAGAAAAAACTTACTTTGCAAGTCATCTAGCACCAGCATATTGCCCAGAGATTTGGAATGCACTATCTGCACTCTCTGGAAGGGCGATTGTTCGTCGATCAACACGTCATCTATGTCGTATTCCAACAGCCTTTCATCTGTAACCGTTGATGAAATAATATTAAAGTATTAGTAAGCTCGTCAATCGTCCGGTGAAGCTGTAAAGGCCAGCTCCGGCCAACAGCAGAGGAGTAGTCCGAAAGAAAAAAGAATTAGCAAGGAGTATCAAATTATTAATAGTTAACTACTAATAGTTTGATACTTACACAATATTAATAACAAAAAAATATAGGGGTTAAAAGGTTATACACAATTGACCTCGGTGGACTACCGGTAAACCACACCGCTTTACTTCAGATTGTCGGGGATTCGATGGTCTTGTACCACCATAACACAAGCTCTGCTTATATTGGGCCTAGATGGCGTTGTGTAAATTATCCTGAGATATTATTATTTGCAATCATTCGTTAGCATAATCTTATAAGAAAATTATAGATTAATGCTTGAATATGAAAATAAAGAATAGAAATATTTAATCTAACTAGATTTTGTACAAGTCATCCGCGTGAGTACAACTGTTTCGCCCATTTCAGCCACCAAAAAACAGCTTGTTTTCTAAGATGTGTTTGATTAAAAAATATAATTACAGGGTACCATGCCTGCCATGGCATCTTAGTCTTCCAGAATGCCAAAACATGATGGATATCACGTGATAACGTGATGTAAACGGTCGATGGTTGCCACTTACCATAAGGTGGATCCCCAGTTTATTAATAGTTCCATTTAGAATATAAAATGCAATTGAGCTGGTTTGTATTTTTCTTGCAGTTTTTTTTTGTTTTAAATAAATTGTAATAACACTTTAATAGTTAAAAAAGGTTTGTAGGGAGTTTATTACTAATATATACAGAGATGTTGTAGGTAGCATTATTCAGTAAATTTTTCAAACATCAACATCAATAAGGACCTTATAATAGAAACTTGGTCTAATTTAGATATTAATGCATTTTTATACATACCTGTCATAAAGCAGTCACTAATAGGTATATATATATATGTACCTACATATGTGATCTTTAATGTACATCAAACAATACCAAATATAGTTATTTGCCTTGAAAATTATATTAATTAAGTTTCCAAACTTTAAATATCTTGATGTTTGAAAAACCTTTCATACTAAGCAGAACAAATGTTAGACCGTCAAGAAGGCCGTTCGAGTTTAAACTCGTATAAATTACTAAAAGTAAGCGATAAGTCAGAAATTTATATAGAAAAGTTTCGAAGCTGCACAGTAGACAGAGTCCTTGGGGTAGTTTTAGCATCTGCGTGAGCCGCCGTATATTAGCTACCAAGCAACTTGCGATGTGACATATGTTTCAGTCGAAGAGTCAGATAAGACTGTGAAATTACAGGGTACAAAGGCCTAAAGGCCTATACCTCCGGAATGGCAACGAGAGAAGTATCACGAGCATCACATGATGACGTGATATTCGTGGTGCTCTTCATATATGTGGGTGCGGGTTACCATTTACCGTCAGCTTGTTTGCAATTGTGAATGATTTCTGAAAGTGGAAACCGCGTACCTACGTCGAAGGACAACGCCGTGCGTGGCTCTCCTTAGATGCGAAGAAAAAGTTTGACCACTCCTTTCCTTTTTATTAAGTTTAATTATAAAAAGTTATCATTTACTACCAATTGTATCACGCCCTTTTATTTATCTCGGCGTGAGATTACCCACAGATTCGGAACCATAACATGGACTCACATTATGAATCATGCTAATCGATTGGCGCATTTACAGAGAGGGCGGGGCTTAATAACCAATGCGCCAATCGAACGTCATCGTCGGCATGGACTCTCTGACTCTTACCGGAAGTATACTGGGACTCTTACTATAGAAATAAGCAAAAGGTTTAAAACTTACCTGATGTAGGATAGTACCTGCCGAACAGGCATCTCTTTACCGGAGCATACGCCTGCGACTTTATGACGGTGATGTATTTTTTCAGCTGATTTTCCAACACTCTCGCTGACTGACAAAATAATAAATAAAAGGGAAAGAAAATAAATCATAATTAATACAACTAGCATGCAACTTGTGTTTTGTTTATGATAATAACGAATAATTAAAAGGTTGAGCGTTGTCATTCTTTAATTGAATATTAAAGACATAAGTATCAAAAACAGATAATAATGAAAAAAATTAAAAAATAAAAGTGCATTTTCAAATATATTATAATAAATGTTTTTCAAAATTTTGTATGTTGAATATTTTCGTTATTTCAAATATTTTTGTGTTAATTTGTCAATACATTCACCAAATTTTTGAATCGTTACGATGACCTTAACAAATTAATAACAAATAAAAATTATAAAATTGCTAGTGGGCATGTGCATATTTTAATTAAATACAATGGGAAGCTTTATATTTTAATAAAAGTGTGAATATAGCACAATCAATGTAGAGATGACCATAGTAATGTAACAATATGCTGTGCTTATTAAGAAATTCTTCATAAAATAAAAGTTGAATCAATACTATAGAAAATACAAAAGACCCAAAAAGGCTTGTTCAAATTTTCTTTAAAAATAGGTAAAGCCAAAGCTCTGACAAAGCTAAATTAATTTCTTAGTTTAACTAAATTAATGAAATTACTAGATTTGTGTTACAATAAAATAAAATATCCTAAAATACCAGAAATATATTAGCCAAATTATGGTAAGGCAACAATTCTTTATATTAAATAACAGCAAATATACAGGTATTCATATTTATATAGTTGCAGTGCATTACATAATTTTACTAGTAAAATACTCAGTTTAAAACTTCAACTGTTTAATTATTTACTGGTAATGATTTATATGTAGTGCAAATGCAAATGTTATTCACCACAAGTCTTACTATCTAGACAGGTGAATAACACAAGCTACCCTCACAATGAATGCACCTGAATTATATTAAATTCATAATAGTGTAAAATTAGTTAAATTCCATATCATATAGTTTCTAATCGTTGCACTACCACAACACTGGCTTAAATGCAGCAGAATTAAAGTATATAAATCAGAAGTTACGGCTTTACATGTTCAAACCTGAACTAGTTAGGTACACATCAAATTTATAGCCTCTTTTGATAGTTGGTAATAACTTTATTCGTTCGCATCCCAACAATATTGTTATGTCATTTTTCAGTAGTTTAGTACACTAGAAAATAATAGTTTTACGCTCAACCTTCACTTAATTGAAATTTATGAAAATTATTAGGAATACACATCGAACATAAAATTATAAATATGTATCTTCTGTACATCTTTGTAAATGTGATACATGTTAGACAAATTAAGGGAGATTGCAACTTGTATATTTTATACTATGTAGTGATTGAATAAAGAATCTTTTGATAATCTGAATGGTCTGTCCACACCCCTTAGCAGAATAAATTGAACGCAAATATTAGTACTACAAAATACAATGTGTAACTGCATATTCTTAATTTATATATGATAAGCTTTGCATTTGCAATTCGAGGGCGCGAGGCTCTAATATCTCTAGTGTTCTAATATACTTTCTTTATTATTAAGGACCAACTTATTATGTGTATTATTAAAGTTTTTAATAAAATATATAATTATCAATGTTATATAAAATATTTATGGGTTTTAGTCAATGCATACCTTGAAGTTTATTATTGGTTCTTCGTGATCTTCCTTATAATATTCAATATTTACAGTGACAAGGCCACGATCAAATAATCTTACAGAAACTGACGTCCCCCTCTTTCCTGTTAACAGTTTCAAGGACCCGCCTTCTATATTAATTTCAGCGGCTAAAATAAGATTCGGGATGTAATCTTTGAGGACAGTTTCCAATTGAGCGAAAACTGTTTTCTGGCCGTTTTCGTCACCTAAGCGCGCGGGTTCTAATGAAAAATCTAAAAGCAATGTCTGAACCGACATAATAAGTTTGTACGAAGAATTAAGATAAAAAAGTTATTGGGACGGGACAAGACCGTAACGGAGAGCACGATCGGTTGAAATAAAAGTCTTTCAGAATCAAATAAATGGTAAATAAAATGAAATGAATGAAATGAAGTGAATTTTCGTTGCTTGATATTGAATAACTATGAATCTGTTTTTCCGTGCTGTCATTGTCATATTACATGTCCCAGCTGTCACTGTTTGTGTGATCTATCCAAATCAGTTAATTTAATAAAAAAAATTTGGCTTGGTTTGTTGGCTTGTTTTTTTATTAAATTAACAAATTTTTGATTGGGAAGTGACGTTCAAATTCTTATTAGTTTTCATTAATCTATAAATCAGCGATACAGATTTATCAAAGACATTGTTATTTTAAGAGCTTTGTTTACTTCATAAAATAATAATTTCAGAAATAATTCTAAATAAATGAAATGCGAATGTTGAGATTGAGATGGATGTGTGGTGTGACAACGATAGACAAGATAAAGAATGATAATACACATTTTTTTTATATGGATGATAATGGAATAGTTCACCCGCCTGCGCTAACGGTCTTTACTAGCTGGGCACCAGTGGAGAATAATAAGATGAGCATGAGGTCAGAGTAATCGTCCATCGTGGTTTAGGCATGTAATGGATCATATTTTATGGAAGGTGTTATAAATGAATGTGGATGGCTATAAAGACAGAGGAAGACCGAAAAATAGATGGATGGACTGCGTGAAAGATGATACGGTAAGAAAAGAAATAAATAATGAAATGACTGCGAACAGAGATGAATGGAAGAGAAAAACATATTACGCCACGCTGACGCCAAATCAATAGGATAAGGAAAAAGCAGATGATGAAGTTCATAATGTGATGGCGCCATCTGAAATAGAATAAAACTAAAAGTTTTTACAAATAGAGGCGTACACGAGTTTTTAGGCGTTCACGTCTCTATAACGTTATGTCAAACAAATGTCAATATTAAAAAAATAGCTGTCTTTCTTTTGGTACAATACCTGTAAAAAATTGTGCTTGTACATTTTTCTGTCATGGGTGGAAATAATACTGAAGATGTGGAGGTAGGTAGAAAGAAGAAACTGGGTTGTACATTAGTTATTCTACCCGTATTTAAGTTAATTTCTAATTTAATACGGCTTCTTTTAACTAGATATGGTGATGTGGCCGGAGTGACTTTCACTGAAATTTTTTCATGTTCACTAGTTTTTTTGCATGGTTACTCATCCGTAAATCAAAATTAGACCTTTAATACAGTCTATTAATCATAACTTTTAACTGATACTTATTTTTTGTGTTGGTTTCAATAAAGTTTTAAGGTTAGGATTCATAATAAAATGACTTGTGTGTTCAAGGGGTCTGCGTCTACTGAGACCAAATCCACTAGCAATACGGAGATTCCCCCCGAGTTCCTCATCAAGCACCCGCTACAAAACACTTGGAGCCTTTGGTTTTACGACAATGACAGGAACAAAACATGGGAAGAGAATTTAATTGAACTCACCACATTTGACACAGTGGAAGATTTTTGGAGGTACACCTAAAATATTCACTAGAATAAGTACATATTAAACTAATAACATATCCCTGGAGTATATTTAATCAGATATAGGTTCATATTTTGTTGGCATTTCTTTAAATATGTAAGTTTAATGTGATCATAGTGCACGGCTATAGTTGCCTTTGATTAGCATGTTCACATTATAATCACAACATCTGAGTGTTGCTAAACAAAGTATGGTATGGCTGTAGATTGTTAATTAGCTGAAGGCTATATAAATTGTATTATCTAATGAATTCAACTGAATGTGTAAATAAACAGTATTTAGGTTAGAGTGAATCATAAGCTAAGTGGTAAGGTCTAGTATTAATTTGTAATTTTATGCTGTTAATATGACTAAAGCAATGAATTGTCAAAAAAAAAGCAAGTGTGGTGTCAGAATCATATCATAATTTTAGAAAAGCTATTTTAATTATATATATCAGTACCTACATGTAACAGAAATCGGAAAATGATTTCTTTGTAGCCATATATTCACATGGATAGTAACCAGTACTAGGGGTATTTAATCAGTGTAAACTGATTAAATACCCCTAGTTACATAATTACTATAGCTCACCTTGTAAGGACCTAACAATTCATTATTTCTTAGATATACACCTACATGTAGGCACTGATATATATAATTAAAATGGCTTTTCTAAAATTACAAGTTTTTAATTGATATTGCATTTATGGACTGGTTTATTTTTTTAATGACTATTCATATAGTAAAGTATTGTAAATAACTTTAATTAAAACCAAAATCTGGGAAAAATAATAGAAAAAACTTTACTTTGAATTGAATTTATAATAAAATATGAAAATATTAACTAAATTTCTGAAGTAAATAAAAGCTTGTAAAATAGTACCAATACTGGCACCTAAGCTGTATTTGTTGATAGAAACTAGGCTATTCTAATTCATAAAATATAAATTACAATGTTTGCCCAGAGAATTGAGAAGTGAATAGAAATCAGAGATATTTTTTGATTTACAGATTATACCACCATATTAAACTACCCTCAGAACTGCGTCAAGGTCATGACTATGCAGTATTCAAGCAAGGCATCCGTCCTATGTGGGAAGATGACGCAAACAAAATGGGTGGCAGGTGGCTCATCAGTTTGGAGAAGAAGCAGCGCACTTCTGATCTCGACCGTTTCTGGTTAGATGTGGTAAGTTATAATGATGTTTCAGCTTCTATTGTCGGTGTATATATTATATAAAGAAATAATTATATAAATAAAATTGGAGTGTCGGTTTATAATATTTAAATAACCATTTTTTACTACATACATATATATATGGTACATATACCAAAATAATTTTTTTTATAATTTTTGTCTGTCTGTTTGTTCCGGCTAATGTCTGAAATGGCTGAACCGATTTTGACAGGACTTTTTTTGGCAGGTAGCTGATGTAATAAGAAGTAACTTAGGCTACATTTATTTTAGAAAAATAAAAATAAATTCCATGTGTAACTTTTATAGATCTATTATAAAACCTGTATGGCCATAGGACTTACAACTTTGGGGGAGTGTGTCAAAGTCAAATGTTAACATTATTCAAAGGGCCCAAAATATTATACTGTGAACAGTATGTCCTTTGGTACATTGCGACATTTACAAAGAATTTGGCATGCTAACAGTAAAGGAAGAGATCCTCAATTGCAAAATCAAATATACCTCAACAATAGCCCTCAACTATTATAAAAACAATACCCTAAGCAACTAAAAAGAAGTGACATTATGTAATGTTTCGCAGTTTTCTTAAGGAGCAGATACTCCCACTGGGGTGGACACTCCATTCTCAGTTACTACACTCAAAAGATCTGCTCATAGTTCTGGGACTGAATGAGGATAAAATAGGAAAAATTTTTTTTCCATCATAAACTGGCCATGTTTAAATTTACATTTTGTTCAGGTACTACTCCTGATTGGTGAAAATTTTGAACACCCAGAAGAAATCTGCGGAGCAGTCGTGAATGTCAGGGCAAAGATTGATAAGATTGGTGAGTATAACATTGACTCTCATAGAATGAAGAAAATATATAGTTTCGTCAAAATGCGTTTAGTAATTTTTGCGTGAAAGCACAATAAACATCCATCATCATCCATCTATCCATACTCACAAATTTACGCGTTTATAATATTAGTAGCATTTTTATAACCTTATACATTAATTTGCAGGAATATGGACTGCCGATACATCGAAACAGTATGCTAACCTAGAAATTGGTAGAAAATTGAAAGACCAGCTTGGCATTCATGGAAAAATCGGCTTCCAAGTACACAGAGACACCATGGTTAAGCACAGTTCAGCTACGAAGAATCTATATACTGTTTAGTGATTTTAGTTACTTTTATGTCGAACCTAACGATGGTGGTATGGGATATCAAACAAAAGGGCAGTTGCTGGCGAATTCTGATGTATACATTCATCGAATCTTGCATCTGCCCTGTTGTAAACAAATCTCATAGGCTACTGTTATGTTACTAAATATATTAAACAATTTATTTAACAGAAGTAGGTGTATTTTAGGTTGGAATTTTCGTTCTCACATATGTATTATCGTTTACGACGTCCTTTCGTTGACGCAATTTGTTATGGACTAATAAAATTGGAGTCTGATATTTACTAAGCTGTGCTTGAGTATGTATGTCCTTATCACATAGTTGTAAGTTTGTATTTTATTCTGCTGTTGCGGTACAGGAGTGTCTAAATATATGCCTTGCATACGAATGTGAGGCGCCGACACAAAGAAATGTTGAGTTACAGTGGGCTGTCTTATGGGTTTGTTGGTTTTACAGTATCATGTTGAGTGCAGGCCACAGATAATATAATCCATTCAATTACTTTAAATGACCATGTGCCAGATCTTATTCTTATTTCGATATATGTACATTTTTATATACATTACTTGTGACTATGTATGCTGGTTATGTATAGGATTAGAGAGAAGAAAATTGTCTTTGTAATATTTGTATGTATATAAACTTGCGTACATAGACATGTGTAATGTCTATAAGACATCTATCAGTAATTTTTTTTATAGACTGGTTTTTCCCAAAAAAAAAACAAACAAGACGTTATATTTGTACCATAAATGTAAACAGTGTTGTTACATGTAATAAATAACATATATATTGAAATATGGTACAAAAACGTAGAAATGTTTTGTATATGTATAAAATGTTATATGATATGTGACGGCTTTGGTTGTCTTTGACAGTTTTGGCACGCTACCTTATCTTACGCGGGTCGCGAGTTCGATTCTTGCACGATACAAACATTTGCATTTATTAGTACTATTGTTTGTATTGGTCTGGGTGTTTTCTATGTACATTATATGTGTATTCAGAAAAAAAATATGTATTTCTATCAGTTGTTTAGTATCCATAGTACAAGCTCTGGTTAGCTCTGGAACTATGTTTAAACTATGTCGTGTAGAATCTATGTAAGAATGCAGTCAAATTGATTGTATGGTATATTAGTAAGACAATGTCGGCGCCCACGTGTACTGTAGACAAATTATATTCCACCAATTTTTGTTCGTGATTATATGTATGGGCATATATTTTTGCTAAGTAAATTAGGCACTCGTGTGCAACGACTTTATGTAATAGAAAGAAACTAGTTTTTTAATTGCGAAGATTGATATTTTTTCATTTAATTGTTTGTATACCAATCGAATATTGTAACATCATTAATATTACTTAACAGTGAACAATAATGTAAGCATTACAATGAAATTACTGCCTCTGTAACATTTTAAATTTTGAGTTTGGTACGTACCAGTCAAACTATTTTGGTATTTTGTAATGAAAGCACTAAAAATTAATATGATGTTTGTTTTATTTATTTTAATAATATTATTTTATCTATATATATGTTACTAACTATATATATATGTTACACAGGAATTAGTAAGAACAAGGTATACTGAGCAGCAAGGATATGAAAATACCCATGGTAACGAACAAAATTATCTTACTACCTTAATAAGATCTGTCAGGTAGCGTAAATCATTAGCGCAGGTGGCAGGTGGCAGGTGGTCCATTATCATGGAGAATCCGCCTGCTCTAACGGTTTACGCTGGCGGGGCACCAGTGGATCATCTTATGATGAGCATGAGGTCAGGTCAGTTAGCCCATCGTGAGAAATTCACTAGGAATTTATCACGATGGTTTCCAGGAGGAACCGCGTGGAGGTCGACCTGACATGGTACATTGCTAGCAATGGGGGTTTTACTAGTTACCATTACTAACAACTCCCTTCCCGCCCATATGCTTTTTATGCTATGAAAAAAATAACTTTCAGAATTAATGTCATGCAGAATCAATTACTCATAAGTAAGTTTATAAGCAGCGTTAGTGGCTTAGTGCTTTTACGACTAACTTAGGTAACTTAGGTATTTTTATATACACTACATACTCGTACAGGAACAGTACTACGAATACCACTCAATGAACAGATCAGCATCAACACAACGCAACTACATTTTGAGTATCCTTAGATACAAAAAATGTTTTTAGAAACACAGATGACAAAAATTCTGATCACGCTGTTTTCACATTTCTTGAGGCTATCTAGGAAGCGATTGTAGTGATATTGCCTTTGATTTTAAAGACGTCATGCCCACCGGTGGATCACTCCGCAACGAAAGTAAATTTACACGTTGGAAACGGATGATCACCCGCGGGCACTTTAATTGAAATGAGCCTAGGGGTTAAATAATGTCTAACTCAAATTATTGTACAATAAAAACATATTTAAAAAATAATATACCTACGTAATTAACAATCAAAAATGCTGGTCGCTGTGTAATAATAATAATAATAATAATTATTATTTATTCAGCATCATAGTACAGAGTAAAAATATAGAAAACTCAAAAACTAATATTTAGCTATGAGCTGATAGGGTGTCTGATTTTCAGTGGAGCCATACGAAAAAAAGAAAATATATAAAATGAAGAGTGAGTTAAATGGATGAATTAGAAATAGGTGTAATCAATGGAATAAAAATATATAAGTATAAAATTTCGTAAAAGTGTTGACTTAATTGTGTAATAAATATATATGTGAGAAATAAGATTTTTCAATGCAGTCTTCAACGTGTTAATGTCCGTGTGCAGTGCGTATTATAGAGCAAGAGCCCACGACTGCCAGACATACGTCATTTTAGTAAACGTGAAAGTTCTTGTATGTGTGTCCCCAACACAGGTAAGAACGATCCCCAAACATGAAACCTAGATCGTGGTTCCTTTGGCAGGTACCAGGTAACAAAGGTGTAAAAAATTCATATCAAATTCGTTATTTTAAGAAACTCCATATTTTCATATGTTGTTCGTAGCATTATTATAACTTGCGTTGCTCATTGCCAGATACGTAGTGTGGTTCCAACCCCCCGCCGGACCCCCCTAAACTATACTATTTTAGAAATAAACTTACGTCATTTGAATAAAGCTGAACTTTATATATATTATTAAGAGAACTATTAAACTGAGTTTCCTAAATTGCCAGACTGTTTTCTTGGTTCCTTATCCTACCAGACTCATTGAAACCGTATATTGGGTAACAACGGTGTATACAATTTCATATCAAATTCGTTATTTACGATGCTCCATTTTTTCACATATTGCTCGTAACAGTATTATAACTTGCTCTGCTCATTGCCAGACCCGAGGAGCTTCCTCCCGCGTACACTTAGATTGTGGAATGAACTACCTGCCGAGGTTTTCTCGAGAGACTACAGCATGGGGTTTTTCAAGAAGGGTATATTAAGGTTTCTTAAGGGTCGGCAACGCGTATTTGACACCCCTGGTGTTTCAGGCGTCCATAGGCTACGGTAACCGTTTACCATCAGATGGGCCGTATGCTTGTTTGCCACCAAAGTGGTATAAAAAAAAAACAATTATTTTATCGGTATACTCAATTAATTAACTAATTAATCATTCCCGTTTACTATTACAACAAGCTTTAAGTAATCAAGTTATAACTTACTAATAACCGAGTTTTTAGCTTATTTGCAATTTCAGTTATATAACATATTTAAGTTATTAGTTTTAATACACGTCGATAATATTCACAGTAACCTACTATTAAAAAAACACATTTCAGGTTTGGCAACACTGATAGTATCGATAGGGATTTCCGTGATATGTTCAACAATGGTCCAATCTATCCTATCTAAAGTTAGTATCAAAGATATGGTCTGATAACAATTTAATGAGTATTAATGTTGCCATAGTAAAAGATATTTCGCAAATTAGGCTATATCGCTTACCTTGTGTAGCAGTAGTAGTTAGATTTATCTATATAATAGTCTATAATAGGGTCCACCTGTATATGCGTTAAAGGTATAGGCACGCTGGTGAGGCATCAGTGCACAATAAAAGGACGAGAAGCAAGTCAGATCGGTTAATCAATCGTGGCGAATTCACTGGGAATTTATAACAATAAATTGAATGAATTGATAAATTGAAAAGATTTTAGCTAACTTTTTGTAAAATGTTTGGCCATTTGGACTAGATGACTTGTAGCAACATTAGAATAACAATCATAACATATCATATTTTTCATTATTGATATTGATGAAGATCATTTTGTAGTCAAATTATACTGCTTTATATAGGCATCAAACGTGCAACAATATGATAATTAAATTAATTTTAAGTCAAGAAATTATAATGAATAATAATACAAACGAAAATTCGAAGGTAAGATTTTTTTACTAATGACTACAGTAATTTTTTTAAAAACTTTCAGTCTTTGGAGTTGGCAATTTTTTATTATTTCTATTTTTTAATTTGAATAAATGATTTTTGAATTTGAATTAGAATTTGAATTTACAACTTTTTTGTATCATTATTTCTACCCAACAATTAGAATGTTGGCAGAATACATGAGTTCTTTTCTTAGATTATCCTAATAAAAACGAACAGACAATTTTATAAATATACTATTTTTTTATTTCGTTTATTTAAGTATCTAGGTACAACCTGAGTTCGTTTCGTTGACAATTTTATTATATAGGAATAGTCGTGAACTATGTCAAGTAAATCGAAAGCAGCGATAAAATTCTTAACTTTTACTGAAACTGGCTGAAATTGTTCCCAAAGATGCAAAGTAGTAAAAAATAACTAGCATAACACCAACAAATTGCGTGTCCTTTAAATAAATGTTGTTCAGCATATAATATGTACTATCTATTTTGAATTTGGAATATTCTGGACTAGATAGATATTGTAATAAAATTAGTAATATTAATTGTTTTTGCGCAAACGGAGGAGCATGAAATTTTAGATACTTATAGTTTATATAGAGAAAGAGTGCAGACTGCTATCTTAGCTATCTTACTTAATGTTAAATTAATTATAGTAGAATTTCGACCACTAGATTACATTGTATTTCGAGTGAAAATTGTATGATATGATCGGAAAACTTCATTCCATTGTCGGTTTCATTCGGTTGTCGAATACCTACTAAGGCACGAACCCAACGACATAATCACACTGTCGCTCTTTCACTTCATTTGTTTATTTACCGGTTGAATTCTCCTAACTCAAGTTGGGAGAAATCAATTCGAATTAACTCGAATTCAGCCCAACTTGAGTTATAACTCGAGTTGACCTATCTCTAATAGAGAATATTTATATAGAGAGAGAAGGTAGGAGGCACATACTAGACACTATATTTATTACACATATATAGATAAACATACATTTTATATGCATTGTCCTGAGATATTTTTATTATTATTTTAAGGATTCTGGGTCCGCAGACGTTTCGGATGTCTCCGTGGTAGAAGGGATCAAACATCCCCTTGAGCGACCGTGGGCTATATGGCATAATAACAAGGACAACAATAATGAATGGGGTTCTGGCCTCGTAGAACTTACTACGTTTGACACAGTAGAAGATTATTGGTGGTTAGTGAAGACTTTTGTATCACACATGACGGCCTCGTTGGTTTAGCATACCGCTTTAATTGTCTCAGTCGCAGGTTCCTCGCACAATGCAAACATTTGTAATCATGTATATGTTTTTTGTAGTTTAATATGAATATTAAAATGTGATGTCACATAATTGAAGAGGCGTCGTAAGGGTGGGAAGGTTGCTACGTTGCTAGACTTCATCATTGAAGTCAACCATCCACTATCATCCATAATATCCATTACCATCAATCAATCAACCCCTTGTTATTCAATGTCACACGTTGTGAAAGCATTCCCCTTATCCCCTTAGTATTAAAAATTTAAGACTTTCGAGAGCATGAGGGCTTTCAACCTTTACCCAAGATACGTGACATCTGAACTGACCGACAACGACAAAAGTTAAACTCTTCGGCGATGGAAACACCGTTAGTAAATTTCGAGACGGTAGTAGATTTGCCCCTGCCGTATAGAATTTTAATATAGTAGAATCCGGATACAACGACCTTCAAGGGACGGACTATACTATGTCGTATTAACTGGATGTACTCAATTTACGAATACATATACATACATAAATGAAATGCTTTATTTCAATAGTTCTTTGCGAGGGTTGCATTTGATTCACCGGCTTCTAATCGGTGTATTATTGCACTTTTTTCTTAAATTGTAAAACACATTTTGTCGAACTTGTTGAACGTGCCATACCACTACAAACACTAACTGTGATTTACTCGCGCCAATAAAGAGGCATGAAGCGCACGGGACTAATAAAACGTGGTATTGGTGCGTAGGTTTTGTCAACCAAACATTGTTTTAACCGGACGCATGACATTAAATGATGATATTTATAATAATAAATAGTGGCCGCTATAATAATAAATAAGCAGTTTGTTGCTTAAACCGGAGTCGCACTATACCCTTATACATATTTAGTACCTGACTGAAACATGATTAAACATTACTGTCGCTAAAACCGGTAAGTCGTTATAAGCGAAGTCGTTATATGAAACGTGGGCGTGCTAAGTATTGCCTTTACCACGACATCGCGTCGGTTTGACTCTCACATCTGACTGAATGACAGTAAGCAACTATATATTTTTTTATACTATCTCTACAGCCTCTACCACCATATCAAGCGTCCATCTGAACTCCCCTTAGAAACAGATTATGCAGTGTTCAAGAAAGGCATTCAACCTACGTGGGAAGATAAAATGAATGCAAAAGGCGGTCGATGGGTTTTAATGGCTGACAAATATAAGTTAAACGAGTTGTGGCTGGACATAGTAAGTTTCCTTTTTTTCTTTTATACTACGTAGGTGGTTAATAAGCATAAGGCCCATCTGATGGTAAATGGTTACTGTATTGTCCTGATTCTATATCATATTATTTTACTGTCATTTCGGTATTTTTTCCCGCGTACACTTAGATTGTGAAATAAAATCAGCGCTTCAGTGACACCCTGCGGCACCAGCTGAGTGTGGAGGTTTTCACTCTGTGTTTTGTTATGCTGAATAAATTATTATTATTACATTAACTACAGCATGGGGTGTTACCCTTGGTGTCTCAAGCATCCATAGGCTACAGTAACAGTAACCGTTTGCCTTTTTATTTGTTTATTTTTTTAACAGAGAGAGAGTGATTCAAGAATAAGATTTATATATATAATACAAGTACACACGTGCGAAGGGCGAGTAGCTAATTAATAATAATACAAAACCTAGCCAAGATTTTGATTATTAGTGGACTATAAACTACTGGATCGATTTTCTCTAATTTCTATTGGACCGAACTTTGCAATAAGAAAAATCTTACAATTTATGATTTAAAGTGTAACTCTGGTCGGTTTGATCAAACTTAGCTTTGACTAATAATATTAAATTGTTTAAGTAATAAAAAATCTATAAATTAGGTAAGTACTATATGTAAGAATTTGATGGCATTTATGAAATTAAATTAAACTTGTGTGCCGTCAATATGCGTGTTACAGATATACAGTACTAGTACTACTTATTTCATAAATTCTTCTATCCTCTTAAACTACTGGACTGAATTCGATGAAATTTTATGTGTATTATTAAAATAGATAGTTGGATGGACAATTGTGTTTGGTAGACGGCGCTCCTTTCCGAACAGGTCGACGTCTCTATGTAGCATGTAATACTATCTCATAACGACATGTATACTGATGCTGGTGATAACTTTCCAGGTTCTACTTATGATTGGTGAAAATTTCGAAGATATGGATATGATTTGCGGTGTTGTAGTTAATGTTAAGCAAAAATGTAAAATTGGTAAGCTCTATTTATTACGTACATATGTACTGAAATGTTAAGACCGGTTACTGTACCCTTGGGACGCTTGAAAGTGGTGTTACAGCTGCGTCACCGACTTAAGAAAGCTTAATACACTTTGAAAAACGGCTATAGTTTCTAGAGAAAACCTCGGCAGGTAGTTAATTTCAAAATCTAAATATGGGTGGTAAAAAAGGTCATATGAAATCGTACTGTCAGTCACGATGCGAGCGACACTGCTGCAGATAGGTGCTGTAGACATCATCTATACATATAAATAAAATTGGAGTGTCTGTTTGTAATATTGAAATAATAGTTTTTTATTACATGTATATGAATATATATACGGTACACATACAAAAATAACATTTTTTATAATTTTTGTCTGTCTGTCTGTCGGTCTGTTTGTTCCGGCTAATCTCTGAAATGGGTGGACTGATTTTGATGGGACTTTTTTTGGTAGGTAGCTGATGTAATAAGTAGTAACTTAGGCTACTTTTATTTTAGAAAAATAAAATAAAGTTCAACGCGGACGCAGTCGCGGGCACAGCTGGTGTCAAATAAATCCTTGCGAGCGACACTGTTGCAGATAGGTGCTGTAGGCATCATATCAAATAATTCCTTTCTACACATTCGGTAGAATACATAAACCAGGCGAAGTCTCGTTTCAAAATGAAGGTTTATATTACTGTTAATGGGACTGGATATCGGATTCATCTTCAGCATTTATGCTCTTGTATATAGATGAGAGTAGTCTCTGGTTCGTGGTGAACCGAACCACCGCTTTATTTTATTAAGCACTCCAAGATTTTTGGACGTCAGCCTGACCTTGTCGGAAATTGGAATCGGACTATGCTAGAGATGTCGACACCGAGAGCCCCGAGATGGAGAGATGGTCACAGAAAGCTAATTTAATTTAATAAAGCTTTTTTACTTTAAATAATCCGTAATTTTCAGTAAGTAGTTAAGTAACAGATAAACTTTTCACCTTATTCTGCGGCTAATTCGCTTGCTTTGACAGCTGTGTTCCGGTTGGAAGGGTTTAAATGGTAGTTAAATTACAGAGTACAGTGATTTAACTTTAGTTAAAGATTAGCAACGCATGAGGACGTAACATAACTACATGAATTCCGTGGTGTTGTTCACTCCTGCAGCTTGTAAGTTGGCTGCTTCTTCAGTCAGCTTCTTTATTATTCTGATAAATTAATAAATGCATTCTTATTTTTAGTGATTTGGACTACAAATACATCGAAGAGGAATATTAAAATTGCTGAGTATCTGAAAAACAAACTTAATATTAAGAGAAAGTTAGATTTTCAAGCACATAATGATCGTAAAATATTGTATTCTTATTAGCCGACTTTGAGAGGTTACTTTTCTTTTTTATTACGGAAACAAACACCCACAATCAATGTAGATTGTGGGTTTTTGTTTCCAATCATGTCAACCCCATTATCTCAAACCTAATATGACTTATATAAATGACATGGATAACATAGAAATAAATATTAATCAAATATTTATTTAATTGTCACCAATGTGCCATTGTATTCGTAAGATTTCAATTACTTGATTTTTTTTGATTCGAAAGTTTTCAATTATAATAAATTAAACTTTATTTATATTGACTTTTAATTTCAATGCCTTACGATTGTACTTTATCCATTAGCTGTAATAAACATAATTTTCTACAAGTGGTGTTTATAGGACGTATCCAGGAAATTTCACACAAAGATCTAGTCCCCAGCTAAGCCGAACTTGTGCTATACTGAATTAGACAACTGATAGAAAATGAATACATAGGTACATAGAAAATGACCAGATAAATACAAACAATCAACCATGTAAAAATACAAATGTGCGCTACGTGCGAGGTATCGAACCCGTAACCGTCGGAAGTAAACCGGTGTGCTAAACCGCTAGACCACCTAAGCCGTTGATATAGTAAAAATGCATTGGTTATTATTCTTTCTCATCTCTAGAAAGAGAAGGAAAACTGTTACAGTTTTCCTGTAAAACTCTACAGATGAGTCCAGTTATTACTTTCAATTGAATCATACTAATAAAAAAAAAGAAAAAATGTGATTGAAGTACAGTACACATCAAGCTCTCAGTTATTTTTCGTTTTTACCTATAAAAACCTACTGTTCAAAGTTTGCTAGCGCTTTAAAGTGTTTAGTGTGATCAGCTTCGTGTCTGGTGATGTTGGTATAAAGAAGTGTTCGCGAAATTTCGATTAATTTAACTTTTATTAACTGCGAGTTACCATACTTTTTTTCGTGGAAGAGGGTATATGAATATTGACACCGTTGGTGAAGTATTGATCAAGATCACCACAGCGACACCTCACGGTGAACAGCAGATACCTACTCTAACTTGAGCCCTCTAGCGGTCTGTTATTCTCAAAGCTCAGGTACTACGGATTTGATGCGCAGACAATACTGAGGTTTGACAGTTATCTCAATTATCGTCATCAACTCGTAAAGATAACTTAAAACGATGGCACTCTACTATATTCCCAAACTAGGCCCTTGAGCAGAGGGATCCGTAGGGATCAATTCTGGGGCCCCTATTATTCATCCTGTATAGTGCTGATATTGCTAGATATTGTGAAGGAGGTTTATATCATCAATATGCGGATGACTTACAGATTTGTATGTCTATGAGCCCTCAAGATACAAACTTAGCAATGAGCACATTGAACTCAAAACTTTTCCGTATATCGGACTGGTGTTCAAATAATTCTCTTCTTTTAAACCTGGCTAAAACAAAATTTATGGTATTAGGTCACAGGTACAAAAAATTAAAAATCAAAAAGCAGTTATAGAAATCGAAGGTACACCACAGATGCAAGTTATTGAAGCGCGCAATCTAGGTCTACTAATGGACTCTGGTCTTAAATTTGAAAACCATGTTGTAGAGTGTGTTGGAAATTGTTTCTGTAAACTAAAAGTATTGTACAAAGTTCAAAATTATCTCTCTACTGATCTACGTATTCGATTGTGCGATACTCTTATATTGTCCAAATTGAGTTACGGTTTAACAGTTTTCGGTTCTTGTATATTAGTGAGATCACGGCGGCTTATCCAACGTGTTCAAATTGCATGCTCCTGTTTCTGCTTCCAGATTCCGGATTCCCGTAGTTATGTCTCCCCTTATCGTAATAATGCTAAGTTACTGAACATGTCATCTCGTTACAATCTTTATTTAGCGACTTTATTGTTTGATGTCACTAATTGGAAAGCTCCTAATTATCTTTATAAGAATCCCGTGTGGTCTTGCAATCAACATTCTTTTAAAACTAGGCCTACTCTGTATCAACTGGTGACTCTAGCACATCGGACTACTGCTATCAGGGGCAGTTTCTGATATATGGTCTCCAAGTGTTGGAATAACTTGCCTCCTCCCATTCGCACTGTAAAAACTAAAGAGAATTTTAAAAACCAACTAAAAAAACATCTACTGCTCTATCTATCTGCGGAACTTTATTAACCAGCTGCTTACCCAACTTAGTCCACAAGCATTGTTTTGCATCATCTTGTCAGTCTCGCGGAGCCTTTCATCATATCAATATATGTGTAATCCTTATTATAGTATTTATTTATATGTAGTATAAGTAGTTTAATAACATAATTAATTACATTATTTACTGTTTATTCATACTTTATATATTTCGGAGAAGACCTCGAAGTTTAATATTTATGTATTTTTTTAGTAATCAGTATAGTATAAGTAAAGCCAACAGAATATCAGCGCTGCAGAGTTATCTGTAGCATTATGCTGAGTTGGCTGCCTTTTCACTTTTGCGGCACATAAAGCCACCTACATTTCTTTTATTAATTCATATTTTCTCTGTATCTCATGTATGTTATGTGTCTGCAATTGTGAATAAAGAATTTATCTATCTATCTATCTAATATTATGAATGCGAAAGTATGTCTTGTCTTTATGTTTTCTACCTGTTCACATCTAAACATTTGAGCGGATCTGAATGAAATTTAACCTAAGAGGACCTAGTATCGTGAGGACAGGTACGCCCTCGAATATAAATCTGAAATGGGGTGAAATAGGTGGTGAAACCTTGTGCAGAAGTCACAGGTATGAGTCAGTAATTTATAAAACGCAATATTTGGGTAACCAAATGAAATACAAATCCATTATCGCTATGACATTAACATCTATTTCATAGGAAGTAACGATTATTTGTGTATATGCATAATATAAACTTTATTGATAAAATAAACGTTAATTATAATATGGAGATGAAAATTTTAATTATAATATTGTGCATGTTCTCGAATTCGTCTGGTTTCTGATTTCCGTTTCTACAGTTTCTTCGAGCTTGTGGATTGTTTGTTCAGTGCCCTCGATTCCTTTGTGTACATTTTCTGAAAGTTTGATATTAATTATTACAATTTTTTTTGAATTCTGAACAATAAAAATATTGAATCTGGCATTTGAATATTTCGCTAAACACAACAATATAAAATATTAGTAGATTATTCATCAGCTTAGATAATCCGTAATCTAATAATCATATAGAATGTCATAACAAGTAAAGACTTAAAACATAATAAGAACAAACTAAGAATTTACAATAATGACTACTAGTAAATTTTAAATGTCTAACTTAAAATCATCGCAATGGCAGAACTTACCTATAACATTTTCTTCAATTACTTTTCCTTTACTCATACAAGAGTTTTCTTTATCTTTTATGGATTGAAATAAACGTGCAAACCGGCCTTTCTTAACTACTACATCGCTTTCCTCATTCTGCATAGGTTCATCGTGGTCATCAATTGCGTCTTCACTTCTTACAATAGGCATCACAGCTTGAGTTTTCGCCGTTTTCCCAGCTTGAGGACTAGATTTATCAGACCCACAAGGTATAGTTTCATTCTCCGATTGACCAGCTTCACTTTTTTGACCATCATCGCTATGTTTACTTAGAACTGGACTCATTTGTGATATATCTGGTACATGAAGCAACTCCTGTAGTATGGGGGTTTTTGGTGGAGGAGAATTAGCTACTTCATCTCCTTTACCTGGAATTTCAAGGACTTTTCTTTCTATGTGATGAATATCAGGTATGACGGCGGCTACTTTTTTTATTTCATCTTCAACTACTTCTACTTTTTCCTCTACTTTATGGGACGCATCTTTCACTGTTTCTTTAATTTTTTCTTCCGTTTTTTCAATCATTGTATCCATAGTATCGATTAAGTCTATGGATTTTAGTTCTTTCATTGGCGACTTAACTACATCTGTTTTTAAATCGGGAACTTCGTGAATGCTTGCATTGTCATTTTCTAGATCATTTATATTAACTATATGAGATCCGCTCACATTAGCTTCTAATGAATCTATCGATCCAGTTTCCTCGTGTGTATTGCCATTGATATTGTCCGGATTGACATGTTCATTGGTGTTTAAATTCGTAACATCTTCACAATTGTCTAATTGCGGATGATCTTCGCCTTTATTCATGATCGGTACTTTTTGCAACGGCGGTAGTTCAGTTAAGGATACCTGTCTGGTTTCTTCGTTGATAATATTAAAATCGTTATTCGTGAAGTCAACGTTAGAGCCTTTAGTAGCCGTTAGTAGAGTGTGGCACCCGCCACAGGCGACATTGTCTACGACGAATCCATTCATAGCTGTGACCCGCTTCGGTGAGTATTGATTGGGGATAGCCTCATTCGAATTGTCGACGTCGTCTATTTCCTCCAAACAAAGTTTGTTGTGTCTCGATTCTCCGCACGTGTAAAGTAATCCGTTATCTGAAATATGTTAATTCACATTACAATCTATTTATATTTGATTCATTTATGTTAATACGAGTATAGCCAACGAGTGAAACTCCAATACTGAGTAATGACGACGACTCACTTATTACAGAAGTAATTTATTTATACATACATATAAAGGATATACGAATAATGCGTATCATATTATGAAATCGAACACGTACAAGGGCATGCAACTAAAATAAATGACCGTTCGTGGACTAGGTAAGTAGTGAAGCCTAAAAGGGGTTGACTATTATGTACAATCAATGGCTAGGTCATAATACCTACAGACATGTTTTAGTTTCATATTTCCATTAGGTGTTTAATATAGCGTAGCTGTTACAATGTTGATAATCGCATGCCTCATACTTATTAAATTTGACGACAATAAACAATTTGACGGCCTCGGTGGTTTAGCGGTTTAGAACACCGCTTTACTTCCGATGGCCGCGGGTTCGATTTCTCGCATGGTATAAACATTTGTATTCATGAGTATGATAGTTTGTATTGGTCTGGGTGTTTTCTATGTATATAATGTATGTATTTACAAAATAAATATCATGTATTTATATCAGTTATATAGTAACTTAAGAATGAAAAAGGGGTGGCTGTTTTCAATGTATATTATGTGTGTATTTAATAAAATAATATATTTCAGTATTTCTATCAGTGGTCAGTATTCATTATATAAGGTTTGCTTAGTTTGGGACGGATTGTCCTAAAAAAACTTGGTTCGATTGGGAATCACAATTTTTGAAGTTGGTGGTACATGTAAACATAATAATGTCGATGATTTTTGCAATTCTAAATATATCGTAATTAAATTTATATCTACATATAAAATATGTGATTTTGTGATTTTTAAACTGGGATTTTTAGACATGTAAATTTATACATTTGTGCGACCTATAAATATATATGATATTAATGCATTGTTAATGGATAAATATGAATAAAACAAATTTTATATTTCCTTTATGTCCTTCCAACTTAATATCTTTTTCAAATTTCGAATTTCCAGATTCAAAATTCAAAATCTACTTAAAGTAAGACTAACGTAACTTTATTTTATTACCAGTAACAAAAGCTGTATGCATCGCTCCACAAGCGACTAATTTCAGTTGATATCCATCGAACATCGTTTCCATATTAATTTCAGTGGGTTCGGTCACGTTTACTATATCTTTGGGCATGCCTAGCTGACCCCTCTCGTTGGAGCCGAATGCCATAATCTTCGTTTCATCCATGGACAATAGAAAGGTGTGCGACGCCCCGCAACATGCACTTTTTATTGGTACGCTTACAGGTAAAACTTCAGGAACGTATACGGTTGTGGCAGCGTTAGGTATACCCAGTTTCATATTCTCGTTATCACCAGTAACAAATACGGCACCTTGTTCTATAAAAATGTAGAGAATGTCCATGAAAAATTAGGGGCAAGAGATTTTGTGAAAGAAAGAAACCGATGTGATAAATTCCTGGTGAATTTGTCACGATGGGCTAATTGACCTGAGCTCATCTTCATCGTATCAATCTCCACTGGTGCCCCGCCGGTGGGGTGGTCAGATGCGCCTTTCCATTAACACCCATTAAAAAAAATAGGTCATTAATTTGTAGTATAAATAGTGAAAATGAATACTTGATGTAGCCCGTTATTTAGGTTTATTATTTCGATGGTCATTGGTTCGATTCCTCTCACGGTATAAAGAATTGTATCCAAGAATTTGATTGTTTCTATCAGTCTGGGTGTTTTCATGTATATTGTGCATGTATTTACAAAATATACATCCAAGTATTCATATCAGTTGTCTAGTAACCATAACATAAGCTTGCGACTAGATGGTGCTATGCTGAATTGTCCTGAGGTATTATTATTATTGCACCAAACATGTAATAAAAGAATTATACTAAACAGAGATCTTGATGTACAAAAGGCTGTCTATTATTAAGGCGGTATATTATATACTATCAATGTTGATCTTTAGTTTCGCTAGTGTCTTAAAATATAGAGATTATCACATCAATGCGAAACACAGGCTATTTTGTATTTATTAGTGAAGTGAAACTGTTAGGTACTATGGTAATTCTAGTGTAGTCTATTTAATAGTGCAGTGAAGCAGTTACTGTAGTATATAACTCCATTGTAGTTTTTTAATATAATAAGAATGGCAAACAAGCTGATTTTCCACCAGTGGTAACTGTCACCTATAAACAAGAACAGCAGTACGGACACCACGTTATCAAGTGAAACCAGTACCACTCAAGCGTTGCCATTCCATATGACTGACATGTCAAGACTTGTCCTGTAATTTAATTTATTACCGATCGACTTACCAGTAATAAAAACAGTGTGGTAATATCCGCATTCAACAAACACGATTTTCTCCATAAATTTGAGTTCTGTAAACTTGACACTTGACCTGGTATCTTCTCCAAGACCAAGCTGCCCCTCCGAGTTCGAGCCGCACATGAACACGCGACCCTCGTCTAATTAAATCGAATGAAGAATCATTTATACATGTAGGATATTTTAGCCGCTTATGAACGTAAAAATTTTTATATTAATATTTCTTTCCTACCGACCTGTTCAGTATACAGATTCAATTGTAAAGAATTGGCAAGAAACTCTACTGAAGTTCTTTTTTTTAAAAAGTCAGTTTATTTATATTGTGTATTTATGTAGGTGTCTATGTCTAATATTAAAAAATCCCGTGCATGAACAACTGTTGCCTTGCACGACAGTTCATAAATTATTGTTAAAGATTTGTAAATGTATGTGAGAAATTAGAACTAGGGTGCATATGATTGATGTAATTATATGGTTGTTATAACTATTACGAGGGAATAGTTAGCTATTCTAGTTGCCCAATTAAACTCATTATCGAACTCAAAATCATTTATTCATATAGGACCTTTCTCTCTTATGCATTATTGCATATGCATTATTTCTGTAGTCTAGTTCGAATACTACCACAGTTGAGAAGAACTGTCGAAAAACTTAACTGGTGCATTTGTATATTGTTAATAATAAGTTTCAGACTTTAAAACAATAATATAGCGTTCAAGAAGTGTATATAGATAAATTATTTAAAATATTGAAAATCACTTGTCACCATTAAGTATTTACTAATAGTGACATAATTATTGATAAATTCATCAGAAATTAACAACGGTAATTTATACAGATATTTACTTCACACTTCACACGAAATTATTAAAAATACTTTTGAAAATGTAATTCTGAATAACATTTAAAAAACATAAAAGAACAACACGCATTTTTCTTGCTAGTTGTTCTTGAGCTGAGTCTGCTTTCCGAATAAGTGGTAGAATTATAAAATAAAGAAAAAAATATTACATGACTATAGAACAGTTACATTTTAAATTTATTTAAATGAAGACGAGACTGAACAATTTTTGTTTTTAATTATTTTGTGTTTCAATTAAGAAAAAACATTTGTTACTCAATATAGTTTCTGTTTTATGTTTGATGAAAATTAATTAAATTATATTATTAATTTAATAAAGATTATTTCTATTTCCAATCTATATATATACATAGTATTATGTAATATTATCTTATCTGTGATAATAATATTTAAAATGTTAAACGTAGAATGTATTTCGTAGCAGCCTTAAAAGTAAGGCAACATTTCAAATTGTGATTTTTAATGTTTAAATATCTATTCTATATTGTTAAAGATGTATGCATTGTTGGTTGTCCTAAATAAATAAATAATGTTGACTACGCACCAGTGAGAATGGCCGTGTGATTGCTTCCAGCTGACACCTGTCTTATCGGTTTGGGATCCCCTTCGAGCTCCACGAACTGGGGCACCGTGTGGTGCTCCATGTCACCTGTACCCAGCTGCCCTTCATCATTACAGCCTACTGAGTATATTGCATTCGAATCTGTTGCACATAAAATCAATAGTGAGAAAAAACTAATGTTTAAATTGACGTTATTGTATTTCTAGTAGTTTCTTTCTTTTCAGAAAGCCATATCTTTGGATATATGTGTATCATGGAAGTGTAATAATTACACCGTCATCTTAGGCGTACGTCCTATATAGGATTTAGAATGACGTTTTATTTTATTTAGACAACCACGCGTAGTTTCGTTTCGACCACAAATCATCGAAACTAAACCATACATATAACATTTCAGGAGTCATTTGAAGTTTAATTGCTTTAAAATTTAATCTCAAAAAGATAATATTCTACAATTTTATTTTCACATATCATTTATTTATATATTATTTGCATTTTTAGTTCAATGACACGTCAATTCACACATAACATTTGCATCAAATTTCTCTGCACCACGGTATTAAGTCCGTAACATTTTATATTAAGTTATATAAATATGTCAAGTGTTATTAATAACTTAACGTTTACCTTGAAGTCAATGTGGCCGACGGCGATCATATTTTGCCAGTCAGCGAAAAAAAATTAAAAGTACCAGTAACGAAGAGCGTGTGCGCCCGTCCGCATGCAACGAACATGGCTCTATGCGGTTTAAGCCACTTGACGCAGCTGGGTCTCGTCACCTCATCCTTATGTCCCAGCCCGAGCTGTCCCCATGCGTTGCCGCCGAACACAAACACTCGGCCATTGTCTGTAACATCAGAGGTAGACTGAAAAACGAGTTTTTTTCTGACTACTCTAATGCTGTTCACCGCAGCTGGCCTATACAGCTTCACCGGACAATAGGGGGCGAGTGCAGATGGCACTCCAAACCCGCGGAAGGACTTATGGAGCGGCTGAAGGCCAACTCCCGCCTGACGGATACGACTTTAGTCTGAGGGCACCACTAGGGTTTCGAACCTCGGTCCCCGTTTGAATTGGACGGGGGGATCGATCGGAGGGGTGTGTGAGTACTTCAGTCTCAGCTATATCAGCCGCCAATCAGCTTGCTTTGTAAGCTATGTTTCGGTATTAGGGTGCAGACAGAGCAGTGAAATCACGTCTTGTTTGATTAAACAAAAATAAAAACTGCAATCGTGACGAAGACGTATAAAAGTAGCAGAATATGTCTGTATACCTTTAATTTACCATTTACCTGCTACTCTGCATTTTATCCGTGAAACTGACGGTTGTAACACTGCATAATAATATCCTCTGTGGTATTTATTTTTTTATCTGTACTTACGGCATATAACGGCGCTGTGTTCATCCCCACAAGATATGGCGACCACAGGATCATTCTTGATAAAGAAGTGACTAGGTTCGTTATCTGCGAAGTGCGACTTGCCGAATGTGAACACCGCGCCCGTTTCTGTTTATCAACACATTAAAAACGTGATTAACTTATGTTATGATTAACTTATTATCTTAATACAGAAATATAAAAAAACTAGTCGTGCCCGCGGTTTCATCCGCGTGAAATTTATAGCCTATATGTTATTATGATGCTACATATATTATTGTAAAGTTCATCAAACCCGTTCAGTAGTTTTTGCGTGAAAGAGTAACAAACATCCATCTATACTCACAAACTTTCACGTTTAGAATATCGATAAGATTCAATCGCCTACTGCCTGGAACTATGTAATATTATCTTACGCTGCAATCCAGTGATTGGTTTAATTAAATAAAAACAAAAAACGCGATCAGAAAGTGTATTAAGTGTATGTGAAGATACTGTGAATATAATTTATCGAGCTGAGATAGTAGCAACAAACGAAGACGTGTAAATGTAGACGAAATCAATGCTCATAAAGGATTTCACTTTATGTAAATATATAAATTATGTATGGTACAATACATAGGGGGTGGCATAAACATTTTGCATGGAAAATGGTCAAATATAAAACTTATTTTCCCATACAAACTGTTTATAGACCAGGTACCTGTCGTACAGAAATGTATTCCCGGAACTGAGTTCGCGGGGTCAGCTAGTTAATAATAGTAATATGTAGGTATTTATTTCACTTTTACAAACATAAATAAATCTAAAATGTCAATATAATTGTGTATGGTATTGATATTTTATTCCTCAAAAAACGCAAAGGCTGAAAAAGGCGATACTTTGTATCAAGTCGAAAAAAAATTAAATGATTGTAATCATATTATTAGTCCTTAAATGTAAAAGTCTAATTGCTATTGTACATCAAAGTCTTTTAAATGCGTGATGTCATTATTCTCAGAATACATAAACAATAACTTTTGTTCACGAAAATCGCCAGCATGACGTCAGTAAAGCCCGAAATTCTATTCTATCACATAATTTGAGGGAGTTTAACACGCCTACTGAAGGAAAAATGTATAAAACTCAATTGTTCTGGCGTCCGACTTCCGTTTGACCTTGCCTGAAGGTCTTAAGTCCATTTTGCCAGCTTTTAATCTGAAGATATGATTGATATCATGTCTGAAATGAATTGTTACTTGCGTGTGGTAAAATGTGGGGAGAGGTGGCTAGGTTCTTTTCGAAGGTGAAATTTAACGCAATATAGGCCTATAAAATTAATAAATTATGACTCAAAGCAAGTAGTGTTTTGAGGCATGAATTATGAATTTTATAGTCATGATAATAAATAGTTCTATAATGATCCTAAAGAACATTGTATACATATGAATGTAATTTATGAACTTTTTTGCGTTTATACTCTCGTGTCACGAGAGAAAGTACTTTATAAGAAAATTTTTGCACCCATTATCTTATATACCTAATATATTATAACTCATTATTTATTCAATAAGATATCTTCATACATCTATCATTTAACTACGAGATGTTATCTGTGCTACGAGTAACTACTTGGTCTACGAGTAACATCTTGGTCAGAAGTTACCCATCCCAGAGATTTTCATATCGTTTTGGAGACCAGACAAATAGGATAATTATACAGAAAAAGAAATTAGTAATAATTATGAATAAGGACATTCAGACCGCGAAGTATAATTGAATACGATTTGTACTTATATAAAATTACCGTAATTATAGGTCTGGTCATATTAATCGAATTTGTAAAGGTTTTCCTGGAAAAATACACGTGAATCATATTCGTCTAGGCTGAGTATCATCAACTAAAAGAATGAGAAATTAAATAATCAAAAAATAAATAAATAACCCTGGACAATTAACACAGTGCCATTTAGTCCCCGTAAGCAGAACTTGTGATATGGCACCAGAAAACTGATAAACATACTTAGATATTTTTTTTTATTATACGTACATAGAAAACACCCAGAGCGATACAAACAATCATACTCATGAATACAAATGTTTGTACCGTGCGAGGAATCGCACCCGCGACCATCGGAAGTAAAGCGGCGTGTTAAACCGCTAGACCACTGAGGCTGTCATGTTAATAAGAAAAGGTAACATTTGAAACATCATCATCATTTATTATCCTATTATTTGTGTTGGCGCAGTGTGTCATATTCTCCCACCGGTCCCTATTAGTCGTTATATCTGTGCTTACTCTCTTTCCAGAATTCTTTTCCATCCAAAATGTAGGGACTGTGAAATATGTCATACATATATCATCTTTCACACAGTTCATAGTAAAACTGGTCACATCATGGTTTAAATTAAAATTTTATATATATATGTATATAGTATATTATTTTACATTGATGTAAATGACACAAGTAACCAAAAAAAAGTACGTTTATTAGGCATAATTACTTATAAACTACATTGCATTTTTCTAGAAAACCCATATATTATGTAGCAATTTCCATTGTCATTGCTTCGACATAGATAGAAATATTTTTTGTTTTTAATAGATAAACGAAAGAATTATTATCATAAGACACAACGCCGGAGCCAGAAAAAAAAATAAGTCAGAACCTATTTTTTTTTTTAGAAATCTGTCTTATCAAATTTATCAATAAGTAATATGGCCAGTATTATCTTATTTAAAAATTAAAGATCCCTACTATTATGGACGTTCTAAGCCTAGATTTCAATAAATATGTGGTAAATGGTGGGCCGTGTCGATGTACTCCCTCTAATATACATATATGGTTGAGTGCAATGATGCACGTGTGCTGTTGTGGGGACTGGTCTGTTCAGGTTACGAACACTTATTAAACTGTTTGCTTTTACAATAGCATATGGTGGTGGTCACACTATTCTCTCAAATTTGAATTTAAATGAATCTGTATTATTGTAAACATATACAACATTTATTTGAAAAGAATATGAGCTGAGTTTCTTGTCAGTTCTTCTCATCACGAAATCATTCCGAACTGACGGTAGATTTGACATATCATAAGAGTCTGTAATAGACCTTTCATGAAGGTCTATTACAAATTATTTTGATTATTAAAGATATTTTGAATTTGAATATGTTACAAATAACATGGAGGTTTATCAACCGCGATTTACAAGAGTCAGGTCATCGGCTGGCATGTAACTGTGACGTTAGCGTGCTGTATGCCATTTTTATTCTATACCATATGCTAATCATATAGCCAATTAGTCGTCGAACATGTAATATTTAATGGTGCATCGTCTGATGCACCATTAAATATTACATGTTCGACGACGATTTCTATTTGAATTCGATGAAGATTTCGTTTCGTCTGATTAGTCAAATAGAAATCTTCATTCAAATAAATTTAATAGCACTTTTAAATAGTATTTATTATTCTGTCGCCACATTTAGAATACAAATTCAACTAGGAAATACTTGGATGAATCTGCATTCTAAATATGGCGATAAGAAAGATAATATTTTCAAACAAAGAAAAATAAAATGTTTCGCTATATCTGTTAACGTAAAATATGTAAAATACATGTATAAATATTATTATAAGAGTGCATATTTTGAGGCTAACGTGGCATTTCTTCTCAATTGTAGTATTGCAAACGCATCTAACGAAGAATCTAACGAGAAGGTCTTTTTGTTGCATTGTTCTATATTTTTCTTTAAGTACCTTACCTCACAACTGTTTTTAGCGTGAACAATTAATTATTTGAATTCTTTTTTTTATTTAAAAGCATTTGTTTCTCTGTATATAGTATCAAGATCTGATCAGTACTTTTTGACATATCCTTAATAATCCGATTGAAATTTAGAATTTATTTGTTGATTGAAGAACACGCGGATTTCTACCACATGATGGCAAACAATCATGGCCCTGATGGTAAACGGATACCGTAGCTTATAGTCGCTTGAGGTACGAGAGATGTCACATGGTATTGTGTCGGAAAGTACTGATTTTGATTATAATATTAAAAAAAAGATTGACTTTACGTACCGTCACCATAAAATGAAGTATCTATGTTAATTGCAGGTACTATCACTTTGCAGGTACGAGATTTTATTGTAATATTAAATAAAATTTTCATTGTAATTATATTACGCAAACGCTAAAATTGGAAAATGTATGCAAGCAGAAAGTTTAAAAAAAATATGTAGAAATAATATTAGGGATTGTTTATATGGTATATACATATATATAGGCGTAAGTACAATATATTAGTGGCATAGATATGTATTTGTATTCATATAACCATAAGAAAGTAGTTTTCTCTCATTCTCGTATTATAAAAATAATAGATAAGAAAGTGAGATGGAAAAAGCCAAATGTCCAAAACAATTATAATGGGGACAATTTTGCGGTTAGACGTTACTACTGTTCATTTTTAATTTTTTTTTAAATACATTTATCACCGTATACAGTGGCACTGTTTGTATGACCAGTAAAAAAAATAGTTTCATATTTGTATTCAGTATAATTTCATGTCTTTTAGCGTGGTATATTTTTGATGTGTAACACAATACATTCAGCTTCACTCTATTAAGGTTTAATCCTTAAATAAAGTTTCCTATATCTCCTACGCGGGCACTGTCACTAGAAGCTATAAAATCCGTATTTCCTAATCACTAGTAACGTAGCCACTGTTCACCTGGTATGTCATCTGTCATGATGGTGGATACGGAGTACTACGGTGGACTGGTTTACATGGCCACGGATCGACCGGCCGGCCGCGGGGCGCGCACTGACCACTGCCCGACACGTGCCTTGCCACTTGCCACCCTAACCACTGTTGCCTACTACGAGGTAGAAGGGGTGCTGGAAAAGACCTGCGTGAGTGTACGGCGTAGGTGTATTTGATTTTCGAGGTGATATTTACGGTTGATTTATACTATAGCTACCTGCCCCGACTTCGCACTGGTGTACATGTATTATATATATAAACCTTCTTCATGAATCACTACATCTATTGCTAAAGGAGCATTATTATCGGTTGCGTAGTTTAAAAGATCTAAGCTAACAGACGGCGGAAGCGATTTCATTTTATACTACCTATGTAAAGAAGGCATAGAAGGAGTTAAAAGAATAAATATACCAATTTATAAGAATTAAAGTAGATTTTTAATACTTAAATATCTACTTTAATTCCTATAACCCTTTATCTACCTAAGTATTTACTATCTACCTGTTTCTTAGAAATTGGTATTTTTAATTATATAGTGAAAAAAAAAACTAATCAGGAAACAGCCATAAATATATACATAAAACATGAGTGACAGCAAAAAAGAAAGGTATTAATTTTTGGTACATAGAATTAAGTAGATTTCTTAAATAAATAAAGATCCACGCATTGAGAGTTAAAAGAAAATGCTTCCTGTTATACACTTTCGTCCCATTTCATGAAATTACTGCTAAGTTCGTAGAAATACGAGAGAAAACATGTTGTACACTAAAAACTTGGGTAGGTTTATATTTTTAACTTTAAAACTAATATTACAAGACGGTCTGATTCTCTAGAATATACCATATTGTTATAGTGGAACACCAAATTATATGCTGACCACTCTCTCGGTAAAAGTCAGTGCTGAAAAAAACAAATGAATTAATTGTACACGACTTTATTCGTGAAGCGAAAGTTGATGTATTTTTATACTACGACGTTGGCAAAAAAAAAAGGGCATCATATGGCTTTTTTAAATCCGTTTACCAGTTACTGTTGCTGATTAAAATAAAAACAAATTTTGAAATACTTTTTTTTTGTAATATAAGGAGTTCTATTATTGTTATAAAAATATAATTAGCTGTAATGTTTTTCTGGCTTTCTTAACATCCGTGATGTTATGGGACTAATCCGAGGCTACTATACAAGCTAGTCTAGATTGTTTTATGGTATCATTTTACCGACTAATGGGGTAATCAATCTTTATTACAGTTAGGGTTACTTTAATTGAATTTGGTTATTACTCATGTGATAGTCGTCTGTGTCATAGCACTAGCTGAACTAATTTATGTAAAACTAGCGGCCAGCCCTTGCTTTGCACAGAATAATATTAACCTAAAGAACGGTGATCGTTAATAATGTGAATTAATAACCCCATTGCCAGCAAATTTACCATGTTAGGTCGACATTCAATGGATATAATAATGTTAAACTCCTGGTTAATTTGCCACGATGTGCTAACTGACCTGTCCTTATTCGCTTCCGCTGGTTCCCCGCCAGCGTATACCATTGGTGCAGGCGAGTGCACCATTCCATTATCATCACATATATTCTTTATTGCACTTTAAAAGAGTGTACAAGAGGCGAGCTTAATGCCATATGGCATTCTCTACCAGCTAACCTTTATATATGAAATATCCTGCGGTAAAATGGAGGCTATATTCTAAGTTAGATCTCTAACAACATATCGGCTAAATCTCCATTTATTTCCATGTATATTTTTTTGTCTGATGCCTATATAAAAATATATATACACATGAAAATTTTATTGTTTTAACTTCTCTTACAAATCGTTTTATATATCTTTTTATAATAACTATATTGTTTTGTAAGTGATATTAGGCATTAAAATAATTGAGCCTATATTGGTGCTTTTTCATTACTCGCGTCTTGTCATATTCGTCTTTAATCTCCTTTACAGCTTCTGTTGCTCTAATAAATATATTTCATACTTTTTAAATTGTGAAAACTCCCCTTAAAGTAGTAAGTGATCAAGCCTTAATCTCTAATCGATGGTCACAGTTAAGGTCGAGGGTTTGTTAGGTATGCGCGGTGTACGATTATAACTGCACCGAAGGACAAATTTATTTACTTTCAACAAAATCAATGAAGCGTTTTCCACAAGGCTACCGCGGTTGCAGCTTTTATTGCGTAAATAATATATTGTAGTATTTCTATAATCGTATGAGTTGGCGACGTTTCATTTTCTATTGTTTTGTTATGAATTGGCAAAAACTATTAATATTTTTAGCTACCGGACATATGGGTTAATATATTATGGATACACAAGGTTAACTATACATGCATGTAGCAGCTGAAAGGCAATGATCGTTGTCATAATACAGAATTACATATTTAAATAAATTTAAAACCTCATAAAGAAAGAATCTAATGAAATATATTACATTTCTTTTACTTTGTACAAAATCATCTGCCTGGGTATCTCAATGGTAGTGAACAGACTACTAAGGCAGGAAGAGAATAAGCTAGAACTCAGAAATGGCAAATGCATTGAAGGAATCAAGGCTCAAATCAAATTTACTAATAGTTATGCTATTAGTAAATCACTTACAAATTGCAGCAAACTCAAATATTTCTAACTTCTAGAAAATAAAAAAACAACCCTAGTATTTCTTGATTTTATCTATGTCTAGAACATTCTATTATTTGTAAGAAAACTAGACAGGTGCTTATATAAATTCCTCGAATACACGATACCGGGGCCAATAAATCTAAGTTCACAAACCTTTAATTTCCTAAGTTCATTACCGTAAGGTAAACGACTGAAAATTATTTCTTTCATTATATTATATACTCGAGCAACGTCTTAGAATTGGGCAGTTGGCACCGATAACGACAAGTAACAACCTCTTTGCATATTTAATCAGAGGTTTGCGTGGAAACTTGGAATGCCAATGAACTAAGTGGCTTTATATTTATACTTCATTGTTGGATATATTGTATGTACATCGATTAGCTTTATAAATAATTAACGGAGGTTACTGGCAGATACCATTTGATGAAGATATCATAGTTAATTTGGTGGTATCTAGTTAATTTTTGTCACAATTCAGAAATATGACTATGCATTTAATTTTAGACTGAGACGTACAGGGATGCCCCACTTTAGTGATTTGGTCCTAGATACTAGATAGGACTCACCATTTCCTTTATAATAACCTAATAGGTTAGGTGTTGATAATTCTATGCGATCCAACGAGAACCGAACCACGGTGTACATACATACACCGTGTGACTTTTTAGTGGTTAAGAATTCCCATACACCCCTTCGTCACCCCTGTGGTGGAAGGATACCTATATGAAGAGTTTTTACACATTAAAAAAAGTATTGATAATTCCACAAAAGAATTCGCAAAAAATGTTCAAGGTAGGCAGGTTGCCGGCTGGTCGTCAAAGGGTTAAACCAAAACCTTATGTAATATGGTATGTATGGTATATGGTAAAGTGTTTATTGTAACGAGAGATGGTTAGCACTCTCCTTGTCAAGGTTGGAGTACGCAAAATGGTTAAGGCACAATTTGACCACAGTTTTTTTTTGGATTTGGGGTTGAATGCACATGCGAAACCCCTGGCTCTGGCATAAGTGCTTTTAGCTACACCGTGTGGTTTTTAGTGGGCTAAAATTCCACTCACCGCCTCGCCATCCTTTCCGCCATCCATCGGAGGGGCTGTCTGTTTGTGTCTTTTGAAGATTTTCCACACATTAAAAAAATATATAATAAGGATGTCTCATACAGACACAAGTATCTCTAATATTATTATCAATATTACTCAAACAGTAATTTGTGTAATCAGTTTTGATATTTATAAATGTTAGAAAACTCAATTGTGTTTGTTTGTAGATTTTCTCGTACTGGTAAAGTCTTTGAAAAAACTTAACGCGTCTAAAATCAATTTAATTCTCACTTTCCTACACTAAACACGTTTTAAGACTGTAATAAATTACTCTACCTATACAAGGACAACCTTAGTATAATTGTAAAATGTGGTCGTAAATTAATTCGTAGAGAAACAGTGGTGTGATTATATATTTAGGGGTTGATCATGTAGATTAGCGAGATCGATTGCGTTCAAATGCGTCTTTTACGGAGTATGAACAAAGTATAAAAATATTTTTTTATAGACGATATTTTTTACAGGTTATATCTTTATTATTATTATTAACTAATAATAATAATAAATAAATAACCCTGGATAATAACATAGCGTCATGTAGTCTCACGGTAAGCAGAGCTTGTGTTATGGGTACTAGACAACTGATATAAATACATAGATGCTTCTTTTTGTAAATACATACATACATAATATAAATAGAAAACACCAAGATACAAACAATCATGCTCATAAATACAAATGTTTGCATCGTGCGAGAAATCGAACTCGCAACATCTAAAGTAAAGCAGTGCGCTAAGCCGCTAGACCACCAATCATAATATTTGTAAGGATTGATTTACAACTCTCAGTTTGTGAATACTATCTATCACTTCTATTTTTCATAAACGTTAGAAAAATTGCAATTTGATCGCAAGAAGTGTCCAGTAAGGTTTTACCCAAGGAAACCAGGTCATGTGTACTATTTAAGGGTACCTACGCGAGCCATGTTTACTCTGTTCCTATAACGAGTATACACATACTGTAATTGAGCGTGCTATACGCGCCTATTCTAATTGAATTTCACAAGACATTAAGGTCATAGTAATTTGTCCGGGTAATACGAGATTTAGTACTTTGTCAGGGTTTTTGGTTTAATAATTTATATATTTAATAATATCTAGGTAAAAAATAAAACCTATTAAGAGTTAATCGGACTCATTGAAGTAATTGAATAAAGAGACTACTTATTAAATTATTTCCTTTTGACAAAATGCAATAGCATATAAAGAAAAATTGGCAAGAAACTAAACTTGTAATTTTTTTTAAGTTATTACAAGATGTTACCCGTGACGAGTATTTCTAAAAAAAGTAGCTTAAGTTGCTTCTCATAACATTAGCTATCTGTGAGTACAAATGCCGTCAAAATCGGTCCAATCGTTTCAGAGATTAGCAATTATAAACATAAAGACAGACTGATAAAGAAAAATTAAATAATTTTCTGATGTAAGTATGCATTTAGTGAAAAGCTGTTAATTTAAAATTACAAATACACACTTCAGTTTTATTTATTTGTTTAGTATACGTCATTATATTTTTAGTCAGTTAGTTATATGATATAAAATACTAAAATGGTGTTGTTACTGTACACAAAACGTATATAAATTTGATTTCGTTCGGTAAAGTTGTAATGGCCAGCTACCTTTTTTTATAGTACAGGAGACAAACGAGCTTGCGGCTTACCTGATGGTAAGTGATTACCGCCGCCCATGAGCCCCCGCAACACCAAGGATATGCAAGTGTGTTGTCGGCCTATTAAGAAGGCTCAGGCTCGTTTCTTGAAGGTTTCAATATCGGTTCGGAAATACCTTTGCGGTAAGGTGATTCCACAATGTGGCTGTGCGTGGCAAACCTATAATGTATTAGAATATTTCGAAAAAAAGAAATATTCAATTTTAAATATACATTTTTTTTTTTACTGGGTTGTTTGTGCTATTGTCAGATGTGTAGCACCTGTAGCACTGCGACCTACATAGATCTATTGTGCTCGCCCTTTTCAGAGTTCGCTACCTAGACCCGTCAGGGACAAGAATTGAAGGATATTCTTAGGAGCGATCGTTTTTATCTCCTCGGGAAAGAGTGTAAACTTTCCAAAGGAGATATTTCGTTTATGCATGAGTCGGCTACAACCACATAGGATGTGAAGCGGCGTTTCCTCTTCAGTTTGGCAGAATCTGCAGATACTTGTCGTGCATAGGCCTAGCTTAGCCATATGCTTGTTCAATTTGCAGTGTCCTGTGAGGGCCCTAGTCATCATGCATATGTTGTTTTTACTCAATTCCAGTAATCTATTGGAGTATTTGGTCGAGAAGCCCGATATAAGGTCTTTTGAATGTATTAATCCTGGCATTTCTTGCCAGTGATTCAGTGCTTCTCGTTTGGTTATTAATTTGAGATGTCCCAGTTTTAGGCAACGAGGCACACCACAGAAGGGTTCGGGGCCCAGTTGGACGGTTTTTGCCCCTAACTTTGCCAGATGGTCGGCATTCTCATTGCCTTCAATATTTGAATGCCCGGGGACCCATCTCAGTATAATATTATTTCTGCTTCCTACTTCATTTAGTAGCAGGATACAGTTTCTAATAAGTTTAGAACGGATTTCGTACGAGTTAAGTGCTAGTAGAGCAGCTTGACTGTCCGAATAAATGTATATGTTTAAATATACATTACTCAAAGCTGACTGACAGCAATCTATCAACGCACAGCCCAAACCACTGGGCGGATCGGGCTGAAATTTGGCATGCAGGTAGATGTTATGACGTAGGCATCCGCTAAGAAAATATTTTGATTAAATCTACCCCTAAGGGGATAAATTAACGCAAGCGAAGCTGCGGGCAAAAGCTGGTTTTAAATAAGTGTACTTCTCAGTTACAATATTTTATGCAAGTACAAAGAAGACTGTTCAGTTCATCCATCATACCACAGTGGGAATGGCTTACTTTGTTTACCTTGTGAGTGTACCGTTACACTAATAACGACTCTATTTACAATGTCACGGAATATCGGCATATTTATGCAACGTAGAGCGGGAAGGGTTGCTAATGGAAAGCAACGACAATAAAAACACTACATTATAGTTTTTTTTTTATTTATTTGACGGCCTCGGAGTTCTAGTGATTTAGCACACCGGTTTACGTCTGCGGTTTCGATTTCGCGCACAGTACAAACATTTGTATTCATGAGTGTGATGGTTTGTATCGGTCTGTGTGTTTTCTATGTATATTGTGTAAATATTATAAAAATCTATATATTTATATCAGTAGTCTAATACAACAAGCTCAGCATAACTTGGGACTAGATGGCGCTGTGTGGATTGTCCAAGGACATTATCATGATTACTTTATTATTTCAGGCCACTAATGGCCCATATTATAAATACTTTATAGACTAACATAAATATGAAATACTATTATAATATTAACTAGTTTTTGCCCGCGGCTTCGCTCGCGTTATTTGTTTAGTTGTTGATAAATTTATCAAAATTCTTTCTTAGAGAATACCTATGTCATAGCAGCTTTATGCATGCAAAGTCTCAGCCCGATTGGTTTAAAATTGACAAAGTTTCATACAAAATTTCACCCCTATTTTATCCCCTTGTGGGTAGAATTAATCAATATCCTTTCTTAGCGGATGCCTACGTCATAACATCTACCTGCATGTCAAATTTGAGCCCGATCCGTCCAGTGGTTTGGGCTGTGCTTTGACAGATCACTATGTCAGTCACCTTTGAGTTATATGTATTTAGATATAAATTGTCTCTGCTCACGGGACTAACGACGGCAATCTGCCACGGTAGCGCCGATACACCCTCTACGGTCCTCCTTCATGAAGGTGGGCAGCCTACTGGGGGGGACCCGGGTCACAAACGCCTGGAAACTCTCGTTGTGACTGGACGCCAGCTGCGTCACCCTCAATTTATTTATTTATTTAATGGTTAGTTCATGACCGTAGACTTTGTAAAAAGTCATCTGCGTAGATACGAGGGACCTTAGTCTCACCTATTTTAGACCTTGCTTATTAAGACGACTTTCGTGAATGAACTGTAAGAAAAGGTAGTGAAATTAAAGGATAAGAAACATCACATATTAGTCCTCCAGATTGACAATGTATGAGTGGTAAGACGTCGCATGATAATGTGATAGCTGTAATGCTGTTAATGTATAGGCGACGGTTACCATTTACCATCAGGTTGGTGGTTAGCAGGTTTTTCATTCTAATCATATAAAAAAGATTTTCTTGTAATTGATTTCATTTGGCTGGAAAGTTGCAATGCAGCTCTACCAAGAGCAAGATAAAATCCAGGGGAAATATAATTTATACTAATAATTTAAACAAAGTGAGCAGATTTTGTTATAAGAAAACTTGGCAAGAAGCAACGAAGCAATGCACCTATTTTTACAATTCTTTTAGTATTTTGAAAGGTACATTATTCCTGAATAATATAGATTATGTTAATATACTCAAAACTTATAAATTTATGAGCGGGTCGGCGAAACGCATTAGTTTTTAATAAAGCTACCACAGGTAAAAATAACTAACTCCAGTTTATTTTTATTTCATGGCTTCTTAAGCATGGCATTGCATGGCTTTCTTCTTGCTACTGATAAATAACAAATTGGTATTAATATTTATTTGTATACTTCACTTATAATGTTAAAGTTGACAAAATGCCATTAATAAAAAAAAAGACAATAAAGAAGAAGAATGCCTTTATATTTCTTATATCTATTTTCTCTAGACTTTTTTCTTACACTGTGTAAGTCTACTATTACTTTGCGTGGTTTTTCCGTAGCTTTGAAAATGGAACACGAGTTCGCAATTCCAATTTCAAACTGTAAAAGCGCGGCAATATTTGTAGTACTTACGATCAGAATATATATATT